TTTTTGTGGCGGCGACATGACATACTGGTTGCAGAAGAACGAAAGTATGGCCAAAAGTTGCGCAGTTCAGATTGGCGAATGATTTCAGCAAAATAATTCCAGAAACACAAACTGCAACAGAAAGCATTCCGGTGTTTTTTTCCAATAGGCTGCATAGGAAAGAAATCACCTATGTAATAATGTCCCTCTATTCAAAAAAGCTTTATCAGATCTGTCCCAAGCCTTGAGAAAAATCCGGAGGTATGATTACAGAGTTTTCAGCATGTTGCAAGAAGTAGTTTTTCTATGCGAAAGTTGCAAACACACTCTAATTTACATTGTTTTTGGCGTTGGCGCAAACCAACAAAAACAGCAAAAACCGATCAACAAGTGAACAGCAAGGAGCCCAAAGGTCAACCTGGTCAGCGGCACCATCATCATGGTGTCAAGAGGCCATGCCATTGACTCAACCGCCAAACAGATCAGTCTCCGATTTTTTTCCGTGCATCGTGTTGGATCTGTGATTATCACCAAAGATGCGTGGAATCTAGGAAAAAAATCTGGTTGGTTTCAAACATGTTTATGTCCCTAATGAGAGTGATTTTAATGGATCATCATTGGAATCATCATGGATTAATGCTGTTTTTTTAGGTCAACCATGCTCAACCACTAGTGATGCCGGGATCTCCCCCAAAAATTGGCCGTTTGGCCGCTCCACACTTACCGCGTCGCGGCCTCGCCTTATGCGCTCGGGGGCGCTGCAGAGAGGGCTTCTCGAGGCAAGTTATGTGTCCCTATGGATCCATGTACGTTGAAAATCCTTTAGAGGCAGTTTGTATTCAGATGGGTATGGATCAATACCTATTAATACCATTTTTAGGGGAATGAAGATCCATTTACCAGCTATTTTGATGTTCACCAGGGGTACAAGGTTTTGACACACTGCCAGATGATCTTTCAAATTTCAGATGATGTTTTTTATTTTGGAGTTAATGATGTTGTTGGCAAGGGTTGTTGGATCCACAGGGTGTATATGGGTGTATTTATGTTTAAAATTATTAGATATTGATACATACATATTGGCCTAAACCATCCTAAACCGATTATATAAAATTTGCGATGTTTGGTTTGAACCAAGACACTTAAAACGCAAAGAAAAGTTGGAAGAAATATTAAACGCATGTGGCAAATACCATTGCTGTTTGGGATACGGAGTGTCAAGGTTGAACTAAAGATCTGAATTCCAGCCGTGTAGGCAAACATCCAGCAGAGACAAAATATCGAAGGGATACCTGAGGATTGCTGGCTAACACCAATCTTTGGTAGTTGTTTTTACCATTTTTTCTCTGAACTGAGAATTTCCCGTTGTAATTGATGCAATGCAAAAAAAAACGCAGTTTCGAAGCGATTGCCTCGGATGACCCGACCGATTCCAGCGACCCCAGCGGAAAATCCTACTGGTGAGGACAATCTCTCGGGCAATCGATAGGGCACAGCAAGCTGTCCCAATGTCGCACTTGGCTTTAGGGGAAAATCTACGTGAACCTATCCTTTCAGCTGTAATTGTTTTGACTATTCTACTTAAGAGAACCATCTGCACTTCTCCAGGTTATCATTAATATATGACTGTGTCTCAAAACAGTGGCGCCCAACAAAAAATCATCAGTTTGGCAGTTTGGCCATATAGTAAACATATGCGTAAGAATTTCGATGAAAAATTGGGGTCCTCCAGTTTTAGGAAACCCAAAAATCACTAGCTTGGTTGGTTTATTAGGTTTCCTGAGACTTTCCCGTGCCGGGCTGCGAATCACAGATCATTTCAATCGTCGCACCTGAACATCGGGTGCGCGAGTCACATCAACTCGCCCGCGCGAGGATTGAACTATTGGAAGACGTGCAGTGACAGGAAAAGAGCAATTTTAGTTGGGGTGCCAGGCTGCCAGATACCTCGAAAAGTGCGGAAATCATTCGCAGACACGGGGATTTAGATTGGATTTATGGTTGCTGATCATCGTAGTTTTCAGGTCTATCCTGATTTTTTTTGTGATCATATCGGCCAAAGTCAGTGTCACTGGTGGTTCGGTAGAATGTCCAGAAGTGAAAAAAACAGCCGCAAAGGTCCATTTTCTTTGGGGACATCCAATATACATTAGAATTACACATCATTACACATCCTACTTGTACATATATACAATTTACAACTAAGAACTAAGATGTTCTGATTTTTGGGTGGCTTGGGGTTTGTAAGACCTGGAAACCATGTGGTCTAATTGCGGTTTGTATAATATATATATATAGGAATTGGGGATATAACTTGTTTTTTTCGCCAAGAACACGATCTTTGGGCGTTTCTGGAAATGGGGCACACCACAAACACAGAAAGACGTTTTCATGGGAATGAATCGATGAATCAGCGGATTTTGGGGGTAGCCATTTCTGATCGGAATCATGCCTCTGAAGTTTTAAGATCCTGATCTCAAGGCAAATCAAACATGGGGTCTCTGTCACGTGGAACTCACACCACGTTTGATATCGCAGTAAGACCGGGTAAGACACATCTAGAATTTCTGGTTAAACACAATTTCTTCGCAGCTGAAGCTACATTTTCCGGTGCTTGGGGAAAATGATGTATACATAGAACAAGGGATTATGCATAGAGAAACATGGGTTTCAACATGTTGTTCTTACCCAACATCATAGCGACCATAGAGCAATGATAAGCAGATGTGCGTGTACATATATCGATAATATCAATGATCTAGATTATGTACACATGATATACCCTGAAATGTGGTAAAAGGACTAAACCATTTGGCGGTAAACACCCATACTTGGCGCTTAATGAGGATCTGTGTACAGTTCATAATTGGAAAACAGCATGACTATATGCCCCATGTAACCCCCAAAAACGATTCGAGGAGATGTCCATCCTTTTTCGCATTGTTTCCAGGCTTCCAAGGCATGTCCAATTTGCATCCCATAAATATCACCAGTATCCCATCATATATTCCATTGAAATATGCTTACAATAATATCATTTAACTTATTAACCGTCATATAATTATATATATATATATATATGGGTACGAGTCAAAATACAAGGTATGGATCAAGGCCCCGGACCCACACACGATCCATATCCCCCGATCCATACCTTGATCCATACCCCATGATACTGCACGATCCATACCCTTGATCCATACCCCTGATCCATACCCCTGATCCGTACCCCTTTCTCGTTGAAGAAAGACTGATGCTGGCCCTAATGCTGCTTTTTATCCTAATACTGCTTCTGGTCTTCTTACTGCTACTCCCGTTGCTACTACCGTTGCTTCTACTGCTGCCTCCGCTGCCTCCGCTCGCTGCCTCCGCTGCCTCCGTGCTGCTGCTGCTGCTGCTGCTGCCACTACTAGTCATCTTCCTCCCAGGGGCTGCTGCTACTGCTGTCGCTTCTGCTGCTGCTCCTGCTAGTCCTGCTCCCGCTGCTGGTTCTGGTTCACTTCCTGCTCCAGATAGCGTGTCCCGATCCATACCCCGATCCATACCCGTTCCATACCCGAACCCAGTCACGCCACAGGAAATGCCAATATGAAAGTCCGATTCTATTACTACTTCTACTGCTGCTGCTGCTGCTTCTACTTCTACTCCTACTCCTACTCCTACTACTACTACTGCTACTACTACTGCTACTACTACTAATACTACTACTGCTACTACTACTGCTACTACTACTAATACTCCTCCTCCTCCTCCTACTACTACTACTACTACAGCTGCTGCTGCTACTGCCACTAGATTTATATTATTACTATGACTTTTACTAGTACTACTATTTCTGCTACTGCTATTTCTACTGCTACTGCATCTCCTCCTTCTATTGCCACTACTGCTGCTGGTGATTGTTTTTTACTGCTCCCTCTACTAGCAGTGGTAGCAGTTTTAGGAGCAACAGTAGCAGGAGGAGAAGTAATAGCAAGTAGGAGATAGTAGGAGTATCAGCAAAGTTTGTATGCTATGATGAGCCCTTACGAAAGGGTACGGATCAGGCACCTTACGTAAGCACACACGATCCATAGTACGGATCACCGCGGAGCGATCCATACCCGATTTTTGACTCGCACCCATATATACGTGCCGGGATATGATCATATTGACCTTATGTAATGATGGGAACGACTTCAGGCGTTGCTTCGCCACCTGAGATGACGCCGGAGGCGTGCAGGGGTCCCCCAACAAATGGAGATGTCACCAAGAAACATGTGGATTTCTATTGTGATTCGTGATTACCCTCTGGTAAACATACAAAAAGCTATGGAAAACCACCATTTTTAGTATGGAAATCAACTATTTCTATGGCCATGTTCAATAGCTATGTTAAATTACCAGAGGGGAATATGTTTGTAAAAACATTGCGTAAAAAGCATCAACTATAATGTGGATTGATAGTTGATTCATGCGATTGTTTTTTGTCAAATTGATTGAAGTTGACTCCGGTTCATGGCAGATTCGCACATGGCAGGAGAGTTTGATGGCGATCAAGCAGCTCTTCGAGGAAGTGTGGATACAACCACTGATACATGGGAGGGAAATGAACAATAGTATTGCTTCTTGTTGCACTCTGTTGTTCTTTTGTTTGACATGACTTTGTTTCTTTTTGTACTCTTTTGTGTTTGTTCCGTTGTGTTGCAATTTTTGGGTTGACCGCATGATTCCTTCTAGCTGCAAGACTTGCTTGGTAAGATTCAGAGAAATAATGCCAGGGTTTGCCTTTGTGAAGCGGAGGCTTAAATGTATGCAAATGTCACTGGCAAGTTGGGTGCTAATGTGCTAGCTGTCACATTAATATTATTCCGTTGGGCCTATGGAAATTCCCATGTTGACCCCAAAATTGGCCCTCTTTGGGCCTTGTTTTTGAGATTCCAAGCAATTGCAGGCAATCTGGCTGCCCTGGCTGGGCTGAACATGTTGGACAAACAACAAAAGCTGGCTGGCCCGAACATTTGATGATCTTTGATGATTTTTGAACTCATTAGCTTCACATCGAAAAGATTGTGATTTTTTTCCATGGTTTCCGCAGGCTACTGTCATACAGTGTTTCTTCGAAATGATGGTTGTGCTGTCGCCTGCGGAAATGATGAGTTTGGACAATGTGCCATACCACCTTTGGACGTTGGAATATCCTACACCCAGGTTTCTGCAGGTTGTTATCATACAGTACTTCTCCGAAGTGATGGTACTGCAACAGCATGTGGAGGTGGTCGATATGATTTTGGACAATGCGATATCCTACCTAATTTGGAGCAGGGAATTTCATGCACGCAAGTTTCTGCAGGTGAGGATCACACCGTGCTTCTCAGAAGTGATGGCAATGCGGTGGCTTTTGGAGGAAACGATTGCCGACAGTGCAACATCCCACTTTTGGAGATAGGAATGTCGTACACCCAAGTATCTGCAGGCGCGTATCACACTGTGCTCCTCCGAAGTGATGGTAGCGCGGTCGCATGTGGAAATGATGAGTTCGGACAGTGCGCCATGCCACCTTTGGATGTTGGAATCTCATATGTTCAGGTTTCGGCTGGCGGATCTCATACAGTGCTTCTGCGGAGCGATGGCATGGTTGTGGCTTGTGGCTTGAATGATGATAGACAATGCAACATTCCACCGTTGGATGAAGGAGTGTGGTACACCCAGGTTTCTGCAGGTGGGGAAAGTACGGTGCTTCTAAGAAGTGATGGTACAGCTGTTGCTTGTGGACCCAATTTTGGAAGACTATCGGAAGTTCCACCCTTAGATGAAGGCATCTCATACGTTCAGGTTTCTGCAGGCAGGTTTCACGCCGTGCTTTTGCGAAGTGATGGCAGCGCTGTGGCTTATGGAAGCAATTCTAAGGGACAACGAGACATTCCCTGTTTAGAACCAGGCAACTACTACGTTGGTGATGTTCTGCTTGGTGGAGACCTTGCTTTGCAACTCCATTTTATTTACGAAGAGGCTGCAACAACCCTGACATGTTTAAATTTGGCCGGGGAAACAGTCTTGCAACTGAATGTGTGTGGCTGCGATCTTGCCTGGGATACTCATAAGCGAATTGCGCGTGATTTGAACGTGAAACTTCAGAGTCTGCGAGTTGTCCTGCCTGACGGACGGCTGTTGGCCCAAATCTGCGTCGCGAATCCAGTGGCCACAGTTGCAGATCTGACGAACTCATCGCCTCGCTGAAAATCGATCGCCGGGGCACCATCCAAGGCAGCCTGTGATTTCAGTGAAACAGGGACGCAATTGGCTTATGATGCTCATGCAAACAACATCCTTGGATATTTTATGATAATTTTGCTGTCAACACGTGCAGTTACATCCCACTTCTGGCCTCTCTAAATCTACCAGACTTCTCGGTGAAATGCGTCAAATGCAGGTGTTCAGAACCAAGATAGCCATGGCATCGTTTTGGTGAATCCCTTGGTATACTCCATGTATATCCATGTATAATGTCAACCCTGGATTTTCATAAACCATGGTTTATTTTCATTAGGGGGGTACTCCTCCAATAGTCATTTCATCTGATACTTTTTTATGGTATACCCCCAATTAAACAGCCGAAAACGGGATTTAGAAAAATCCAGGGTTGACATGAAAATCTCCTTGTTGCCGCCGATTTGACGATTTTGACCACCTGACCTCCACATGTCATGGACATGTTCCTCGTTGATTTCATCCTCTGCGCCATGGATGGCCAGTGAAAAACCAGTTCTAACCTTGTGCCGTGACCCTTGATTAAATTTCATCAAGGTAAATCAACACACTTTAGCGACTTCCAAAATGCGTACCAGAAACATGTACCAGAAACATCCAGAAATCATTCCGCCAAGTTTGTGATAGGAAACAAACACTTGTGGTGGAGCTCAATTTCGCCCGATTTTGGTGCGAAATTTGGGGCGCCCAAATTTCAACATGGTAATATACAACCACCCAAAATAGTAACTCCATGTAATTTGTATGGGATATTTGGAGGATTTGGTTGGGGTTCTTGTAAGACTTATCTCTAATTTTGGAATCTTCCAGCAACATTTGGGATTTGATTGGCAAGCAGCATCCATTGGGGATTTATTTTAGCAAGACAATGGAATTTACTTGCAACGACTTGGGAGTCGTTGGGATTCAATTCAATTTGACAAAATCTCTTGGATTTCTACCAAATTTGGTTTCCAAAGTCATGGCGTTACAATGGCGTTTAATTGCCAGCTCCGAAAAAAATACTTTACTTCGTGTGATCCCCACCATGACATTTATACATTTTGTTACTGGCAAATCTTCTGGCATTCTATCTGACATATCTTCTGGCATATTATCTGACAAATCTTCTGGGATTCTATCTGGCATATCTTGTGGCATTCTATCTGACATTTTATCTGACATTCTATCTGGCATCCCTTCTGGCATTCTATCTGGCCGTTGAGGTCCAGCGGTCCACACTGAGCTGGGCAGCTCTTGGGCCCATAACCCAAAGGTCCCTGGATCGAAACTAGGCTCTGCTATGGTCTGGCATGATCTGCCGCAGTGCTTCAGTGCCGCATCACAAAGGGCTGTTCTGGGAAGTGAACCCAGGACCTCTCGCACCCTGAGCGAGAATCATGCCACTAGACCAAACAGCCAGTTGCCAAGGCTCTGTGTCCGAACAATGGGGACCGTGACCTCGCCCTAAATAATGGGTCAAGCGGCTTGTGTCAGTGTACCTGCTCAAAAAGGACCCGAAAAGGATCTTTAGCCGGAGTGAATGTGCTTGCAGGTAGGCGCCACTGCCTGGGAAGTTGGCGAAGAGCTTGGCGACGAGTTGGCAAGGTTGGCAAGGCGGAAGTGGAGGTGGAAGAGGCGGAGGCGAGGAGGAGGGCGAGGAGGACAGCTAGTCGAGGAGGAGGAGGAGGAGGCGGGCATGCGCTCTGATAAAATCTAACAACCCTCACCTGGCAGGTGGGGAAAAAACATATCGAGAAATGGTGAGTTTGACCATGGTCATGAATGAGAACATCTGTAAAAAAACATTGTGTTTTGCCGTGTTTTGTCTGTCACCGGTACCCTCTGGTTATTTGACATAGCCATGGAAAATCCCTTATAAATGGAGGTTTTAATGGGAAAATCCTCTATAAATGGGCAATTTTCCACGGCTATGTTAAATAACCAGAGGGTAGGGTCGAATTTCTCCAAACTGGTGAACCGCGACGACCCCTGACCCGTCGTCGTCCAGGATTTCTGTGGCACCTTGAATCCCAGCGAGCTGCCCATCGCTGCCAACAAGGCCGGGTGGACTCCGTCCGTGTGTATTGGGATCATTAATGGTAGAACTGGTTGGTGGTTTGGAACATTTTTATTTTCCCATATATTGCATTGTGAATAATCATCCCAACTGAGGAGCATATTTTTCAGAGGAGTTGAAACCACCAACCAGATAACTGTTGTAAGTACTTACATAGCCACGCCATGGTTTACTGGATATGGTATAACTTAGTATAAATTATTATTTAGCCATGGTTTACTAGATTATGAATGATATTAATGATATTGGGATCATTTGTTAGGTGATAATGATATTGGGATCATTCATCGGGGTAAATTTGATTATGGCCTCACTATTTTCCCGAAGCCTGGAATCATCGTTAATACTAGTAAGAGGAAATCATCCCAAAATGGCCCAACATTTCAGGTTAGTGAATTCGTATAATTTACCAAGATTAATGGTATAACCATGGTTTACTGGATCATTAATGATATCGGTATGGCATTGCTGGCTGGTTGAGGGGTAGTCAAAGGCACTTTCTGATGTTTCATGTCAAAGCTCAAACAACATGACAAATGCTTTGACTCGACCAGCCCAAGTCAACCGCGCTGCGGGGACATCTCAGCTCCATAGCAGTGCCTCTTGGAGACCCAAGGTCCATGATGTTGAGTTGTGAGGTCAAAATCGAGGAAGAGCTGGATACCAGCCACATATGTCAGCATATGTCAGCTGTCCATTGCCACCCAGAACTAGCCTATCCTGCTCCACAATGCAGCGCTAAAGACGTTTCGTCTTGGATGCCTATACATCTTCCCTGGCAGAACCGGGCCGGCACAAGGGTTGATAGAATTCATCGTTTAGTACCGTGGTACTTCGGTTCTTTTCAACTCGAACATGGCATTCCGAGATGGCGGTTTCCATACATGGGGGTACCCCCATAGCTGGATGGTTTGTAATGGACAATCCATTGTATAACTGGATGATTTAGGGGTACCACCATTTTAGGAAACCTCCATATGAATCATGAGGGATAAATCCCTGAAAAACGAACCCAAAAGGTCCCCAATCATAATATCATTGAAGTGGTACTTCACTTCTTTTTTGTCAACTCGAAAATGGAAAAGATATGAAAAGATATGAATCATGAGAGATTCATCCGGGATAAACAAACCAAGCCTTCAATTTGGGTGACCCCAATCCGGCTCGGTGATCACCAGCCGCTGGACATGGCTGGACTGTAGGACCTGGAGCGGGGCTTGCGAGAGGTGATTCAGAGGCGGGGCTGAGGTGATCATGATTTTTGGCCAGGGCTATTAGGGGTATATTAGTGTATTAACTAAATTGAATTAAATGAATTAACCTATAATATGTTTAACTCTATATATTAATCATCATGTACGTATGTATGTATATATGTATATATATATATATATATAAACAAAAATTAATCCCATCCCACTAACTGTCAGACAGTCATATGAAACACCCCCCCTAAATGTATGATTGGTATGATCCCCAAGACGTGTAAATCCCCGACGAAACCATGGCAGAAATAGGGCGATGTTAGTTTGCAAAGGCCAAGCCACGGGATCAAAACCCGGAGATGGCCATGTTCCATTGCTTCAAAGTGTAGATTCCAAAAGGAGCCAAAAATGAATGTTCAATAGGCAAAAAATGGCAACGGAAATGTGGTTTTGGAAGTCCAACCGGTTCTTGTGGTTGGTTCAATCCTAGAGTGTTGGTTGGTCAAAATCCGCCAGTTTCTGGATAAATTCTAACGACCTCACGTTTTCCCTCACGTTTTCCCTCACTGGAATGACGATTAGTTTAGGGAATCATCCCCAAATCACCTTATTTCAGAGATTTTTCGTTGGTCAAATCCTCAGCTTCGCATTGTCAAGTGGAGAACGTCACAACGTTCTGCACCAACAGCACGCCTTCTTCAATGGCTTGAGAGCGATTTTGGATAATCCCAAAGAAGTATTGTTGGATATGTATATTTATTATTATATATATATAATATACACAACTATACACATATATATATATATATTATTTTATATATATTTAACTATATATATAATTATATATATATACATTATACACATAATATACATACACATTAAATTACACGTTTACACCTATCGTTATCTACCGGGCTCTACCGCAATTTTAGTTGGTTAAGCTTACTGGTGCCAAACGTAGGGAATGGGCCAAACCATCAAGAAATCCCTCAGGTTGCCAGCCTTGCTACGTGTGCGTGTGGCCCAAGAGACAGCGGAGGCAAGGAGAACGGGATCAAATCCTGGTTTTTCATGGCTTTTCAGAAATTTCACCAACCAAATATATATCAAATATGGATAGATATGGTAATATGGTGATCAATAATGAACATAAATGAGATTTAGCCTATTGAGCAATGTTGGTCAAAGCCCTTTCGGTTGATAATTATTAGGGCTAATCACAATCCATTTGTCGATCCAGGATTCTGGGGATTATCACAATCCATGAACAGTATAATCCCCAAACGGAAATCTTGTTAAATGGAAATCCCCATGATTTTGGTTCATGGATTATTGGATAGCATAACCCCACTATTTTGGAAATCCGTTTGTAACCAACCAGTATAGAGGGACGACATTTCGTGTTTTGAACACTGCTCAATTGAAACGCACTTCGTTGATGGAATACTACTGTATAAAGCGGATTCTACTGTAACCCACTACATTCTATAACTAGTTTGCTGATAGATATTATCCAAAAGGTCCACCTTGAAAGCTATGTTCTATACACATTAATGCTAGGGGCTTACAGAAGTTATACTACCGAGTTTATTGGGGATGGTTCCTATCTACTTCATCGGGCTTTGCCTAGCATGGGATAGTTGTAATTTTCATGGCTCGGGTGGAGAAAACCATGATGGGCCACACAAGGCATGAGCACACCACTCCACAAGACATCGATTGAGGAGAATTTACCAAGGTGCTATGGACATATGATATATATTGAAATATCATTACAAGGTGGTGCCCCCCCAGTGATGTTTGTTGCTTTATAAACCATAGTAAATATGTCAATGTATCTACCATAAACATGAATGAAATTGGAGTTATTTGCACCCACCAACTCAACGCGATTTAGCTCACTGGGGCACCACCTTTTAATGGGATCTATGCAACAACCATAAAATAGGATCCCAGTAATGGATGCAACCAGCTGTTTAAACCACTATATAAATATTCATATTTGAACCACTATATTCATATTTGAATCTCATTACAACCATAGTAGGGGGTGCCCTGGGAAACCACCGATACTTTCGGGGATGGTGGAAATGTGTGAATCCCAGCAGCAGTTTTTTTCATGACCGGATGCAAAGGGATGCCATTGATGCCCGGGGATTGATGGTTTTCATATCCAACCAGCTGGATCTAAAATGGTTGATTTACCTGGTAAAAATGGTGATTTTCCTAGTGAAAATGGTGATTTACCTAATTCAAGATAGCTAATCAATGGGAATTTCAGGATCCTAAAATGGATGTACGTTAGTACCATATTTTTGGCCATATTTTGCTGGGATATTCCCTGAAATTTAGGCCTTATATAGGCTTATTATATAGGCCTTATACATATATATATATATATATAGTTAGGCACCTTCAATTTAGGTCCCTGAAATGGCCATTGATCTTATGTTTCAAGCTTCCCATTTGGATGTTAAATATTATAAGGATACTGTATGAATAATGTTTATGAATAAATGTTAATCTCCCAAATATGTGAATCATCACCATATGTTTGATTTAGCTCAGCAATGTTCTGATGGTGTGAAAAAATCACCCTAGAGATGAATTAAATATGATAAGGATATGTGCTGGTTGTAAGTCTGTCGTGTATGACGTATACACATTGAGAATCACATAGAATTAAATATAATTAATTATAATTACATAACACACACACACCAAATTTAAATTACACGATATATTACACGTAGAAGTACATGTTCTATACCTATGGACGCGTGTATATCGAATATCTGATGGTCTCAACGGGGGAAGATCTGCCGCAGGTGTCGGACTCCCTTCCACTGGAGCAGCTGCAAAAGCCACCGTCCGACGCGGACAAGTCGTCGTCGAGCTGCAAACGTCACCTGGCATAGGTGGAATTCATATTAGGGTTGACTTTTATTGATTCCCTTTGGCTTCATGAAACATTTGCCATAAATTCTCGCAATTCCAAATAAACTGGATAAACTTGGAATTTACAGGGACCCCCTGGCTGAACACAACCCCGATTCTACTCCCATACTGCTCCCACAAGAAATCCTTATTCCTTATGGAAAAAATGGAGCCATGCTTGTGTCAATGCCATCTTTCCCAACATTACATGATGTTAAATTGTTGTTGTTTCTGTTTGGAAAAATGATTAGAATCTGCAACCTGATCGGATATCCATCCCACTACACGTGAGTCCGCCCCAGAGGCAATCCAGGCTTACCTGAGGGTAACATGACGTGATGGAAAGGATTTTCCGCTTAGCCATGTTTGATGACACCGGAGGGTAAACCAACAAATCAAACCCTGTGGGTTCCAAGTTCGAGTGAAATCTGACATGGTACCTGTGCGACAAAAACCGTGCTAACATGATAATATTTAACATGTTTCATCCCCCGAAAATTTGCAACTTGTCAAATCTTCCCAAGAAAAGGTTAAAACAAGTATCATGGTTTGACCCAAATCCAGATGTTTTGCGCTCAATACAAACATTTTGCTTGGTTGTAAAACCACACCAAACAAGCATCTTTTTTTCCAGTAAACTTATTACTTTTTACATCCTCAAAAAAAAGCGAAAAAGCATGTTTCATCCCAGTAATTCAGATTGAATTCGATCATTCCAATCTATGTCCATATTATACGATTTTCCCAGCAGCCTAGGTTGGTCCCTCCATGCACTGGAGCCCCGAAGCAAGCGCGCGGAGACTGAACGAGGCGCACGGAAAATGCCCTGCCGTAGATTGGTGCAAATACCTATCAATGGATTGGTTTAAGGGAAAATTTACAGGAAACCATCGATTTTCCCATGAAGATCATAGGGGTTTTCCCTGTAAATTGTCCCTTAAACCAATCCATTGAAACCAACAAACAAGATGTAAACCAACAATCGGTGCTCATTATAGTTTTGACTATAGTTACTGCAATGGGTTTGATAGACCAAATCACCCTCGGGTGTCATCAAACGTGGCGTGGAAAGTCCTGAAATCCTTCATGTAGGCCACAAGAGTTTTCCAGCCACGGATGACCAGAGGGTATAACTAGTGGTTTTATGTTCCACTAATTAATACTAATTTTATATATATATATATGTATATATATATATTTATATCACCATGGCCCCATGAAATATCCCCGTTATGTCTCCATTATTGTTGGTTATGAAGAATTATTCTGGTTGGTGGTTTGGAACATGTTTTATTTTTCCATTTCATATATGGGATGTCATCCTTCCCATTGACGAACTTATATTTTCCAGAGGGGTAGGTCAACCAGCAACCAGCATTCTTGTTTCCATTGAATTCCACAACAAATCCCATGATTCTTGGGTGTAGCATCCATTGTTTCCTTAAGTTTACATGGTGAAAAGAAACCCATCCGATTCTTACGTTCAACTCCCCATGGACCTGAATTTATTCCCATTGATATTCTCATAACCATTGTTCTGGGTAAATTATAACGACCTCACCGTTCTCCCTCACTGGAATCATGGTTAATAAGAGGAATCATCCCCAAATGGCCTTAATTCAGGTTAGTGAAACATTACAATTTACCCAGATGGTAATAAACATTAATTAACCAACTATGATGGTGATGGAATGGAAATAATCAATGATTATGGAAATAGCAATGGTAATTATGGTAATAATGATGGTCCATGATTGGTAATAGTGATTGGTAGTATTACATCACCATTGTTGGTAATAATGATGGTCCATGATTTATGATGATACTGGTTATGATAATATCCCAACACTGGTGATGTAATAAACCATTATTTCCATTCCATCACCATCATTGTTGGGGATTGATTTTATTGTTGACAGGTCATTTAAGGGGATCATTATGGTGAATCCCCTGGGTTTTGTTTTTTCTCTATCAATGGTGAACTTCATCAGCATCATTATCCCCTGCACCATTAATAAATGATTATCCAATTATACACCTATACTTTGATTGAAAGTTTATATGTTTATTAAATCCACCTATTCAATCCTATTCATATATCAATCACCATCATTCATGAAGTTCATCACGGATTTGGATCTTCGCCCAGGCCTTGCCCTGCGCTTCAAGCGTATGGGAGGTCCTGCTTCCGAGCTGTGGAGGGGGTATCTTGGCGACTAACGCAACCGGCGTTTAGACTGTTTGGATCGGGTGATTATTACAAGGTGGTGCCCCCCCAGTTATGTTTGTTGGTTTATAATCCCCATTAACTATAGTTATAAGTACCATAAACCCTAGTTATTGGACTTATTTGCACCAATTTAGCTAACTAGGGGGCACCACCTAGTAGGGTGAAAAATGAACCAAGAAGAATATGGATTTAGCTTCTGGTAAACTAACATAGCTATTGGAAATGGCCATAGAAAGTTCGCGTTGATTTACCTATTAAAAAAATGGTGGTTTTTCATAGCAATGTTAGTTTACCAGAGGGTAATGGGATTCTCATGTTTCTTTCTTCAAAGTTTTGCCCCAAAGATATATGATATATTCTCATAGAATGATGCAAATCTGATTACTGCACACTTCATATACGATGCGCATCATTTTCATTAAGCACAATTTTCTTATATCAAAAATAGTTACATTATGTTCCATGTGACATGCAATTATGGGTATAAGACAGTGGCCTGTGATGTATTGTGATATGTACACAACATTATACACCATGTACTTATTACACTTTAATATGGTAATATGTATATGTTTTTTTTTCATCTATATGTATATATATATATGACATGTTAGTATGTACGACATTAGCTTTCAATATCACAAATTCATTTTTATATATATATATATCACATTCCATTTGTGTATCATGCAGTATCCCAAAATTCAACACATTGTGTTCCATGATGCTGTACATTATATATATATGAAATATGTCACAACATGTGATACATGTTATTCATATAAGATACAGATATATACTGCATATAATACCCAATCCCTATGGATCCAAATACCTCCTGAGAAGGGACTTAACCCACCAAACATACCCGAAATACTCCCTCACAAGGCACTTGAACCCATTGGGTACATGTAAAATATGGCCCTTGATAGTTTAAAAATCAGCTATGGAAATCATTGAATCACACAGGCCTGGCCTATACCATAGCTATGCTAGAGGATAAATCCAGAAGAGCAATGATTACGCCACGAAATCGCCACGAAATCCCATTTTTCCCAGAATAAATCAGATGAAATCCATACAGGATGGGGCCCCCGTTCGAGCTCGCGTTCAGTTGCCAAACATAAGTGGCTTAACTATTCTTTATTGTACAATGTGAGGCCCCCAAGATAGCTAAGTTGGTTTATAAGTCCAATAACTATGGTTTATAAACCAACTTATCACTGGGGGCCCCATCCTGTATGAAATGCCAAATTTCCGTTGGTGAAACATGGTTTTCACCTATCACCAGGTCGAGTCAAAGGGCGCCATGCGAAGGCCCAAGTCGTGGAAGAAACATTTGGAATTGAGCCAACAAAACAGGATACGTAGATGGCCTATGATGGATTATGGATTTATAGATGGTTTATGATGGATTGATGGATTTACATGGATTCATAGTTGATACATGTTGATACACCGGAACTAGACGACGGATGGCCCGAGAGCGTAGAGGAGCAGGGTCTTCTCTTGTTAGTATGGAGACGCAATTTAGAAACGATGTATGAAAGATGTGTTATAGGCAGTCGAGAAGAGGAGTATCAAGACCAAATAGTGAGAAGCTTTTACACACAGTAGCTTTTACACAGACACTTTTACACAGAAAGTTTTTACCCACAGAAGCTTTTACATACAGAAGCTTTTACACAGACACGTTTACACACAGATACGTTTACACACAGACACTTTTACACACAGACCCTTTTACACACAGGAGTTGCTTTTACACACAAATGCTTGTACACACAGAAGCTTTTACACATAGACGCTTTTACACACAGGCACTTTTACGCACAAACACTTTTACACGGAAACACTTTTACACACAGACGCTTTTACACGCAGACGCTTTTACACACAGAAGCTTTTACACACAAAAGCTTTTACACACAGAGTGACAACTTATAGACGCCAAGCGCGATACAAATCTCGAACCAATAGCTGCGCCGACCAGCTTCATGCTTTCACGAACAAACGGAACACAAGCTTGCAGTTGAAACTCGCAAAATCATGCGGTTTTACCAAAAGCTAGCTGCAAAACATCGAATGACTGCCACACGGCAACATGCAGCAGGCCTCCAAAATCTCCAAAGACGAGCACCACGGCCACCAAAAGAAGCTCTGGAAATGCTTACAGTCATGTTTGCTCGGCCAGTTCAGGGGGGAGCAGGGTCTTCTCTTGTTAGTATGGAGACGCAATATTAGAAACGATATATGAAAGCTCTGTTATAGGCAGTCGAGAAGAGGAGTATCAAGACAGGACAGTGAGAAGTGCAAGACAGTAGTTTGCATCGCAAACACTTTTACAAACAGACGCTTTTTACACACAGACGCTTTTAAACACAAAGCTTTTACACACAGAGGCTTTTACACAAACACTGTAACACAAACACTTTTACACACAGAAGCTTTTACATACAAACACTTTTACGCACAGACGCTTTTACACACAAACCCTTTGACACACAGACGCTTTTACACACAGACGCTTTTTTACACACAGACACTTTTTACACACAGACGCTGTCACACACAAACACATGTACACACAGAGGCTTTTACACAAACACTTTTACACAAACACTTTGACACAAACACTTTTACACACAGAAGCTTTTACATACAAACACTTTTACACACAGACGCTTTTACACACAAACGCTTTGACACACAGACGCTTTTACACACAGGCAACCTCTACACACAGACGCTTTTTACACGCAAACGCTTTCACACACAAACACATTTACACACAGAGGCTTTTACACAGAAACACTTGAACACAAACACTTTTACACACAAACACTTTTACACACAGACGCTTTTACACACAGACACTTTGACACACAGACGCTTTTACACACAGACGCTTTTACACACAGAGACTTTTACACACAGACGCTTTTTACACACAGGCGCTTTTACACACAGACAAGAACGGCACAAGTAAAATCGCACTTTTACCTCAGTTTTTGCCGCTCGACCCTCATTTCGCGCGAAAGGGTTGCTCCAGGACAAGTAAATCGCACTTTTACCTCAGTTTTTGCCGATCGACCCTCATTTCGTGCGAAAGGGTTGCTTTAGCACACGTAAAATCGCAGTTTTACCTCAGTTTTTGCCGATCGACCCTCATTTCGTGCGAAAGGGTTGCTCCAGGACAAGTCAAATCGCAGTTTTACCTCAGTTTTTGCCGATCGACCCTCATTTCGTGCGAAAGGGTTGCTCCAGGACAAGTCAAATCGCAGTTTTACCTCAGTTTTTGCCGATCGACCCTCATTTCGTGCGAAAGGGTTGCTTTAGCACACGTAAAATCGCAGTTTTACCTCAGTTTTTGCCGATCGACCCTCATTTCGTGCGAAAGGGTTGCTCCACTTGGATGGGCAGGCCTCTTGTATCTAGATGGCCGACTTGCACAACTTATAACATAACTTGCAAGTGGTGTAACACCAGTTGTATCTTCGCTAACATCATGTTGGCGAACTTATAAGTTGCCAGCGTTACTTGGTGAACTTCTATGTAGGAGCCTTCAACTTATATGTTGTGCAAGTATGTTGGCCAACATACGCCCTACTTAAGGGAGATAAACGTAAGTTCCACAAGTAGGTTTTGTGGAACTTACACTACTTATCAATAAGTGCTCTATGTTAGTTGGCCTACTTTGCTAAGTAGGCTAAGTAGAGATATAAGTAGCAGGCCAACTAACAATATATGTATATATTTGTATATATATATATAGATACGGCAGGGGAACAAGATATGAAAAGATATGTGTTATACTCGAATGTTTGTCTCTGCAATCCCCCTGGTAAAGTGCGGTTGTAGTGTTGTTTTCCTTCATTTGGGCTTGTCATATGTCAATCCATCCACCCACCAAACACGAATACGTACATCCAACATGTTTTTTTTCAAAGGTATGAACGGGTTTGGATATGTTTGGGCATGGTGTTTTTTTTGGCCCCATCATGGGTAGCTGAAATCAAGAGACTTATTTTGATATGATATGATATGATATGATTAATATGTTTCTCAGTTCCCCCTTTGGCGGTCCAACAAAACGAATTATATAAATTGTTTGTCCCAAAAGAAGATCTAAAAACCAGAAATATCATTGCATGCGTACACAACGCCCCTGGATAGATACATATATACATATTCAGATTCACAGATATATATATATATATATATTACACATTTACACATGTCTTTATACGCATTCAGACATCCATACATCTACAAGGATGTATACTATACATATGTACACACACACACACACATATATATATAACCGGGGCCAACGTCACGCCCCGGCACGGCTGGACCTGCATTGGCGCCGCGGCTGCCTGCAAACGCAGGCAGAGCTGCCCGATTGTGGTGGCAGGGTTTTGAAGGGATATATATATATGGATGTGTCTGAAAATGGTTCCTTATTGGTTTCTCAAATAACAATTTGGAGGGCATATACCAGGCCCATGTTCAAACATGTCCATCCATATATATATATAAATAATTTCAGAAAACAGTAACAATTAAAGAAAATATTTTGGTGCAGTCCAACATATTTACACGGACCCATTGGCAAATCACGTCAAATTGTCTGATATATTAATATATTAAAATATTGATTTGATGGCATGAATTGTTTGCTTTTTGTTGGGGTGCTGATAGCGATCATAAGGGTTCCCCATGTAAGCTAGCTTACTAAACTATGAAACATGGGTAAGTAGTGGGATTGCAAGGGGATTAGCCATCTACCTATGATGTATGTACCATATTATTCAATTTCAGTTTGGGGGTATGGGGGAACTATTATCCAATATATATATATGTATGTATGTATGTATGTGTATGTATGTATGTATCATATTATTTCAGGTGTATGCTAGAGGCGTAACAGGTGGGAACGCGGTTTCATCTCATGTCAGAGAATGCACGCATGAGCAGGGCATGGCAAGCTCGCTCCAGCAGGGATGGACCTTCATCTCGCTGTTCCACCGCTAGATTTTTTGCTGATCCATATATTGGGGAACTGTAGGAAAGAGAGCCATGGATCCAACTATTAGGCAAGAGATTGCCGACGCAGTCAAGGCAGCTGAACGTGATCAGCTGGTGCAAGGAGCCACACGTCTGCTTAACATCCTCCAGAAGCATGGGTTGGTGGTGAAACAGCAGCTTGTTCCAGACCAAGTGGGCACGCACCCTGCCAACAGGGACGGTCTGGGTCTGAATTCGCAGGACATCATGGAACTGATTGCCGCCATTTGTGAAGTTGGCTTCGATGACAGTGTGCCAAACCCTTTGTGCATTGAGATCCCTTCGACCGATAGGCAGATCCACGGTTTCAACAAGGTTTTGGTTGAGCAGAGCAACGGAGTTCTGCCAGAACTGAATGCCAATGTCATGAAGTATGCGAGCATTTCATGCTCGCATACAAATGCAGCCTTGAGGTGCCTGTCTCATGGGTCAGCGGGATGCCCAGGCATGCATGATGACTTGATGGTTTTGGGCCGCTTCTCCCTTGAGCTCCTTGGGAGGAAGGATCCAACCTTCCTGGCAGCTTGCCAGCACGGGTTGACGTGGCGAGTGATCAGTCACCAAGTGGTGACTGAATTCCCAGACGCGCCAAGTTTGCTGCAGAGTGCCCTCAATGCCAGTGGCCACCTGGGCAAGCCTGAACATGAGGTCCAGGTTTTGCGCAGAATCTACAACTTGATCCAGATCCAAGGAGGCAAGCCATGGAGTGATGTCAAGGCCACCATCTTGAGGAGCCGACCGGCCTGCTCAGCTGCAGCGCCATATATGCATCGGTTTGTGCAGAAGATGTCATTCGGTGCTCCTGGGCTTTGGGAGAGGGTGGAAACCTTCCTGAAGACGTCTGCCAACAGTGGCAGGCAGCTTGGGCCGGAATTCTTCGAAAGCTTAGCTTGCGAGCCAAAGCCAGCAACCTCGGATGCATGCATATACCTGAGGCATGCCATGCTCCTGGCAGCTTACACGATTCCTGTCACCAAGTTCCTCACAGATCAGGATGTCAAGAGGTTGTTGTCCAAGGATTTGAAAGCAAAGGCTGAGAGTGCCAATCAGCTCATCATCAAATGCTGGAAGCTTGTGAGAGACCACCAAAGCATCAAGTTGGATTTCCCTATCCAAACCGCCATGGCAGCCTTTGAGATTGACCTCATCCTGATGCTTCTCCACAAGCGACATGCATCTCTTGTTGTCGCACTCACCGAGGGTGAGGCAGCGTGCAAGTTGATGGACTCCATTGAAGTCTTGCAGGGCATCAGACCTTCGAATGAGTGGGATGGATCGAGGCCGTCGACCAGCCTGGACCCTCAAGGTTCCAATCCTGAAGAGATCCTAGTTTGACAAGTGGACCATTTCTATATAATAACTCTGACATATTCCAATTTGAAGAACCCTTTTATTATAATATAGTTGAGTTGGGATATATCATGCAGGGGTCCATGGAGACTTTGAGTTCCCTTTTGATGAAATCCTTTAAATCAATATCAATATATATATATACATATATTTAATCTATATATATATATATTTATTACATATATATATATACATATACATATACATATATATATATATATCTCGCTATACATGTTTACTTCTAGGGAAATTCAAACATTATTGGTCACGCGACAATCGTTTTGAGCAAAGGACGGTGCGGAACTTCACAGATGGCCTATCCAGCCCTGAGATGGTGGCCAAGGAGCATGGCTTTGAAGTGGGCAAGTACATCCGTCGGAAGGCTGACAAATGCATTGGCAAGATTGAAAGTTTTCATGGCAACAAAGTCCGCATCTCTATCGAGGAAGGCCCTCTCAGCGCTGGGAAGGCTGAGCTATCGGTGGAAGTTTTACTTTCTGGAAAGTGGAAAGTCATTGAGATGAAAGACAAGCCTGAGCAGGTGAAGTTCAACTCACCGGTCCTTTCACTGGAGTGGCAGACACAGGTCATCAAAGCCCAGATCGTGCAAAAGTTGTGGGAGATGGAACGAGACTGCCAGCATGTTGCGGCAAACCTCACTGTCCAGGTGAAGCCCAAGAGTGTCTTCACCACGGCACCATTCCCCAAGCATCAACTCAAGCTGGTCCCGGCTTCTTGGAAGGTGGACGCAGTGGACGTTGGCAATCCGATTCTCAAGGACAAATTGGGTTTGTGTTTGGGTCAGTGGTCCCTTGCGCCTGGAGCAGACCCGAAGCATGTCTTCTACATCCAAGGGGTTTACATTCCTGACAAAGATGGAAACACGAACAAGTCATTCTTGGCCCCGTTTTGGTTTGTGAAGTCATCGACCAAGGCTGAAGAAGCCAACCTAGAGTTTCACCCCAAGGTGTTGAAATACGACAAAGAAAACAGGCATCAGCAAGTGCCTATCTTGAGAAACATCAAGGCTTTGAGTGCTGAAGAAGAGCTTGTGTGCTATATTCCGGCCAAAGAGCCAGAGCCAGAACATCTCCACATTCTCTCTGCTCCTGCCAAACGGCAGAGGACCAAGGGTTCTACTGCATAAAGCAGGCATGAGCAGGGTGCAGCGCCATTCTTAGGACAGCAGATTGTGCAGAGTTGGTCAGAATTGGTCCCCATGGTTTCACAGGTGTGCAACTTCAAAGCAATGAGTATGAAGTGGTGTCCTTTGTTCATAGTATGGTGTCTGCTTTGGATGGTGCTGTGACAAGGTGGTTCGTCCTATAAGCCCTTAAGGTACAGTTGGTACAGGCATTTTTGGATATGATCGACATGGCTTGCAATGGCTTGGAAAACGTCAAAAAGGGTAAGCTGTTTCCTCAGCGCTCACAGGGTTTCATCTCATTTAGTTTGCACAGCGAGATGCCCCACAGCATCCCTGCTGGAGCGAGCACAAGTGCCCTGCTCTTGGCTTCTGTCATTGTTGCCAGGCCTACTTGAGTTTGGCAGCGCTAAACTTGCTGGTTGGGGCTCCCAATTGGTATCCTGGGCTGGGAGCGTGGCTGCACAAAGACGCATATTTCATAAATTGCTTCAAAACAAATGCAAGAATTCATCCCATCATCATGTGGCAAAAACTGATGCCACTCTTATTCCTTGCACTCGCTGTGACGCAGGGCATTCATTTCTAGCTCGCGGCAGCAGGGTCAAGGCTTTTCAAACCAGTAGAAAGGGCATAGGAACGTCTTAGTGCTGTAGTTGCCATGTCGAGCCATGGGTCAGATGATGGCGGTGAGCATCGATCAGAGCAGACACTCACGCTTGAGAAGGCCTGGGTGCTCAGAGGTGCAAAGTCTCAGCGCTTGTGGCTGCCTGAGATTCGTGAGGTCCAGGGCTGCATGTTCATCAAGCTCAGCAAGTTCGACAGGGCGCTCACATGGTGGGCCCTTGGAGCATCATTGGATATGAGGGCTGGTAAGGGCAGGAGTTGCAATGTCCAGGGGTTTGACACATGGTTGGACCTCCGGAAGGCTGCCTCTTCGGCTGCTGTCCATGAAGCCTTGCAACATGACGATGTGCCCAATGAGAAAGAGCAAAAGAGGAAGGGGCGTATTGTTCGAGAAGGAGACAAAGACCTGCTGTCGCAGCCATGGGTCATCACCACCCTCCCTGCGGTGTCCCATGATGGCAAGGAGTGCGGGCCGCTTGCCGTCAAGTGCCTCTATGGCATCAGCACTCCAGACCTTTGGGTTGAGTTCTCGCATGACACCATGATGTGGTTCAGGGCAATGGTTCGATCTGACCGAGATGCTGAGAAGTGGGGCCGCACACGTGAGCGCAAGAAGGTAAAATCATCCCCCAAAAAACCATCATCCCCCAAGAAGGATAAGACAGCAGCATCCCCAAAGAAGGCAGCTACTAAGACTAAGAAGGGAGTCTCTCCCAAGCGACGTGTTTTGAAGTCCATGAGTCCTTCCAAAAAGTGACGGCATGAAAGTAGGACATAGCCGGTTTGAGGCAATTGTTTTGAGGACGTTTTGCAAAGTCCACTTCACTCCGCTTACTGTGTGACACGCAGAAGAGATCTGAGAAGCAGAGCCCCAGCGCTCTGGAGATGGAAAACAACTAAATGCTTTCCACTGCTGACATGTGCATTTTTTTGGACGGATTGTGAACCAAGCATTCTTCACATGGCATCATTTAATTTACATGAGAATGTCTCAAAATACGGGGCGCCTGGAACTATTGAACCCTTGATTAAAACATAAAGTTTTAAGCACCCCTGTTTTAAGACATTCCCATGTAGTGGTTCCCAAAAACCCATTCCAAAACACTTAGATTTTGTGGGGTGCAAATTTTGAATTAAGGGTTGTTGATTGTTGCAGTGCTGGGGCACTACATTTCGTTGCAAAACTTCTCATTGTCTGCGCATTTACCTATAATGGTCAAGATACATAAATGGGCATTTGGTGGGGCACATGGTAAAAAACCATGGTGAGGCTTATTGGGTAAGAACCAGAATGCCACATATGGTTCATTTGTGAGGGCTGGAGCAAGGGATTATTTTTCAGGGGATTGGCTCTTGTAGTTTCACTTTGTATCTATATATCGTTGGGATTTGGGCCACACATGTTGGGTACTCTGAGGGTTGACCCCAAAGTGAATTTTAAAAACAACTTGTAGGCGGAAACATGATTGTTGGATGTTCAGGGATCAGTTTCAACCCTGCACTGGGTCACTGCGGCAACCTCTGTTTTGCAGCTCATGGTCTAAGACTGTGACATTTTTCCACGGGTTTAGCAGCTCAACCACATGCCGTGTTTACCCATACATTAAACCAGAGTGAAAATTAACAAGGTGAACCATGTCGAACTTAGCATGTCTAAAAGAGGTTGAACCATGTTGAGTCTTACATGTCTACAAGAGGCTGAATCCCAATATTTTCACGGTGGCACGGTCACAGCCAACTGCATCTATAGCTGTGCTCACAGCCATTGGCCGCTGCCCCATTGGCCGCTGCTGCATCGCGCACTGCTGCTGGATTGCGCGCTGGCTGCTGGGAGTTGGCGCGCGCTGCAGGGATTGCGCGCTGTGATGGCAGACGACGCTCCCAAGGATTGGGGGGTAGGTATTAGTGTATTTAAAAGGCAGGAAATTAAGAACACCCTTGGTCACAACATCATGAAAAGATCAATGAGCAAGCTGTATCTTGTTCCCACCGTTCTGTTCACTTCACCCAATCTGCCATGTTCCATCCGTCTCTGGTCTGTTTGGTCTGGTGCAGGAAGATGCTGCCTCTGCCCTGGAGTCCGATGCTGCCAAGGACCGGTGGGCGGTTGGCTGTTAGGTTTCTGGGAGGATTTCATATTGGGAGGTGTTGGGCTCTGATGTTGCAACGTGTTTTCATCATCCAAGTGCTCCCCGCCCATTTCCACACGACCATGTTCGAGTTCATGTCTTCTTCAGAACGGCACTGCAGGACGCTGCCCTCCGGAGAGCGCTGTGCCAGACGCTGTGGGAGACCGAGGGCTCTGGCCCATACTATGATGGTGGCGCTGGGCCTGATGACGAGGACATACAATGGGTGGATGTGAAAGAGGAGCAGGATGAATGGGAGGAATGGGAACCCTGGGCCGAATGGGAACCTGAGGCTGACCCGTATGAAGAACATGGAGGGGAGCACCAACAACATGGAGGGGAGCACCAACAACATGGAGGGGAGCACCAACAACATGGAGGGGAGCACCCAAGCTCATCCAAAGGTGACCCATTGCCACCTCCGCCACCGCCACCTCTTCCAGGTGGACCCGAGGTGAACCCAAAGAGTTTGAACTGGGACTACAACAGCAGAGACCGATATGAATGGGGGAACCGGGGTGAGACCTGGGGACATGGATGGAATGAACCATCATGGAAATCATGGAAAAACAAGGGCTGGCATGAACCATGGAGATCCACCAACACCAAAAACTACCAGAAAAAAGCCCCGTGGGCAAAGCGCAAGAGAACAGCAGAGGGGCAGTATGTGAAGGGAGGATTCCAAGATCATGATGGAAACTTCTGGCAGTGCCTTGTTTTAAGTTCGTTTTTTGTTCATGGGGATTGGACATGGTTGCAACATCCAGTCATTCATCGAGTCAACATGATAGTAGGGCCCCCATGGATGTCAAGTGACCTACAAAGAGTACTTCAACCCAACAGTATTCCAATAGATCTATCAAAGCTAACAATTCAGTTTATCTTCTACAATTAGTCTGAATATATGTTTGCAGACAATCCATACCCCAGATATGTGCATCTTATACACATATATATATATGATTCTTACATATAAACAACAGACAAATGTATCTATCCTTCACGTCCACAATGGCTGCAACATGTTGTAACCCGTTCCATCTCAGGCATGGATCGGGCAGACAGCGGAAGCGCATCAGAGGGAGCGGGTCCACTGCCGTAATGGCATTGGAGGTGGCTGGAACTGTTGCCCAGGCAATGCTGGCAACCCAGCAAAGAACGGGGTGAGAGGCACGGGAAACTAATCAAACATCACCCACCACCAGGTAAGGGCATTTCAGTAGCTCAATTTCTAATGAGTAGCATGGCCATTGGTCACAAACAGGAATGGCGGCGTCTGAGCCAACTCAACTGTGTTTTGGAATTGTGCCATCTCACCATCCGTTGCAGCGCATAGGCGATGAGAAATTGGGATGTGAAGCAACTCAAAATATCTTAAAATCACCCATCAGCCAGAGCAGGTAGTAAAAACAACCACCAGATACTATCAGCATTTATTTGCAAAGTGTTGCCTTCACGATGCATCCCGTGCATTTTGTCACACCATTCAGCTGGATTGGACTGACCCAATGTTTGCATTCAAATTGGTTTACATTGTTTCAAGTCTATTCATCAGGGCAAGGGATAGAATTGAATTCATCATTGGATACCCAAAAAAGGTTTTGAATTATGATTCCAAGGGCGGTCCAACCAGCTGGAATATAGGAGCTGCTGGGCGGTTCCATGGGCTCTAGGGAACTTGATAGCATCCACCCAACAAAACCCACCTATTGTTGAACAACAATACGTGTTTGGGCTATTTAAGAACCTATTATCGTTTAACAATAGGTATGCCATTCTGGTGGTAGATCTATTGTTGTTCAACAATAGGGCTGTGATGAGGCTGCCAACCTATTATCGTTCAACAATAGGGCTGGGGATGTGGCTGCCGACCTATTATCGTTCAACAATAGGGCCCCTTTGGTGACTCATTCCTATTGTTAAACAACAATAGACCATGTATTTCAGAAAATCATGTTTTGGATTCACGGGTGCTCCAAGTTTACCTCATCAGGTCATTAGCCACTGACTATAAAGACACTTTCGAAGGGACAGTATGACATGCAAAGGGCCCTGCATGGAACAATTTTCCCGGCTATGCGGTGCTTGCAACACAGACCAAGCAACACCGACAACCGACAGGAATGTCGTGAGATGCCAAAAAGAACACAGCTGAAAGACATCCGGGGTGGTTTGTGCCGGTATGGAAGAAACGAAATGGGATTCAAAGTGCGTTCACATGTTGTTAGGTGTACTTAGTTTTACAAGTATGGTCTCTATTGTGATTGATTGTTTAAGTTTTGATCCACCTCCCCTAGATAGTGTTCAACCGGCATTCAACATCATGCGGCTATCCCTGCAACAGCCTTGCGTCTTAGAGGGGTGATGTAGGGCGTTCATATCATTTGCATTTGCAACCAGTGGGATTAAACAGAGCAGTATTCAGTGTTCAAATTCGCTTTACCTCCAGGGTGTAACGACCAGTTGTGCGATCCATCCACGTGTGCGTCATGGCTGCATCTCCTATTCCCAGTGCTGCCAGTCTCAGTGATGGTGAGAGTGCATCTACTGTGGTACTTGGTGATGACCCCCCAGTTCCTGTGGATGATGGTTTGTTCTGGGATATCAACATTTGCCCATCAGACCCAATTGGTTGGACGTCTTTCGGGTTGTTGGGGCCCATGTTCAATTCCAAGAACGAGTGCAAGTGGCGCAGGCTTAGTGTCACTCAGACGGTGAGGATGCAACAGAAGGTAGGCTACGTGTTCATCCAAGGTTTGAGCGGTGGCTTTTTCAAACATGATGTTGAAGATCAGGTTCAATTTGAGGGGAATGTCACGGTGTACCGTTTGGTACACAAAGGCACTGGCCACAGCATCCTGATTCGATCCATGCCCAAGGGTTCGTTCGTGGGATCAGTGTTCTTGACATTGGAGCACAATGACACTTTGTACATCAAAGTGCACAGCAATATCAACCCTGAGAAGATTTTGTTCTTGCACAAACTCTACCACTGCAAGTCCATGACTCGTCGTGATTTGACCTACATGGTTTGGAAGTATATAAGCTGCATTTGAAATCTTTTGGTTTTGTTACTTTCCTATCTTTTGTTCTCCCCTTTACAAGTGTAGAGGGTCGCATGTTGTCCTCTGCCTGTCTCCTCTATATAGGTCCCTTGTCGAGAAGCGCAAAGCCGGGGCGTGGCACAAGGTTTCGTTGTGCATGAGTCGCTCCGGAATGCCTGTTCCCAACACAATCTTTGACAATCGCACAAAGGTGAAGAGTATCACACGTACCCCAGTGGCATTTAGAACTGTAGGGGAATAACAGCGAGATGTTGGTGACATCCCTGCTGGAGCGAGCACATGTGCCCTGCTCTATAGCCCTCACACCTCCTGTAAATCTCACATGCACATCTTGAGGTCGCATCATTGGCAAGCAGAAGCAGGTGCAGGTCTATGTTGACCAGAACTACAAGGGCGTCCATCTCCAGCCGTGAGGGCGTTCTTCGATGGACCCGCCTGCAGTGGTGCTCTTGGCATAGCTCAACCCCGGCTGAGTAGCATCCATCAAGTCTCCTCAGACTTAGGCGCTGTTTTTGATTGCGTTGATTGCACAAGATCATCACACATAGACCCAGTGTATAGATGAGTCGTTGGTGCAAAACAAAAAGCAGGGACAAGGTCACCTGACCGGGTCTCGCGGACGCAGGGCTGCCAGAGCTCGTGCCCATATAGTGATGTCACTAGTATTTAGTCATATGTTGTGCAACACCAGTCAGCGCATAACCGTTCATTTGAAAGGGTTTCACAGCTTGATGAGAATCATTGGCCTTCATTTTTGACTCATTGCCTTTCAATTGATCTGGCCACATCTTATCGCAGAAATTCTTGTTCTGAGCGTGTATACGACTGGCACTGTGAACCATGGATGTCGTGCGAGACCTTGAAGCTACAGGTAGGTTTGTGAGCACAATGAACAACCCGGATGCTCAGGAGCAACAGGTGGTCACCTGGTGCCAGAGGTTGGGTGGGATGGTGATGACTCCGGGCCTTGCTGTCGAGCTTGCGACACAGATAGCCGCAGGCCCGTGGACCAATGCACAGCGGGACCGCCTCAACCAGGCGGTCAACAGTGTGTTGGTCCGAAATGGCCAGAACACCAGAAGGGGGCTCCAGGCTTGTGGGAACTTCAAGGCCTACCTATCTGCTGGTGACCTCTCGGCTTTGGAGTCAAGCGAGACTTCGTACCTCGCAAAAGTGGACGTGATCACCAGCAGAATGCTTCGGATCGGACTTCATTGCCCAGCAGAGACGTGCCTTGGCGCAATTGTGTCCATGGTGCATCATCAAAGCTCTGATGATGAACTCAAAACCATGCTCGAAGATTACAAAAAGGCTTTGAAGAACAAGAAGAAGGTGGCACCAAAACCTGCAGTGCATCTCTTGCAGTACCCTGTGGATCCCCATGACTTGCCAAAGGAGCTGCTTGCTAGTGGCTGGGATCAAGCTGATCCAGCGGCACGTGTCAATGTGGGACCTGATGACTTGAGGCCTCTTGGACCTCTTAGGCACCACAACAAAAGGCTTGCCAAGAACAGGGTCCCAGATCTGGCCATGGCATCCGGATCAGGTGCAGCCGGTGGTGTGCAGGGCATGCTCATGAACATGATGATGCAGCAGCAGCAGATGTTCATGCAGTGCATGACAGGACAAGGTCAAGCTGCAGAACTACCAGGTCTCCATCTTTTCAAGCCCAAAACCTGTGGCCAGAAGAAACAGCTGGCATTGACTGATCAGACTCAACCTGCAGAGACTGCAGTTGCGTCAACTGCAGCTGCTCCATCAGCTGCAGCTGCTCCATCAGAGCCTGCAGCTGCTCCATCAGAGCCTGCAGCTGAGGTGCCCAAGGCAACTGTTCAACAAGTTGCCACTCCTCAGCAGCGAACTGTGCTGCAGTTGCCTGCTGTGACTTCAGAGCCCATGAATGACCGTCCTGTTGTGTCAGCACAAGAGCAGGCACAGATGGTGGCCGATGCCACGCAGAACAGAAAGGTTGATAAGGGGCCCAAGCCAAAGTCAAAGGCAAAGGCCACTGCCAAGGCCAAGGGAAGCACCAAGAGTGCACCTAAGGCAAAGGCTCCTCCCAAGCCCAAAGCCAAGGGGAAGGCCAAAGCAGCCCCTGTGCCGCCTGTGGCAGTGATGAGCAGAGGTCAACGTCCTCTCGAACCTTTCACGGTGAATGGCAGGGTTCTGACCCCAACCTTCAGGACGAAGCTGTACCCAAACGGGTGCAGCAAATGCAGATTCCGAACTGGATGCACCAAGTCCTGCTGGAATGACCGCAAGTTCTGAGTCCTATCGTTGCTTCGATTGATTGGCATGAGCTGCTGCTCACCGCACATTGAACTATTCTGATCGACAGCGTTGAAGCTACGATGATAGCTTTTGTTTGTATAAAGCACCTTGTCAATCAGCATGGGTCGCATCCTTCAGCTGCTGACATGTTTTGATTTCAGATAGTTTCGTTTTTGTATATTACAACTATTATATATTCATACATTTATATATATATACACACATACATACTTATATATTATACTAAGGTTGTTTTCTGCCATGGTTTGTTGTTGGTGACGGGATGCATGGGGCTGCTGGCATGACACTGCTATACATACACCCAGTTCCAAAGATTGGAAAGCGCTTACCCATGTGGGGCAAGAGACAATGAAGACTTAAAATTGTGACCGTGGTTTTCTGCAACCTGAACCTCCTCCTAATTACATCCAAGTATTTCTTACCTTCTGAGTTTCCTGACTCCTTCATGGTATGTAGATACCAATGGACCTGCCCTTTCTTCCCCGGATACCATAGTTGTGCAACCAACACCCATCGGCGCCCAGGCTTCATCTTCGTGACCAAGACCAGGCCGAGCCCTTCGACACGAACATGGGATAGGGGATTTTCTGCATGGTTCGTTCTCACGGGAGATAAATCAAAACATTCGCGGCTGAATCATTCTCAAGCTTGAAGCCTGATGAAGGGGTTACCGCATTTGCATCCAAACGTTCATGGCTGAAGGTTTCATTCTCAAGCTTGAAGCCTGATGAAGTGGTAAACAGATCATAGGGTGCATGTAGTTATCACCCAGTCATTTGTGCAAAGGTGATTCATGACAAAATCTTAGAAGCTTCCAAGTTTACCACATGATTGAACACAGTTTTCACACAAGTTAATCGCAGGGTTCATGCCACGCGTGGACTCGCGCGGCAGGGTCTCATGGGTGAGCCCGCCGACAAAAAGGATCCAAGGTCGGTTTTCGTCTCAGGTCACCACAAGTCCTTTGTGACGCAATCAGGGTTGGTTGCAGTTCTGCAACATGTCCGACAACATGGGCTCCCAAGTGCGGTGAGCAGGAGGACGGTGAAACGGGAAAGGTCGCTGGCTCTTCCAAAGGACACACCGTTGGGGCCTCTTTGGGGTGAAGTTGAGGTGGAAATGCTGAAGGGTCCAAACAAGAAATACCCTATGATTAACCCCATGGCACTGCTGTGGTTTCTCTGCACTGAGTGCGTTGGGTTCAGGGATGCGTTCCGAAAACAAGTCGCCAAGCACCAGCCTTCATTGCAGACGCCACACAGTGTTTGCATATACCAGGATGAAATCCTACCTGGAAACCCATTACGTGTAACAAACGACAGGAAGTTACAATGCTGGTACTGGTCAATAGCTGAACTGGGGTATTTTTGCAGCGATGAAGATTTCTGGCTACACATTCTGGCGGTTAGATCATCAGAGGTCAAAAAAATGAAGTCTGGAACTGCTCAGTTGTTCAAACTTGTGGTGGAAAAATTCTACGCCTTCCCATATTCCATGCAGAATGGAGTGATGCTGCCACTTGGGGAGACAAGGGTCATGTGGCATGGGCGGCTGGCTGTAATTCTGGGAGATGAAGTAGCATTAAAAAATTGCCTGAGCTTCAAAGGAGCGGCAGGCACATTGCCTTGTCCGCTCTGCCGCAACGTATGTCAGTGGTCAAGTGATTTGCACACCCATGACCAATCAGGATTTCTCATCCCACATACGGAGAGCAACACAGCTCTCATGGTGCCTCATACCGCGGACTCCATCAGAGAGGCCATGCACTTGCTGAGAACGCAACACAGCGTCTTGAACAAATCCAAATTCGAGGCCTTGGAGAAAAATTTGGGGCTGCTGTATCAACCAGAGGGAGCCATGTACGATGACCAGTTCCATTCTCGGTTCCTACATGGTCCATTGGGCAGTTTGCAGTTTGACTGGATGCATTGTTATTGCGTTTCTGGGCCATGAACCATGAGATAGGCTTGATGATGGAGTCATTGGGAGGATTGCTCAGTCACTGGCCATTTAATTCTGGGGTATGATTTTGATTTGTTTCCCTCCATCATTTCCTGAATATACTTTTATATCTCCCGTGCTGGAACATGTGTTATGGTGGTTTGTTCTAGCTGATCAACTTTCTTACCAGGCAATGATGAGCTTCATCAGTTTGTCACAGCCTGCGTGTGGCCAAAAAAGATTCAGGCAGCAAGTATGACTGGCTACCGACTCTTCGAGAAACGCACTGCTAATTCCGGAGAGCTGAAGGCTTCAGCTTCAGAGTTGTTGTCTGTCTACGGTGTTGTGCGGTTGGCAGTGGTCAGCAAGTTTCCCGATCTGAGCCTTCTGCCGCCACAGCCATCTTTTGCAGTGCGCAGTTTCTTGGCTGCTTGCCAGGTGTTAGATTTGCTTAGGAGAAGCATGTCTGAAGAGATATCTTCATATGAGCTCAAGTCTGCAGTGCAAACCCACCAGCAGCTGAGACTGGCTGCGCATGGTGGTGAGAATTACCAGCCAAAGATGCACTATGGTGGGCATCTCTTTCAACATGTTGAGAATCATCCCAAACTGTTGAGTTGTTTCTGCCACGAAAGGAAACACAAGCAAGTCAAACGATTTGCCAATGCCCAAACGAATCACTCTCAGGGAACCTCCTATGAAAAAAGCTTATTGGAGGAGGTGGTTCTTCTTCAGTCCACCGCACTCAAGGAAGATCAGACGAAACAAAGTTTCGCGCTTGTGTCACCAAAATCAGCTTCATTGGCTTTGACAGAACATGTCAAGCTTTTTTTGGGGCTGAAAGCATCAGAGCCTTTAGATGTTTCAGCATCACACGATGTTGTCCTCAAGCCAACCGAGCTTTGTTCTGTAAATGATGCAGTCCTAGTGAAAACAACCTGTGGCCAAGAATCTGTAGGCATGGTGTGGTTTCATATTGAGGCCCGTGGGACCCTCTACACCATTTGGGCTCCGTGGCTTCCAGTGCAGGGTTCTCCCAACACCTTTAAGGTCAAGGAAGATCCTGAGTTCATAGAAACAAGAACCATCCAGAGGTGCTTAGTGTATCGGCTGGAAGGTGACCAGCAAATTGCCAGGGTCGCGCCCTGAAAGTGGGGCTGAAAAAACGCGAGGCTGTTGTTAGCCCCTGCGTCCGCGAGCTTTGTTCAGCCCTGCGATTTTCGAACATGTGGCCAATCATTTGTTTATCCACGAGCTTTGTGTAGCCCTGCTTTGTTTGATGTGAAGTTGCAACCAAGAGCAGCATACGAGTCCTTGTTCCCCCCTTATTAATGGGACCATATAAATATTGTTTTTTTGGAGGTTCTTGTGGGGTTATACCAAATGGGATTATCCCTTCAAGTCTTAGGATATTAAATGTTTCCCTTATTATCGTTAATGTTTTCCAATGTGGTTAAGTACGGGTATAGGCCCCCTTTGGATTATTATGGCATGGTGAGTTAGTAATTTACGTGCTTTAGATTTCCGAACATGGGTTTATCGCGAATATATATATATATATACTTCACTCAATCATGGTTGCGTATAACTTCGGGTTTGCAACAAACCTATACTGGAGGTGTCCTATATGGGGGTACCCCAGCTCATCCAAGCCATTGGACAATTGTAGTATTGAACCCCATGGTTTTGGGATCGCCCATTTGAAGAAACCTTTAAAACCCCATATTCAATTAGAATTGGGCCCCAAGGCTACATATGTAACGCCATTAAATATGATATCTCACTAGGTGCTATCTGGTGATCTATTCCGGTATAATTTTAAAAGCCGTTGTCATCCGTTGCGCGTTTTCCCATTTCAATGTAGCAACCCCAATACATATCTATACATATATATATATACAAAAAAGGAAAATTGAAATACTTGGTAAATATGAACATAATACCATCCAGGAAACGGGTTTCCATTTCTCTGGTTTAGAAATATGTGGTAAATATTACCTATGCCATCCTGGCACCATTATAATAAATTAATCCCCAACCCCAAATCAGGGGCCACAAACCCCTGTGCTGCCTGCAATGCAGGCTGCCGCGGCTGCCACACGCAGGGCAGCTGTTGCCGCCGGGTGACGTTGGGTATATATATATAATTATATATATTTATAATTATATATATATTGAATTATATATATAATTATATTCTAAAATTATATCATTATATAAATATTATTAGATATATATATATATAACTATGTTTTGGTTGTTTATAGATATACAGTATAAAAGATTTGGTGCCTGTATACCTTGTGGGGCAATATCAGTTGGTTTTTATGGGCGGTTTACACCTAAGTTTTAGGGCAACACCATGTAGATTGAGATGTTTTTTTTAAAAAAATATTGGGAATAGTATGTTGGTTGGATTCCTCTATATAGATGTCAGTGAGATATTCCATCCCTGGGATGTCTTATAGTTATATTTACACCTTTTATGTACCCATATCAGAATGGAGGGTCATGAAGCCACATGGGGTTGGATGGTTTTTCAACTATGCCAATCTTTTTGGCTATTTTTCAAAAATCAAAACCGTCCCATTTTTTTGGTGGAAGATGGAACATCTTTTTAAATACCGCCCATCAAGAAACAAAACCACGTGAGGGGTATCGTTTTCATGTGGCCCACAAAATTTGAACGTGTATTCTTTCCCGGTGGTACTTTCACTATACGCCTTGGGTAAGTGTTTTTTAGTTTCACAGGTCTAAGAAACGTGTGTTGTTTATAGGAATCCTTTGTATATACATGCCCCGCGCGATTTTTTTAAATCGTGGAGCCCCATGAAAAATATATGTTTTCCACCATGCGACCTACTTAGCCTACTTAGCTAAGTAAGTTACAAGTGCGTCTCCAAGTGAGCTAAGTTCGACATACCCAAGTTCGCTAAGTGCACTTAGGCAACTTGTGCTAACTGCAACAACTACACTTACAAGTGCGCTAAGCAGATACAACTGTGCCATCTAGATACAAGAGGCCTGCCCATCCAAGCAGGACAAGTCAAATCGCAGTTTTACCACAGTTTTTGCCGATCGACCCTCATTTCGTGCGAAAGGGTTGCTCCGGGACAAGTCAAATCGCAATTTTACCTCAGTTTTTGCCGATCGACCCTCATTTCCTGCGAAAGGGTTGACGTTTCGTGACTCGCCGCCGGCACCACCCTCGGCCTTAAGAGAGAAAGATAAAAAGAAGGCATGAGAGAGAAGGTGAGCAGGTGTGAAGATAAGAAGATGTGAAGATGAGCAGATGTGAACATGAGCAGATGTGAAGATGAGCAGATGTGAAGATGAGCAGATGTGAAGATGAGAAGATGGGAAGGTGTGAAGATGAGCAGATGTGAAGATGACAGGATGTGAAGATGAGCAGGTGTGAAGATAAGAAGATGTGAAGATGAGCAGATGTGAAGATGAGCAGATGTGAAGATGAACAGATGTGAAGATGTGAAGATGAGCAGATGTGAAGATGAGCAGATGTGAAGATGAGCAGATGTGAAGATGAGAAGATGTGAAGATAAGAAGATGTGAAGATGAGCAGATGTGAAGATGAGCAGATGTGAAGATGAGCAGATGTGAAGATGAGCAGATGTGAAGATGAGAAGATGTGAAGATAAGAAGATGTGAAGATGAGCAGATGTGAAGATGAGCAGATGTGAAGATGAGCAGATGTGATGGGAAGGTGTGAAGATGAGCAGATGTGAAGATGGGAAGGTGTGAAGATGAGCAGATGTGAAGATGAGAGGATGTGAAGATGAGAGGATGTGAAGATGAGCAGATGTGAAGATGAGAGGATGTGAAGATGAGCAGATGTGAAGATGAGAGGATGTGAAGATGAGATGTGAAGATGAGAAGATGTTTTACAGACCCCCACTATTGGAAGAACCCTGCGCCCAGACGCTCTCGGGAAAAAAGGTTTATTTAACTTCAATGTTTACCAACCAACATGGGGAATCTGCCAAACAAATTCGGACCAATTGTTCCACGTGATGGCGATTTAGATGAGTGGAAATGGGTCAAGTTACTACCTCCTGGACATTTTTTTGGAACCTGCATTTATCAACAATTTTCTAGTTGGTGGTTTGGAACATGAATTTTATTTTTTCCGTATATTGGGAATGTCATCATCCCAACTGACTTTCATATTTTTCAGAGGGGTAGGTCAACCACCAACCAGTTTTGGTGTGAACAGAGTCGCGTACATTTTGGGTGGACTGACCCACCTGACCCATCCTTTTATCGCCGCGCGTCTTCACGGGAGTTGAAAACAAGAACGACAAAACAACCAATTCGAATTGGGCCAAGCAAAGTGGAATTGTTGGATCACCTTTTTTCTTGAAAACACATTCCTTTGTTTTAATGGGACTCATGTGACACCTGCAATTTTTGTTTGATCCACCCCAAACATGACACGTAGCAAGATTCTCTGCGGGCCAGCTTCTCATATGTATATATAGTTGAGGGAAAAAGAAATAGATTGAGCATGAAATACAATGGTCTATACAAAAACGAATCAACATGATCCATTTACAATGAGAATGGTCCGTGGATTATCTAGCAAAACGGTTTTTAGACCTTCTCTGGGCAAACCAATTTACATCATCTAGATCTATGAATAGACCACATGTTCCATAGCTATGTTTTAATTACCAGAGGGTACAACATATGTGGACATCTATGTTTTATTGGTTAATACCGATTAAAGAAACCACTTTAACATGTTCGATAGCCATGTCAACATAGACGATGTGCCATTAAAAATGCCAATATATATATGTATGATATATGGCCTTGTATGCTTCAGTACTTCTATTTTAGGATCCTGAAATTCCCACGGACACAACATTGATATTTATCCAAATATGTATCAATTCTAAAGTAGTCTAATGACTTGGATGATTTAGTGGTAGCCCCATGGACGTCTGCTCTAGGCGATGACGATCCTTTTCCCTGGACAGAGACGGAAGAGGTCGCCTGGCCCGGGGCCCCAGGGGGTTTTTAGGGGGTTTTTAGTGGATCCCAGGGGGCCTGGCCGCCTGGCCCATGACTTAGCTTGGGGATGTGTTGGTGAGAGGTGATGATTCGGAGATGATACGATGATCCAAACATTTTTGGGGATTTCACATGATTTCACCGTATTTTGCCAGATTTTTCGGCGGATTTCACTGGTTTTAGCCGCATTTTGCCGAGCAACACTGGTGATCGAAGCAGAGATCGGAATTGAATATAGATCGATATGATAAGCAACGTGCCACATTTCTTGGATCATCATATATCAGATATGTTCTTTGGAAGCAGCTCGCTGAGGTCGGGAAGGGGTCAGGAGGTAGACCCTCAACATAGCGACCGGTAGAATCAAAGATGGCTAGCTGGGAAATTTGGCATCAATAGGCATTTTTCATTGCATGTGTAAATGACAAAAAATCATCGGACAAAATCAAGGAGTATCCATTGCCATGTGCCATTACCAGAGTTTTTTGCTGCCTAAATTCAGGGACTAGGTGACTAGGTTCTTGTGTTGCCTGGTGTTTGGTATAGGACCGAGCTATGTCTGAATTACTCAAAGTTTTAAACGCTGGATCCTGATCCCAGGCATTGCGCCGGGATTTCAGTCTGTGGAACGGATGTAGACAAGATGGGAAAATGCAACAATGTGAGGCACTCTTTTGATGGGTTTCTGTTGCTTCATAAGTCCAATCACTAGGATTTATGGTGAATTATACTATATATATATATTATATCATTATATTATATATACCTGTATGGGTCTGCCTGAGAATATGCAACCCGGACCCACAATTTTGATGATTAATCACAATTTTCTCTACTAAAATGAAATTTGGGTATTATGCCTCATTTTCAGACATGCCCATATCAACATAACCATGGTGAATTATGTCCAATTATATATAATATCTCTACTATATCCATTAAATAGCCTACTTATCGCCGGGCTGTTCCACTTGGAATCACAGCAGTTCACTTCTCGGACAGGTGTTGTTTCTCTTGGCGTTTGGTGAGTTCAATGAACGACCAGTTGAAACGTGGCCGTTTTCTCAGGCACGGCCGGTTTGGCGGAGCAAATGGTGAATAGTTATGAATGATGATTGTTATTTATGTAGTTTCTTAATTTGGAAAATGATCATGTATAACTGACCATTAAATGGTTAATACCTAAAAGATCAGGATAAATGGTTATTATTTGACGGAATTAGCAATTGGAAATGGAACATTCTCCATTTGTCGATGGTTTGCTGATGAGACATGTGTGTGCTTTTATCCTTCCCATTGCAATTTAGCATTCGCAATCCCACTATAAACATATCCAATATATCCCAAAAAGAAATATGGTTTTGGGAGTCACTGGAAATTCCATTTTGTATGTGGTTTGTTGGATATTGTCATAAATACGTGGTGCTTATGATATGTAATTATCATATATTCACCTGGTTTGTGGAAGAATTATCATGATAATCAAGTGGGATGTAATGGGACCATAGTAAGTGACCAGGTGTATATGAAATATGATAAAAACATAATATAAGCCAAACAATATTGGATATATTTGTCAGACAACTTTGTTTAGTGTATCCCCATAACTATTATACATTTCTTACTGTCCCAGGAATGGATTTAAACATCAACACCATGCTTTCCTGTTGATTTCTCCTTCGAAGAATTCACTATTCCCATATGCTCCATGTACGGTATAGTTTTATTTGGTCCATTTTGGGGTACTTGTTGGTGTCAATATCCTTGCACCATAGAGCATTATGGACTCATGTTCCATTTTTGCTTACCGTTTTTTTTTTTTTAATTCATGTAGTTCCATGCAATCCTAAGGTACATTTGATACATGTCTTTCCTTTTCATGGATACACTACCAGGTATCATCATAAACCTCATGAGCTGACGAACTGGGGCACTATCGGGTAGGTCTGTAGGTCATGCCTTGCACATACCCATATGCGAACCATGGTGCTGGTATATTTACCTACAAAACTGGTTGATTTTGTTCGGGCAAATGTTGGTAAATATTGCAGCACCATGGAGCATATGGGTACTTAATTATATGTAATTCTATGTGATTCTATGGGATAATATTATTAAAGTATTGTCATATGAGTCATATGTTAAGAGGATCATATTTTCAATACATGACCTATTACTACTAGTCCAGTTGAGGTTACATTTCAACCATCATGCTACAGGATTGGTAGGTTTGTCCCCCCCAAAAAATGGGGGATCCAGTGCCATATTGGATCAATCGAAATCCCTATAAAAATGCTTTGATGACCCTTCCCCAATATGGGTAGGAAATGTATATATATATATATCTATCAGAAACTGTATACCATCTGATCATTTGAGATATATAGCTTTATAGCTTTGAAATTCAAAGTTTTTTCGTTTGGTAAACCATATCGAGCTAAAGGACCATCTTTACCGTAATATAGAGGCCGATAATACCTAAAGGCTGGTCTTATAAACTTATATTATTGATGTCCACATGTTATTGGTAGCCATATGCCCTTTGTTGTCGATTCCATTATATTATCATCATTATCTAAGTATCTATTAATATACCGTTATTAACGATCGATATAGCATTAATCAATTATCTATTAAATAACCATCTATCAATGATGATAGGGATTTATAATAATGATGGTTAATATGAACATTATCATTAACCATTTAATGGTAAAATCATTATTCACCATTATTCACCATAATTCACCATTATTCACCATTTTTCGCCATTACAAACCATTATAAACCGTTACTAACCATTATAAACCACTACTAGCTGTGAATAAAATTACTATGTTTACATCTATCATATTATTAAATCATTAACCATTATTCATCATTAATATAACATTATCTGATTAATAACCATTAATATACCAGTAAATAACCACTAATCATTAATATACCAAAAACATCTACCATTATTAATGAATATAACATCATGATTAATCATTAATGATAGTGGAAAGGGGGGAATGGCTATAAACATCTACCATTATGATTAATAACCATCATTTCTTCCCCCCTTTCTTGCGTTGCAGGTCCTGGCTGGCTGCGGCCCACGAGCCCCAGCGCCACCTCTTCGAGGCCTCGCAGGACATCCTGACGCAGCGCCTGCGCCGTGCTGCCAACCGTGACGTGGCCGCAACGCGGCAACGCTGGCGGTGGGGTATGCTTCATGGGTGTCTCCAGTACCCCCCCCTTCAAGATACCCCCCCCCTTAAGTGCAGCCCAGAGACCTGAAAATCTTTTTAAGGCTTAATAAGATTTGGATGCTTTTGGATGGCTTTGGTTTTACTTGAAATTCTGCACTGAAGTGACGTGTGGGTTTGTTAGGCCTTTGTGTCAATTTTTTCAAAACCCCTAACAAGGTTTCCACATGTGAATTTTATAGTTTCGGGGGGGGGTATCTCGAGGGGAGGGAACTCGAGACCCCCATGAATCCCATGAATGGTGATTTGTGGTGTTTTTATGTCCATTTATAGGGACAACTAGTGAAACATAAAGACACTTTGGGGTTGTAGATTTGATTGAACCAACACAAATTACAGTTAAACATGGTTAAACCTGAACTTAAGATGGTTTTTCGAACTGGATTCAACAGGAAATGGCGATTGAACCATCAAACATTGTAATTTCACGACGTGAACTTTGAAAACATGTCAAACAAAATTTGGGGCAGAAAAAAATTGGATTCAGGCCCAAGAATTGGGATTTATCATTGCAACATTTCATGAACTTTGACACTTTAAGCAGCGACCATCGCAAAAAAAATGGGATTGCAGCACGCACGAAAATTTGCTGCTGCTGCTGAACTAACAAAGCAACAAATATAAGAACTGAACCGAGGAAATTCAGTTGCACAAGCACACTGAGCACACCGTTGATTTTTGCGGAACAAAATTAAGTATTTACATTTAAAGTTTAAAGCTATAGGCAAAAAATGACCAAGAAAAGTGGGATTTACTTCGCAGGGCATCAGCAGCAAAGTTGAAGATGTTCATCCAGAGAAACGAACCAAATTAAGATGTTCAAACAAGAACTATTTTTTTTATGGAACCAGCAAAAAATCCATCAAGTTTCCGGAGATATTCCTCAGTGATGCTGGGACAACCGACAGCTTGACTGATTATTGAACAAGATATGAGGGCCGGTACCCTCCGAAATCAGGGTCTGGAGTCTGAACATTCTGAACCAAAAGAGCTGGGATATGAGAAACATTGATAAACTACTACATCCCAATACATCCCAGGTTCCCTTCACTCAAAGCGCGCTTTCCTTCATGGAAAAAATGATCTGGGATAGCGATGATCCCAGCGCTGAGTTGGTTGATGATTTCAATTTCTCTAAGATCCGTAGGTGCGATAGATCCGAACCAACATGTTCCGGCAAAGTCAGAACCAAATGGGTATAGAGCCCACCAAGTGCGCTAAGGAACAGTAGGTAAACTTTCAGATGGCAACAGCAAACATCCTCTTTGTATTCAGGCGAATACCAGGACCTCCCGATAATTTCACATAGCTATGGAACATCACCATTTTCAATAAGTAGATCAACAATAAATCGGCCATTTACCATCGCAAAGGAACAATATTGAAGGTAACCACTGATACTCTCACCAGAATTGAGGGATACAACTTACTCTCGTGAGGCAGTATCCTCAGTACCCCTTGATGCTTGAAATTCAAATGTAACTCGAGGAATTTCTATTGGGGCTATACATACATGAACGAACATTGTCAACATTGTCAACGTTACATGAACGATCATGAATCTACCTTGTCCACATGATGCCCAATCCCCAATAGCAAGCCCCATATGCACCCTTCAGCACCTTTCCATCACTCAAACTGTCATCAACCATATGACAGTTCATATGACCCTGGGGTAATGCAAGATACTAATGGCAATACCCAAGTCTGGTACAGAAAGTACTTAGGTGTCAAATCACAAACATCCTTGCCAATCACAGCATGGAGATGCACCAATCTGGCGCCTGAGGATCCTGAAATCTTCGGATGTTTGAAACATCATGAGTAAACTGATACATAATCATTGTTTCAGAAACTTGGGGAATACCCGGAAATGATGCTGCTCAAAATGGTTGGAAACCAATGGATTTTAATAGATTCAATATCTTTATTTTTCTGGATACGCTCACACCTACCCTAGGCGCGAGCGCTCATCCCAGTGCATGGGAGGGCCCTTTGTAGCGAAAACTCTCCAAGTAGCTCGTCGTCGCCCATGGCAGTATCATTTTTCCCTTTGACAGCTCAAACCCTTTGACAGGCTTTGGATGCGCATGTTTGGTGTTCTTTGGTGGGGCTCCCGATTTAGTATTTAAAATAAGTTGTTATCATGGCCATCATAGGTGGTAGCGGTGAATCACCGTTTATCTTGTGACGTTTCTTTAAACCCCAGTCGGCCCACTGCCTGCACGATGCGACGGGCGCAATGCGCGGGGTGCTGTGGCGGGAACGCTGGGCCGTGGCGAGGTGTGGCCGGCAGCAGTGTGACACAGAAGGCGGGCCTTGGGTTGACAGCACCCACAAGGTGGTGCTCCAAATGTTGGAGTTCCAATAATTAGGATTTAACCAGCAGAGTTGCGATTCATGTATGTTTGATTGATACTGGGTAATCCCTTCCTCCTAATACTAAACGTCCCCCTAATACTAAAAACAGGCATCCATCTCCAATTTCCGAAAATTTCAGTTTGGCCAATTTGACTTTTAATTGATCCCCTTTAAAAAACAATTTAAAAATCAACCTACCATTTGTGGGTTCTCCCCCCTAATACTAAAAACTAGTTCACCCCGGGGTGTTTAGTATTAGGGGGGCCTAGTCCCAATCCCTCACTCCAAGCTGCCTAGCTACTCTAGCAATTAGGGGTAAGCTTCTAACTGCCATTTTTGGCAATATTTTAATTGCGTTATATAAGGAAATTTAATTGATTTTGAGATCGGAAAAAATAGTTTTTAGTATTAAGGGTTTTAATTTAGTATTAGGGGTAAGCTTCGAACTGCCATTTTTGGCAATATTTTAATTGCGTTATATAAGGAAATTTAATTGATTTTGAGATCGGAAAAAATAGTTTTTAGTATTAAGGGTTTTAATTTAGTATTAGGGGTAAGCTTCGAACTGCCATTTTTGGCAATATTTTAATTGCGTTATATAAGGAAATTTAATTGATTTTGAGATCGGAAAAAATAGTTTTTAGCATTAAGGGTTTTAATTTAGTATTAGGGGTAAGCTTCGAACTGCCATTTTTGGCAATATTTTAATTGCGTTATATAAGGAAATTTAATTGATTTTGAGATCGGAAAAAATAGTTTTTAGTATTAAGGGTTTTAATTTAGTATTAGGGGTAAGCTTCGAACTGCCATTTTTGGCAATATTTTAATTGCGTTATATAGGAAATTTAATTGATTTTGAGATCGGAAAAAATAGTTTTTAGTATTAAGGGTTTTAATTTAGTATTAGGGGTAAGCTTCGAACTGCCATTTTTGGCAATATTTTAATTGCGTTATATAAAGAAATTTAATTGATTTTGAGATCGGAAAAAATAGTTTTTAGTATTAAGGGTTTTAATTTAGTATTAGGGGTAAGCTTCGAACTGCCATTTTTGGCAATATTTTAATTGCGTTATATAAGGAAATTTAATTGATTTTGAGATCGGAAAAAAAAGTTTTTAGTATTAAGGGTTTTAATTTAGTATTAGGGGTAAGCTTCGAACTGCCATTTTTGGCAATATTTTAATTGCGTTATATAAGGAAATTTAATTGATTTTGAGATCGGAAAAAATAGTTTTTAGTATTAAGGGTTTTAATTTAGTATTAGGGGTAAGCTTCGAACTGCCATTTTTGGCAATATTTTAATTGCGTTATATAAGGAAATTTAATTGATTTTGAGATCGGAAAAAATAGTTTTTAGTATTAAGGGTTTTAATTTAGTATTAGGGGTAAGCTTCGAACTGCCATTTTTGGCAATATTTTAATTGCGTTATATAAGGAAATTTAATTGATTTTGAGATCGGAAAAAATAGTTTTTAGTATTAAGGGTTTTAATTTAGTATTAGGGGTAAGCTTCGAACTGCCATTTTTGGCAATATTTTAATTGCGTTATATAAGGAAATTTAATTAATTAATTAACATGACTTCGATTTGGTTCCCTAATAATAAATACCCCCTAATACTAAAAACTACCTGCCGTGTTTTGTATTAGGGGGGGGGGTTTAGTATTAGGAGGAAGGGATTAAGTTGGCTTGGCTCACTCTTGAAGGGAAAATGAAATTTGGATAATTTTGGCAATTTTGGGTGTTGGACAAACCATCGCGTCTGTTGGGTGCCAAACTTTGACTTGCATTTCTCAATAATCGACCTGGAATGGCGGTTGCATAGTTGTGAACTTGACGTTACAATGCAAGGACACCACTTACTTCCAGTCATTTGAAGTGTTATTTATTTAATATTATTGTTTGGATCGGTTGAGGTATTCAGAAGTTGTGGGTTTGCAGGGTCCCCACTTGATGGTTCAAACATGTCCAAACATGTTCAAACTGTTCGAACAATTTTCCTTTTTTGGTGGCTACAAATCAATCCAGACGGTTAAATGTTTGATAGTGGTTGCTTGATATTTCTACTTTGTTTACCTTACCAAAATCAAAACTTTTGACTTACTGACCTTTATTTTGAATTACAAAATATAACAAATAAAACTGCATCAAACATGTCCTATGTTTTTTGGGGCCGGAACTTCATTGGATGTTGAACTTGGGCCCAATCTCACAGATTCCAGTTGCCCAGGGCACTTTGGTGGCCCTGCTGCCGCACATTCGTTTCTTGCAGCGCAACGTGGCAAAATGGGGCTGGGATAGAGGTCAGTACCAAAGACGAGTACCGAATCAAATCATATTCTTAAATCTCGGAAAAATATCACCACCGTTTTTGTGAAATTAGGAAAAATATCCCTGTATGTTTGGTCTGGGAATTTTCCCACCACATTTGGCCTTTGGGTGAAAACTGAAGACTTCAACAACGTTGTTCCATGACAATCCCAAACAGCGAAATTTCCGTGTTTGACATTTGACAGGCAAATGTTGGGGTGCAAAAAATTGATTTCTTCAAACTCAAACCATGCCTAAATAATCAGTTGTAACTCAAATTTTGGACGTTCATGACCCCAATTTTGAGTTTTTTTTGGAACATTGACCCAATGATCGCTGCAATGTGTCGATTTCTTTGGGTCAAGTGGGTCAAGTGTCACCCATTTCCGTCACAGCCAAATTGTAGGAACCATCATCCCAGTTGGTTGTTCCCTAAAGTTGGTTTTGTGTTGGGTTAAAAACGTGGTTTTGGAATGCCTCTTGGAATGCATTGGTTTCAACAGTTGATCCCAAATATTTTCTAGGCACTCAATGACTCAAGTACGCCAGATGCGTCGTTGACCAGCGCCCGCCCAGTTTGGCTCAGGTATGTGGCTCAGAAAAGCATTGTGGCAGGACGGGTGGAAATATTTAGGCTTTATGCTCCCAGCATTCGGCCTTGTTGAAAGATCGAAAATTCAAGCCTGATATACTGTATAGAAGGAAAACGGTATCTTCAAATCCACGAAAAAATCATTTGACTCCCAAACAAAAAACGTTTGCAGATCCAAAGATTTTGTTTTTCAGGATTGGTGTAAGGGAGAATTTTCAAGAAACACTGCTGCTTGGTGGTTTGGAACTTTTTTTTCCATATATTGGGAATAATACTCCCATTTGACCTATATTTTTCAAAGGGGTTAAACCACCAACCAGACTATTTGTTAAAGAATGGTTCCGAGAGATTTTCCTTCAATCCCATGTTTTCCATCATACATGCAAGCAGTGCAGGAGCAAAGGCAAGCGGAACGGGTGTCTTTGGTCGCAACGGAGGGTTCGTGTAACGATGGAGGGTCATGGATGTAATGCCATTTGTTTTTGCAATTTTTTGATATTGTTTGATAATGTTTGAAAAATCAATGGTATACTGGTATACCCTTTGGGTTATCTTCAGAAGATTCCTTTAGTTTCCATCGTGGGTTTGTCTACCAGGATGTAAAACTAGTCATAATAATAATAATCGTAATAATAATAATATATAGGTCATCACCAATCATGGTAGAAGCAATTATCCAGATAACAGTTGGTTAACTGCTTTGAATTTGGTAAATGGTTTAAACATGTTTGAGCTCAGGTCATAGTGCAACCGTCCATATTCTTCCATATATACTATAGATTCCCTAACAAATATAGATCCATGTTTTTGTATGCGTCAAACGTCACGGAATCCTTACTCTGTGGTAATTTAACAAGATTTAACATACATATCATGGTCATTTTCCATTTGTAGACTCTGTAGACTATATTTATGGATGATTTACCCATTGAAGATGGTGATTTTCCATAGCTATGTTAGATTCCAGAGGGTATGTATACATAATTATGAATGAAGAACATAGGTTTGTCTGAAGAAAAAGGGCTAACCCTAAATCCACTGGTTTGTCGATGTGTTGTACGGACGAGCACATTGCTATTTTGTTCATCGTATACTTACCCCAAGAGGACGCTAAAAAGTGCCCAGCTATAGCTTACCTGAAGGTGCAGTTGAGGTCATAAATGGAATTAAATGGTATACCATCACAGTACCATCACAGTCCGAGATATCCAAATTATAGGGTTATTACCATAGCTACACCCAATAAAAAACCTCAACTGCAGTTGTCCGTTGATTAATGTTGGTCATTATAATCCCAATTAACAATGGTTTTGATTTCCATGAAGCCCAGTGAACCCAGTTCAACTTGCGCCAACTTCGCGATTCCGACACCGGGGTCGGGGCTCACCCCAGGTGCAAGTGGAATTCCCCGGAAAACTCTGTGACGCGGCGGCGCCCAAAGAAGGCTTCCGCCAGCTACGGGCCATGGCTCTCTTCGCGCGGGGACTCAGAGATGGTGAGCTAGAATTCACCGATCAATGTGATGCAGATATTTGCTAGTACGTTGATAAACATTGTATATTTATATATAATAAAATAAATATACATGTTGCATGTATATATATATATAGTTATTTATTTAGTTATATATCAGCTTAGATATAAATTTGATTACGTTTGATCATGTTTGATAGTTGTTGATCATATTTGATTATTTTTGATATACTCTACCGATCTGTACCGAATTGTTATAATAATATTCATAACAGAAATATTGATATTCGTAGTATTAGGTTAGATGTTGTACCAGTGTTGTTTGGGTCTTACGGTGGGTTGCACCACCTGGTTTATTAAGGCAAGCAGTATCAATGGGATGAGGGGTACGTTTCATGGATCAAAAGTTCGTGTTCCCCTATGGATTGCTATGTAACAATTCTTGGATTCCCAATTGACAATGGATTTGACAATGATCAATTGTCAATTGTGGTTATCCTGGATCAATTCAAATGTACGTTTCAACATTTATGATAGTAACAATAAGTGTGTTTTGCAAATAGAGGACAACTTTTTTGTTTATGACATGTAGACGTGTGGGATTCGCAAGAGCACCGTAAGTTTTGGGAAACTTTGGCGGTTTTACATCTCTGGATGATTCTTCACCCTTTTGAATGTTATACGTTGCTCACGTTTTTCCGTTTCATGTCCAGGCTAAGATTACACTCACCAGACGACTAATGGGTCCAAACATCTCAAAATTGTCACCGTGAAAGTGACTTGATATATTATATATACAATACTATGTATATCATACATAGTATATTTTGTTGTGTCCTTTCTATATACTATGAATCTATGTACTATGTACATGTAGATGTATTTGATTGTATCTTTTAATTTCTAATTTATTTATGAATTATATTATACCCATATGCTCCATGTATGCAATGATTTACCAACATTTGCCCTAAAAATCAAGCAAATGTAGGTAAATATACCATACATGGAGCATATGGGATATATATATATATATTATGTATATATACACCTCCTATCATATATATATAGTTTGTGGGAACCTTTACTTCCCCTGGAGGTGACCGAAAGGTTGAAGGAAGTGGGTATCCACTTTCCTCAGGCGGGTGAAGAGTTTTCCGAGTTTTCCCAGGTAAATGATTTAAAAATTAAGATTGGGATTTCTATAACTATCAATCATATATATATATATAAGATATTAATGAGATTTCACTATCAAAGATAGGATATCATTGACGTAAATGACGGTTGCTGATCATTAGTTATATTTCACGGGGCTTGCCCTAGCATTCTGGGGGAAAGCTCATCCATCATGGGAATCCCCTTTTTTCTCGGCGATCGGCAGAAAATGTTGGATTTTTTTTTTCACTCCATCAATGGGATTCAACCATCAAACTCAAACTAATCGGACATGTTTTTTTCTTTGCATAGATATGAGTGTCTTTGGCTTGTTTGGCTATCCCCTAATTTAATCTAATTTAGTGTTCCATTAAAATTCTTTGTTTGATGGTACTCGTATATTATCTATCAGAAGCCAAAAAAATGCAGATGGGTGGAGCTCACGGCCTTGGTCCATCCCCATGGTAAAATTTTATGACTTTCCATATGTTGGGAAAAATCATCCCAACTGACTTTCGCATATTTTTCAGAGGGGTTGAAATCACCAATCAGGTTTTTTTTTTTGATAGAGAAAACCACGGGAAAAACCATGGAATTGTTTTTTTTGCTACCATATTTTCAGGCAAAGCCGGATGGCTCTGTGAACGTGTTGCGGGGTTCGTATGTGAACATGATGCAGGCCACAAAAAAAGTACCCCCTGGTAGTCTAAGATGTGGAAATTGACCCTGTAGATGATGTTCCCATAGAAACAGCAGATTTTTATTTGATTTTCCAGCTTGCCATATGGCACCAGAGGGTTACTCCATTAAAAGCCATTCATCACCATTAGTCACCAGTATAAATCATTATTAACCATCATTACTACTGATTAACCATTGTTATCCATCATTAACCATCATTAAGTCCCATGAAAATGCAACTAAACCTATTTTATTCTATGATTTACCTATATGAGAAGTGATGTCTTTTTGCATGTCGCCTTAAACGGTCACGCTCCAGGAGGTTCTGGCCCGAAAGGATCCGTCTGACCAACCCAGATCCGGAGGGAACCAACTGATTAGTTGATTGCTTGGGGATTACTCAACAAATGAACTAATCAGTTGGCTGTGCTGGGATAAAAAAAACATGACCATATCATCTACTGTATATGAAAAATGAATGGCTATAGTGTTATAATACTACCCTCTGGTAAACTAACATTGCTATGGAACATGGCCATAGAAATAGTTGATATACCTATTTAAAATGGTGATTTTCCAGTTCGTCATGTTAGTTTACCAGAGGGTACCTGGTTTTCATGGGGATTATGAAAGGCTACTGTGTTGGGATTATATGGATAATTCAGCTTCGCAAGAAAAAACGTACCCCGTATACATCAAAAGTGCCTTGGTACACTTTGGTACTGGGGAAATGTCGAGTTACTAGGTGTTGGAGGTGTGTCCATCCGCTTGCAATCATATCCCCAGGTTTGTTGCGTGTCGATGGAATCCGTAGGGAACATCCCCAGAAATGGCCATTCCCCATTGGAAAGTGGATGCCCGTTTCAAATTCAGCAACCATCTCAGTTTCACCCACTGACTTGACCCCACAACCATCCACTTTCATGGCAATCTACAATTGGATTTAGTGCCAGTTTTTTTGCAAAATCATCCAATCTTCTAGCATCCCAGTTCCTGGTTACAGAAAAAAAAAAAAGCAACTCTTGTTGAAGTTTCAATGATATCCACATTCGGGATTTTTCCATGAAAACCCTCCATTTCTGGATGGATTTTCCCATGAAAATCCCAAAGTTTTAATGATTGTCGCCTCCTGGCCTAAGAGCTTGAACTCCTGAGGGTTTGGAAGAAGGGGCACTGGATTTCACAGCGAGTGGATGGTGTCATCAGGCTGGAAAATGCGGCGAAAAGGCCGTGCCAACATTGGGGAAAAAGACATAAATCATACCATCTATGGTGAACTTATCTAGAAATACATCACCATTACCTAGGAAAATGCATCATAAACAAACAATGATCTGACAAATCACCAACTTGAGACAAATCACAATGGAATATTGTTTAATTATGGAATATTCTATTACCATTTATTTATACGGGTGATTTATTTCTGGGTGATTGTAGGTGTGAACATAATATACATGGATGACTTGGGTGTGGGATGTATGGCCAGTATCGGGGACTCGTCCAAGTTTGGGAGGCACTCAAGGTCTTGACCCACAACCCACCGATGCAATCTAATTATATTATATATAAAGCAAACATATAGGATATGAATACGCAAATACGCAATAACATATGGATTGCAGTATTTTAAGTAAATGTGGGGACACAAACCCCCACACCTAGTTGCGAAGATCAACCCCATTCACGAGCCTGTTTGTATAGCCAACTTATGCCAACTTGAGGTATAGCCAACTCGGTAGTGGGGATACCCTCTGGAAATCAAAGGTGGCAACGGAACATCACCCATTTATAGATGCTTTTCCCATGAAAACCACACCAACGGAGTCTTCGGAATTGCGCCAGGAATGGGTTGATCACTGGAAGCAAAGGTAGCCAGTACGTGCCTTGGACGATGGCGGGAAGAGTCGTGGAGGATGAAGAGTCAACATCATGTGGTTTCACCGTTTCACCCGCCATTTTTCACACCATCCCCACAAGGTGGTGCCCCAGTGAGCGATTCATCGCTAAGTTGGTGCATAGCTAACTCCAATAACTATGATTTATGGTAGATACTGTATATCTTTACTTACTATGGTTTATAAACCAACAAACATAACTGGGGGGGTACCACCTTGCAAGTCATCACCCATTTTTTTTGGTTGGGATGTCAATCAAAAACCAAATGGTAGGTTGATGGCGTTGGCTTTACCACATTGCTATACATTACTTATATAGAGGAATGCTTGAACATCTGGGTTAGAACTGAGGTTTACAGTAAGCATCCAGCGAAAGCAGCGAAAGCTATGTAGGCCGATAATCCTATATTGTAATTCACATGTTTAAAGCAACAGTCTTTCCGGCACAACGGGATATTCTTTTTTCGATAGGTGGCATCCTGCCATGGGATTGGTTAGCTGCTTCCCTACCACTGGTCCCGGCTTTCCATCCTCCAACAATCCCCTTAGATCCCAACGGTGTTTGCTGTCTATACATCATATGTATTAGACGCTTATAGATGAATATACCTACTTCCTAACCACCAATCCGAAATTAGATCCAAAAAAAGTAATCTCAGTCTCAAACATGCTTAACTCTGACATCTGACATAAACGGATGGATCCAGTTTGGATCAACCATGATCACTTTATCCTCTCAGATCCATTCAGGAAGTGCAGTGGAGCGATGGCACGGTCACCACTTTGCCGGAGACCAAGTTGAAGACCCCACACCTCTGGCGCAGCGGCGAGGCGGGTGGTTTCCACCCAAACTTGACAGCTGAGATCTGCTCATCCAGACATTTTATCATGGAACCCGGGGGGGGTGTAAGTAGCTTATCATATAAAGGCACATTTCGAAGTCAAAAGAGCAAAAAACTGAGGGGTATGGGGCACTTTTGGACGTTCAGATGTCGTTTTGCGTGGCAGGTGGAGGGGATTGTGCACCTTGTCAAAAGTGAGCAAAAAAAAAACGTTAGGGTTTTGTAGCAGTTTCCACCTACAACCACCACTACACTACACTAACGACAGCTACAACTACAACTACAACTACCATTACCACTACATTACACTACAATCCACTCCACTCCACTTCACTACACTACACTACACTAACGACAGCTACAACTACAACTACAACTACACTACATTACACTACACTACTCCATACTAACTACACTACACTACATTACACTCCACTTCACTACACTACACACAATTACACTGCACTCACTACAACTACAACTACAACTACAGCTACAGCTACAACTACAACTATACTACATTTCACTACTCTACACTAATTACATTACACTACACTAACTACATTACACTACATTACACTACACCACACTACAGTATATTACACTACACTACACTACGCTCTACACCGCACCACACCACACTACACTAGATTAGACTAGACTACACTACAGCACGCAACACTACAGCACACTACACTGCACTACTCTACATTGCACTACACTCAGTACACCACACCACAACTACATCTGCAACTGCACCATGCTAATTACACTACAACTACAACTGCAGCTGCACTACACCACACTACATCCAGCATTTGTGGAAGAGTTGACCACTGCAACCATTGCAACCACTCCAAAGAACACAACTCCAACCACCTTTCGGTCCATCAGTGGATTCGCTCTGCAATCCGTGCGTCACAACAACTCACCTCTCCTATAGTGTCCTATCTTTGAAACTTCTGCCACCGCCTTGCGCGGCAGCACTGGTAAACCATAAACATATAACATTAGAATAAGTAGTTTTTATATCATATACACACATATTATGATCTAAAGCTATAAGCCTAGCTGGGTTTCTCCAAACATGGAGGGACGTCAAAAAAATCGAACGTGGTAATCTGAATTTCAAGTCGGAGAAACTCCTAAATGGGTTGGGCCAAACTTGGGAATATCATCAAAAATAGTTTGTTTGTTTTTTTTCGATAAACATATATGTCAACCCTATAGGATACGATAGGTGGTCTAGTCATTTTTTTGTGTTTTAAACCATCCATTTTGGCTGTCAAAATGATGAGCCTCTGGGCTGGAAACATACAAATGGTGCCGACTTTGGGTCAAACTTGGTACCACCCCAACGGGTCCCCAATACGCGAACCGATGGTGGGATGAAATCACATTTTTTGCTGGTTGAATCCCGATTTTGTTGTTGAAAATTGCATCCGTGTCAGGCTGTTGAAGTTTTTGACCTGTCAGGCGAGATGGCCAACGGTTTTTTTTGAACGGTACGACAGATGGGACATTTAAGGGTTAAAACATGATAGAAATCTACTATGTGATGCCATTATAGTTTACATCTATACTGTCTATACTATATTGATCTATATCACATGGGAAATTGATGTACCAACCGTTCTAGTTGAGGTTGTTTTATCGATATATTAGGGATATCACAGGATATAGATGACCAACACTGGGGAAAAATGGGATATCTGGATGAAATATGATACAACGGGCATTGACGGAACTAGATGGGATGATATAGGAATATATAGGATAGAATTGGCATTCATGGAATGGAATGGGACATTTGACCAACAATTTGACACTTGGATGCATCTGAAAATGGGACCTCCAAATGGTTTTGGAAAGGGGACATGATGATAACCATCAAATTTTTAGGTACACTATTTTCAAAAAAACACAATAGATTTTTTCAACCACCAAAACTAATGGGTATAGTAGAGTGCGTGTTTTCAATAAAGTCCGATGTCATCCTCAGAGATTTGGATTTCACCATCAAGAATAGCAGCGATCAGACGATCGCGTTTTAGGCTCCGGGAACTAAATCATCCTCCAAACCAAGGGGGGCAAGAGCTTGCCGAGGGTCGTTAGCCAAGTTGGTTTAGCTCAGTTGGACTTCACGTTTGGGTTCATGGTCCCCTTCCGGTGATCAAACGCGGCTGGAAAATCCAGGGATGCGGTTCCCCGCAAATTCCACTTAGTTTAGATTTCCCGGCCACGTTACCGCAGGGTCACCATATGGGAGTTTCCATAAATGGGAGTACCCAACAATGGATGGTTTATAATGGAAAATCCTACTAAAATGGTATGACTTAGGGGTACCCCGGCCGCCAGGTGGCATCTATCGAAAGGCCCTTGTGGCGCAGAACTTCGACAAGACAGCGAAGATCAAGGACGTGGATGCGATGGTCGGAAGGGGTTGATTCTTCTAGGGGATTGGGTGAAAGAACCACTTTAGTCACTAGATATTATGGGTTTTGACGAGGATTTAAAGGGGATTTCACCAGCAACTATACTTCGCTCAGTTTAGTTCACGAAGAGATTTCTCATTTGAGTTCATGGTAACATATGGTAACTAGAAGTGTAATTAATGGGTGTTCAGCCAAGACTGCTGGGCCCCACCTTGTCGGCTTGATGCATCTTAAGACTATCGTTCATGGGTCCAGCACTCTTGTCGCGGGTGGAAATCGCTCCTGCTCCAGCTGCGATGCCGGGAAGATTGGAATAAAAATGGCGGCCAGAGCTAGAGATTCCATCAGCTAGGCTTTGCATGGCTCTATTATAGCATTTAGCTTGTCCTAAGGCCTTTTGAAGACAACTTTGCTGTTCGAAAGCAGCTTCTAGATTTTAGCAGTTTAGCCAAGAACTTCCAACAGTTAGGCTGTTCAACACCGGGCCAACCTGCAGACTATTCCCACCACATGTTGGACGGGCTTGCACAAACAAGTGGATATTTGCAGGCGTGCAATGGCAACATATTTTGCCACAAATCTGGGACTTATTCTCATTCCTGCATTCCCGGCAACAAAGCTTGCAGTATCGAGAAAGAAGATGACAATCACAGATTCCACTAAGTTCGATCCCCAAAAAAGAACATCGACACATCCATGAAAATCCATGGAAATCCATGGGAAAACCATGCCATCCCATGCCATCCCATGCCATCCCATGTGACCCGATTGTTCGGACCGCCTCCCATGGACAGCCATGGCGTCGCTACACATCGGCAGCTGGAGCGGTTTGCCCATGCGCTCCTCCGACGATGCCTTGCGCAAGAAGCGCGAGGCACGTGACAAGGCGCGAGGCACGTTCGAGTTGTTCCCCTCGGTGATATGGGAGTGCATCATCGAAGTAAATGGGGAATTTTCCAGCTAGTCATGTTTGATTGATTTTGATTGTATGGAGGGTAAGTGGTGAAAACAAGTACCATGATATGGGTTTCTCTGAAAAGAAGGTACTCCGAGTCCAATGTTTTAATGTTTTGGAACCTAATTGTCTCATTGAAAAGGACTATTTTGCGGTGTATCCCATTTGTCGGGCGCACCCATATGTTACTATAGGTCATAGGTATGCCTGGGTATATCCCATACATAACTTGGCCTAGAATATGATGAGGATGGTGGTGATGATGGTGGGGATGTGGATAATGGGATTTGGGTAAGTTGTGTTGCGACCTCACTAGCCGATGTCACAATGGGATTGGGAGGGAGCTTGCAGATGATCATAGATGATCCATGTAGTATGTATAGATTAGATTAGATTGGATTGAATTAGATTGGGTTAGATTGAGTTAGATAGGACAGGATAGGTATACATATATATAATATATAATATAATATATATATATATATATATTTATTCTATATAATAGGTATATAATATAGTTCTCACCATCTTTTTCTTCGCATTTTCTTCGCCCTTTCTCCCCGCTGCCGAGGCTTTGGTGGCGGAGGTCGCTGCCTTGGATGAGAGGCCCAAGAGTCGAGAGACGCTGATCAGGCGGCGGCGGAGGGGCTGAACGATATGGGTTTCGTAGTGGGTTAATAGTAGGATATTAATATGGGAAATGGTTAGTATACGGTTGATATGGGATAATATGGGACAATATATGGTAAATATATGGTTATATGGTTAATATGGTAATATGAAATATATTGAGATACTAAATGCTAAGTAATACTATTCCCATAGTGTTTTTTAGTACACAACAGGAATGATATGGGAATATGGCAATGATTTATTTTGATTTATGAAATAGATTGAAACACATGTGGTGTTTTTTTTTGCTCAGTGCAACCTTGAAACTCCAAAAAACATGGTTGGCCTCGCGACCAATTTGGCACAGACCAGACGTGCTGTCTATATAATTGCACATGAGGACAATAGATACTGAGACATCATATTAACTTATAGATTTATAGTATATCCATTATAAATCATTATATCTAGGGTATATCAATAATAGTTCATCATGTGTTTCATCCTGTTTCGAGCAAACTTCGCCTTGAACTTGCCCCCACGTTCACTTTGAGGCCAAACCACCATAGTGATGAAACATTTGTTTCGACATTTTTTTCTGTTATAGATAAGAACATTCCAACACATATAACATCACATAATATAATTTAAGTCATATATATTATTTATCCATATCCTATCGTTATCAGATGTCATTTACGGTATTGGGCCGCCAAGATAGGTACTGTAAGTTGGTTTGTAACTACAATTGCTACGGTGGATATACGGCTGAATGGGCGAATACAGATCAATGTGTGACTGGCTTGGCTGACTTTGTAGCAATTGTTGGTGGAGCTGTTGTTGGACAAATTATATGGTGATTGGGATATTGTTGTCATTGTCGAACCATGTTGAACCCCAACAAATGTATATTGAACCACATTGAATGTTATAATTTGTAATGTTGAACCAGATTTATTATTCTTGTCATTTCACAAAAAACATTTCGTCACTTTTTTCAATGTTTCAATCTGGCTCAACCACGTAGAATCCCAAGAAAATGATGTGTTTACAACTCCCATGTTTGATGCTCAAAAAAGGAAACATGGGATTACTTGGGATGCTGAAAAAACCTCCTACTGTAGGGTGGATCATCCACAACAAATCCCCATGATGTTTTCCCAATTATTTGTTGCTGATTTCCCCACTTTCGATGGTAAACACCTTACAGTATCGCATATCCACATCTATTATTTGGGTTTACCATAATATTACTATCGGTTGGAACCAGTATGGTTTAACAATGTTAGTATGCCACTACCATTTACGGTTAGTCAACCAGTATGCGACTGGAACTAATGATATGCCATTACCATTTATGGTTTAACATGTGATACTGGTTTTACAATCCAGTATTTGGGTTTCTCTGAACATAGCACACCCCGATTCCCATGGTTGGGGTCTTGTGTATCCCTTTGGGTTAGTATATGATTCGTTGGTCAAATGCCCACAATTTGTGGGTTAATCCTCCATTTTGGCAGATTAACATCCCACGATTTTCTTGGCAAGATCTCCTATGTTTGTTCAAATTCTCCATAAATTTGTGGGGGTGAAGCTTGTGAATCAAACATCCCATTTTGCTTGGTTTAAAAATCATCATTTTTCGATCTCCCACTTTCCATAAGTCGATCAGGTGGAACCTGCATCCCGCCGGTCGCGTGTTGCCAGCCCCTTGGGCGCTGCTTCACCGCAACGCCACGGCGGATTTGGAGGTGACCAATGTGCAGCGCACGGATCTGGACGATCCGGAGAGAGTGGAGGTCAGCCCCAAGATGCTGGGCTTAGCACCTGTTGATGGCTCTAGTGATGCTGGGGGGTGGTGTGTAAAAACCAATGTGGGTCAAACAATGCCATAAACCATGACTGGGAATGGTAAATGTACCACCTATAAAAATGGTGATGACTGGGGATGATGATTGTCAATTTTAGTGGAATTAATATCCATTTACCAGCTATTTTGATCTGTATTGGGGTGCACTAGGTAGGGTTTTGACCCATAGCAACTTGACCGGTGGAGAAAACTACATCCCCATGGTGATTTCAGCCAAGAATCAACATTGACTCTACTACTGACTCTACCAATATCATCTCATGTGCTAAACATAGTATATATATATATTCAAATAGTATATATTCAAATAGTATATATTCAAATAGTATATATTATATCTTATTATTATTATTGTTATTGTTATTATTATTATCTACTATTACTTTTATTACTATTTATTATTCATATTATTATTAGGATTATTATATTATATTATTATTATATATATACATATATATATACAGTATATCCAATATCAACCTTAGCAGGTGGCCCCACTCATGGCATTTTCTCAGGATGTGGGACCGCGAGATGCTGCAGCTCTGCAGCGCCACGCAGCGCGCCGCGCTGTGCGGCTCGCTGCGCGATGGCGGACGCGCCAAGGACCTGGTGGAGCCCTACGTGCCGCTGCGGCCGCCACGTGCGCTGGAGAAGCCGCCCGTTATTCGGACGCTCGGCCGACGCCGGCAGGGCCGGCAACCACCACGAGGTCCTGTAGAGTCATGGGTCATGTCAACCCTGGATTAATAAAGCCCAAACGGTTGTTGAATTGGGGCGGTACCATTTAAGTATCATATTGTGACTATTTGGAGGGTACCCCCACATGGTTTATTAATCCGGAGTTGGCATTATCATCGCTATGAGTGATTGGAGTATTGACACAACGATGGTGACTTGGGCATGCACCATTTTAAGAATGTGTTTGTGGAGGTGTGTGTCATTAGGGCGGAAGAACTGCTAACCGGATGCACATCCACGCGCGTTGGAGCATCCGGGAATTTGGTAAGTGGCGATTTTACCACCCAAAACATATCTATCATATCTGGTACCCTCCGGTAATCAAACATGGCTGGCAGGAACATCCATCATTTAGTCCGATGTTGTTCCAACTCATTTGAAACTTCATTGATTGGGGATTTTGCAGCTAGCCATGTCCAAGTACTTGCATGACGATTTTCCTTTTGTAGCTGGCGGGTTCAACCTCAGTTGTCGGTTGTTCCGCTGAGTTGCCGACTAACCATCACCCCAATCGTGAATTTTGTTGATCGTTTCATAGAAAAGGCTTGGTGTTCAGATAAGTCTTGCGTAAAGATCAAGGTTTCTTGAACATCTTTGCTTGAAGCCAGCCCAGTGAATCATGCAGTGAAATCACTTTCGAAGTGTTTGAATTTGTGCACTTGTTTGACTATGTTGTATACTATAACTATATGATAATATACATACATTACATTGCATTGCATTGCATTGCATTGCATTACATTACATTCCATACATACAGACAGACATACACACATACATACATACATACCTACCTACCTACATACATACATACATACATCCATGCATACATACATACACACACATACATACATACATGGATAGGATATACCCACTTGTAGCTACCCCCACTTATATCTGACCCACTCATGCACAGTCCCTATCCATTTCTCATGGAGATTTAGCGAACCCTCCAGTCAAGTGAACCCCCAATAATGATAGATGGTTAAGATTCGCCCCTTTTTTGTTGATTACTGTTCTGCTTCTTGATGGTTGGTTAATATGCCTTTCCTTACTAAACCAGCCCCATTTTTGATCTTTTTTGGGGTTTTAGGGGTTGGCTTCCCTACAAATTACCATGGATCCCTTAGGTATCATCATCAGCTTCCCTCGCCCGCACGCGACCGCGGCTCGGGTTTCCATCCGGAGAACCATCGTGGCACGGTGCGCTTCAACCTGCAACTGGACGGAAGGAGGCCATTTCTGCCATCGGCGCAGGGGACTCTTGGCGTCGGCACCACGACATACTGTTTGTTGTGGGTAAAACAAGGTCATGTTTACCATCCCCCAGTCATCACCATTATATAAGTGGTATAAACATTTATAAACCATTCCCAGTCATGGGTGGTAAACATGACATTGTTGTACGATTCCCAAAGTTTCACCATTTCCAGTTTCATTCATAGGCACATCGCCAAGGATCTCATGGTGAATATCAACCATCATCTCCTGGCTTCACGTGGTGGGTGTGTCTGAAAATGGAACGGTATACTCCCCCATTGCCATTCATCAATAGGGAACCAGATAGTTTTTCACTTTGAATCATCCATGTTCCATGTCGTTTCACTTATATAATCATCAATTTTCCATGGGTTTTCCACACGAAACAACCAGAAAACCCGAAAAACAACGACCGTGGTTTTTTGGCAACCGGCCTCTGCTGGGTTCACCACGGGCGTGGCCGCCTAGGAAGGTGTTCCGGGAGCCAACATTTCTGCCCAGGGGCGAAGATTTGGCCCATTGGGACAAGGACGGAACAATCCGGGAAAGAAGCGGCACGTAAACGCCAAGATATTCACCAAAAAATGCAAATATTAGTATGATTATGTATCTTTGTGTATATATATGTATAATATGATATATGATTTTGTCTATATGTATCACATATGTATACATTATGTACGACATGTAAAGTGTAAAGATAACGAATCGTCAGACTCACCTTAAATGTTTGTTGATCCGACGGATGGGGAGTTCGAACGGCTTTCTGGCAGAGGTCACAGAGGTCATCATGGCTGCTGAGATGTGTGGCTACCACCATGGTAAACATCATGTATACCCTATGGAAAATCACCATTTTTAATGGGAATAACTTGGTATTATCTAGGAATTATCCATATTACCCACTGGTAAACATACAAACTAAGAACATCGCCATGCTATTAATGGGTAAATCAAGGAACTAAATTTTTAAATGGCAATTTTCAATAGCAAACTGTTTGTTTACCAGAGAGTAACCATGTTTCTTACTTTCAACACATCATTCTCTCCAAAAAAACACGCCATCTTTGTTTCACAACAAACATCAAAGCATCATGAACTAATATCAACCATCACAAACTGAAACAAACCATCATAGACCATCATAATTCCAGACCATCACACATCAGATATAACTCATAAATCCATACCAACCATGATCCACGATCAACATGTGAAATAATATGCAATATTGTTTACATAAACCTTTGTCACATCACCTTTATCGCATGTCAACATGACCCACCACCAACCATCATTAAACCCAAACAAACATAGATAGAAACCCATCGTAAACCATAGTAAATAACAAACCGCACATCATGAAACCAAAACTATACCCTCTGGTATTTTGACAAAGAGTAGGTATGGAAAATTCCCATGTTTATCAATTTTTGATATGTCAACCATCTATCAATCTGCCATTTTCCATCGCTATTTTCCGAATTTCCAAAGGAAATAAGGTTTTCCCTTTATCTTAGATTACCAGATGGTTTTTGTTTAAGACTAGAATCCTATATCATCATTCAATCCTCATTCAATTCCCATGTCAATCCTATTATAATACCTATAATAATAATAGATTACCTATCATATCCCATTCATTATTAGGTTACAGTAAATGTTAATTACCTATGATATCCCATTCATTACATACATTACCTATAATAGATTCCTATAATATCCTCATTTTAACGTTAGCAACTCCACGTCTCCAGGAACGCATCATTGCCCCGGAGCGCGCCTATCGCGCCAGCGAGCGCGGCAGCTCCAAGTTCTACGACGAACGACGGAAGCAGCTGCCCGCGTGGAAACCCGCAGGTGCCGCCGCAGCGGATCTTGGGCACATGTGAACTGAATGGAGATATAACGAAGTTGTAAATGGCGAAAGTTCGTGGTTTTTCCTTTTCAAAAAATGGTGATTTTCCAGTTCGTTATGTTAGTTAGTTTACCAGAGGGTAGGGGTTTAATATCAGGTTATATCAGTTATATCTTGTAACCAAGTGTGGTCTCTTTGTCTGTGGGCATTTTTGGCAGTTGAGACTATATGGGAACCATATGGAATTTTATAGAAACTATATAGAAACTATATGGAGATTTCAGGGGGAAAATAGGCCACTTGTATTAAGAGATCATATTATAATCATGTTGTTTTCATAGTATGGTATGGGATGGTGATGATTGTGAAAGGTTACAAATAGTATAATTAAACATAGGCATAAAATCAAATTCACATTCATGATTCATGATTCGTGACTGCAATGCACACCCCGAAAACAATGTGAAAAACAATGAAAAAACAATATATATATATATGTATGTATGTATGTATGTATTATCAATGTCACGAAAATGGTGTTTGTAGAAACGGTTTTGACGGTTTCCGACTGTATCATGATAGTACGATTTGGGATAGTCTGAAACGGTCTCGACGGTTTCATACTATAACATGTCGGGGCCTTTTTCAGAGACGGTCTCAGACGGTCTCAGACGGTCTCAGACTATATCCGTTTTTTCGACTTTTTTGGATGGTTTAGTGTGAAACGGTCGCGACGGTTTCTGACCCTAATGACTTTTACAGTAGGAAACGGTCTCGACGGTTTCAGCACACATTTTTTTTGCTACCATGGGTCATCATATTTTTTGATGTTAAAATTTAAAAACATGATGTAAATCATAAAATCATGAGAAATATGATATATAGAATATATTGTGAATACTTACAATCAAAATTCATACGGAATGCGTGATGGCGTTTTGAAATTTCAGAATCCAGATTCAATGAGAAATGAGGATAGTGAAGCATACATGATGAGGATGTTACATGAGGTTCAAGAAAGAAGATTAATCAATTGAGGAATGACGATTTCATGAGGTTCTAGAATGAAGATTAAATGAGGGATGGGGATTTGGTGAGATTCTAGGCAAGAGAATTCAATGAGGGAGGATTCAATGAGGGACTAAGATTTGGTGAGAGAACGAGGATTGGTGAGGTTCCAGACTGAGGATTAAATGAAGAATCAGGATTTGGTGAGATTCCAAAATCAGGACTAAATGAGGAATGAGGATTTGGTGAGGTTCCGGAAAAATGAGGAATGAGGATTGGGCGAAGTTCCAAACTGAGGATTAAGTGAGGATTAAAGCAGGAAACCAAAATATGATGCTTTCCAGTCTGCGGCTCGCAGAAAATCTCATAAAGCTAGGCTTTAAGGCTGAAGGAGAGCTGGAGACCGTCTCAGACCGTCTGAGACCGTCTCTGGGAGCCTCGTTTCAATAGAAATCAGAAAACATGCAACATACAGGAATCACAGGAATATAATGAAACTGCCATGATCTATGCTGAAACCCTGGGGCTGTGTAGAATCAGGGGGCTTGTGAAACTTGCTAGGTTTCATCGAAACCAAACCGCTCATCAGGGGCGGTGGGCTGGGCCAATGCCATGAAACAACGCACACACACACACATATATATATATATTTATTTATTTATTTATTTATATTGGCTGAAGGGTTAAGGTTTCCAGGGTCAAGATTTAGAATGTTGCTGAGTAAATATCTGCACATTCCAGATGGAAGTGATTTACATCTTGGCCCGAATGCGATACCCCATCTCATGTGTCCAGAAACTCGTTTATTTTTCACAAACCCCGAAATTGACATGAACCTATGAATGGACATGAACAACATAAGCACTGAACACACATCATACAGTCGCGCAAGGCCTACAAACTGCAACATCAGGCAATCCCAAAGAACAACATTTAATAAACAATAGAATCATACGTCATATCATTTCATCGTATCAAAGAATCATATATCATAGAATATGGACCATAGGTCACAAATCACATCAAAGACTGTTATATATAACTATATAGTTATAGTCGTAGTTAGAACAATAGTCATAGTTATCTATAGTCTTTAAACTCTAACCTATCTTTAACATTGATACGACTGACTCATTTGTCACATGATTATGATATGATATAACATGAACAACATGATATGATTCATGATATGATATATGGCTCTGATATGGCATATGACAAGGTGACATGACACGACATGTCAAATATCACTTATCACACCTCAACCGACAGAAGCAGGTTGGCTTTATGTGTCTGTGGTCCAAATAATAGTGTGTCATGACACCAGGTGATGATGTATATGTGGCTTCAATTTGTTTTACGCCCCATTGATTTTCCGAATTGGCTTGTGATATTCAGAAGGAGATGAATGAATCAAAATTCAATGGCCCGAAGGCTAGACTTGGAAGACCGTTTTTTTTTCAATAATTATGTTATTTATTTACTGAATATATTATTCAAATATTGTTTTATACACTGTGTGACAAGTGACATGTGAGTATCCAGACAACATTGGCAAGATTTTTCACAATATAGTTTCTGAAATTTCAATATAGTTTCTATATAGTTTCAGCTGATATACTTATAGGTTCTGAAATTCCAAAGTGTATACGTCAGAAACTAGCTGATAAAGAGGCCATACCGGGCCCTAAGTTATATCCTATTTTTTTTGGTGGTTATATGTAACGATGGTTATACCGTTATACCCATTTGTAACCTCAACTGCATCCCGAAGTACAATGCGGGTCCCGTGTTTACAATAGCTGAGTTGGTGAACACTTCACGAACATATTTCACATTCGGGTTTATGGTGCAAGGGGGGGCCACCTTGCATTCTAATCCAGTACCAAAAGATTTCTACTATAGAATGATATTAGTGCCTATGAACCTGTCATTCTTTTTGGATGGGGATATTTCCAACAAACAACGGGGAGAATTTCAGAGCAAAAAAAAGGGGATTTGAGCTCTGAAGAGTGGTCTGGTTTCCGCATCAGTCACGTTGGATTGAATCGATGGATCTCGGGGGATGGCATCAGGGTGAAATGTTTCACCAACCCGTTGCTAGTCCAACATCAGTGTAAAACTATGTTAGCCTCTGGTAATCATTAAACATAGCTAGGGAAAAAAAAGGGTTCCGTTGACGTAGATGTTATGTGCCGAAAACAAAATGCTGGTGTTTTAGGTTTTCCATAACTATGTCATGTTGGATTTCCAGAGGGGAGCAGTCGGAGCAGTCCCTCCAAAGAAGAATAACAAAAAAACATGTCTACAAGGGTGCTACCCCCTGGTAAACTAACATAACTATAGAAAATCTCCATTTTCAATGGGTAAATCCACTATAGATGGGCCATTTTCAATAGCTATGTTAAATTACCAGAGGGTAAATATCTTTCATTGTTTGGCAACACTCAGGGGTGGAATTTTTCATACCCAGCAAGAAAATCAACTTTCTCCAGGCATCATTTGAAAAAATTGGCAACGTGACGATGCAAAATGGGTACCTGGGAGGGACCCGGAAGACAAAACAAAGGCGATAGATTTGGGTGAGATTGATCCCTCATATTTTATTCCAATCTCACTGTCTGAGGGAACATGATTGACCAGGGTGCATCCGTTTGACCCTCCTAATTGGCAATTGTTTGAAAGAGAAAAGACTGATAAATCATCAGAATTGCCTTTCCAAAACCTGATTGGCCATTTCAATCAGGTTTATCAGGTTTATTTCAATTATGATTTTGATGACCGTTGATCCCTCATGTTTATCCAATATTATTTGTTCGATAGTTTTCCATTCGTTCCAAGATTTCCTGCCAGAGGAGTGTGCCAGTTATGTAGGACATCCCCGGAAGACGGGCTTCCAAATCACCCGACTATCGTTATTTATTATAGTTGTAAGTGCAGAAACCCCAGTAACTATAGTTGTAAGTACATATAAGTACCATAAATTACTATATGATTGTCGTTATAAATCAACTTAGCTATCGACCTGGGGCCCCGGGGGCCTATGTCCATAAACATGTTGTTTCAGGCTATCTCCATGACATTCCATTGGGGCAGCTTGCCAACCAGTCACCGCTGGTTGGCGTTGCCGCCAGGCAGCAAGGTGCTAAGACACGGCGACCTCTCTCGGGTGGGTGCCAATTTAATGAGGGGCGCCGGCATGCCGCGGTGACGTTGACACTGTTGACACTATAGTCAATTACTTATCTGGTTGGTTAATCTATGGTTAATCTATGGTTAATCTATGGTTAATCTATGGTTAATAATTGGAATAACAATATATTTGGTTGGTGGTTTGGAACGTTTCTTATTGTTCCATTCAGTTGAGAATAATCATCCCAACTGACGAACTCATATTTTTCAGAGGGGTAGGTCAACCACCAACCAGTACGTACTTATTGTCAGCCCAGGTCCAAAGTCAATGATCAATGGTTACTAGGATTAGTGTGGGGATGGTACTAGGATCAAAGATCTTAATACGGCTTTTACCACGAAGTTACTTGGCACATGACACCTTGAAAACTATCACAGAAACCAAAACCACACATTTCCAGCATGACGCATACTGCATGCTGCATGCTGCATAATAGATAAGAGAACATTGTTTCAGAGCAACTGTTGGGGAACCTTAATCATCGTACATTTATGTACATTCTATATACAGAGTATAGACACTGTACGTATACAGTATATATATACATAAATATGTCTTATAGACTGTTATAGACATATGTGTTGAAATGACCTATGTTCAATGACTTTGGGATAACATGTGGATACCACATGACAGACCCGACAGTCGGCGTTAGACGTGATTTCTTCAGATGACTGAGATGATGGACATCGAGAGACGGAACATAACCACTCATCTCAAAATGTTTGGAATGATGACCCCAGACTTACCCTCTGGTTATGTCAAAATAGCGAACTGGAAAATGGCCATAGAAACTTCGTTGATTTACCCGTTAAAAATGGTGATTTTCCATAGTTGTGTAAACGTTTACCGGAGGGTATCAATATTTGAGCCCTTCTGGTCTCCAGATTTTCAGCACCGGGGGGTTTACGTAGGGGATATGTGGTTGATATAACTCCAGATAATTTTCACCTATTTGGGAGGTTGATGTAAGGTAATTTGCAGAACACGTGCGAAGCCGCTGCAGAAAATGTTGTCGGCCGACCGGCCGGTTCGATGAAGGGTGGGCGCCAAACACTGGCCCTCCCACGACGTTCTCGGATTTTTTGGTTCGTTTTTTTTTGGTTTTCAACTACCCTCTGGTAAACTAACATAACTATGGAAAATCACCATTTTCATTGGGTAAATCAACGAACTAAATGGCCATTTTCCAGTTCGCTATGTAACAAATTACCAGAGGGTACCCGTTCTATTTGTTGCCATGGAACATCCATGAAATCATCCCCCGTAGAGAGATGAAATCCACAAAGGATTCACTGTTGGTTTCAGAAGAATCCCAATTTGGGGATGGGTTGAAATCAGGCTCAATGTCCATACAATCTATACACGTCAGTACGTGTCCATACTTTCTTTTTGCACTGCTTCCCTGAAAAGCTGACGTGAAATGCTCTTGCTTCGATGGTGAGTCCACTTGGGGCTAAACTCCCTCGATTCATGTCCTGGACATCAGCCTTGTTTTGGTTGTCCGCCCCCCTTGAAACCTTCCAGTTTCTTTGAGTATTCCATGCATCGAGTATGCATTACGTAGATGACTGGGCCCCCTTCTGGCCATTTTGTCACACATGGACCATATCATATTGGACCACTGGACCATTGGACCATTGAGTAATTTCATGGCTACCCTCTGGTAAACGTTTACATAACTATGGAAAATCACCATGCTATTAATGGGAAAACTCACCAGTTCTATGGCCATGTTCAATAGCTATTTTGACAACCAGAGGCTAGTGAGGCTTCTAAGATGCGTCACATTTTGCGTCCAGATGCGTTTCCGGCAGAACTCATCCGAGAAGGTCGTGCAATCGTTGAATGTTTCGACGGGATGTCCAGGCCGAGCTTGTGCCGAGCGAGTGCCAGTGCCAGTGATGAATATTGCTGACAGGAGATCACCAAAAGGGCAAACCTGAAACAACGCGGTGGATATGTATATATATATATATATTATTATTATTATTCTATATTAATATAAATATAGATTATTACAGTAATTAATGATTATTATAGATTCATCCAGACTTGACAAGTTTGGAGTGTTCTACGTTTTCGCTTCGTCACATTTTCTCGCTTCTGGGGTCTGCACAAAGATCATCAGACGATCAAGTGGTTTCAAGGTCCATCGCTGAAAAAAAGTCTACTTACCAGGAACATCAGCATTCACCATAGTAGCCTACAAAAGTGTTTTATCACTTTTTTTAGTTTTCAGTAGGCTCTTACTTTTCTATCTTAACTTGGGGGTTGCCAAAAACACTCGCCACCTCTGCATTTCTTCTGCGCCAGCGCACCTCTGCAGAAGCTTCGGAACTGAGCCGATGGCGGGTTGAAAATTCATGCCTCCCATCACGACAACTCACGGAGTCCCGAAAAGACGTTGTCACTGCAGCGTATGACTGAAGTGCTGGTAGCATATATACCCTCTGGTTATGACTAACACTTTGCCATGGTATAGATGGTTCATAGAAATAGATGGTTTACCTATTAAAAATGGTGATTTTCCATGGCTATAATAAATAACCAGATAGTATATATATATATATGTATTTATAATATATACACTGTATATACACAGCTGTTTTGATAATGCTATTAGGGTTATGTGTACACCTGGATGTTCTTTAAAACCTAAATATTCAGTGTTTAGGGCTGATTAGGAATCCTACCAACCATACTGTGCCATACTCATAATCCCATATGTATATAAATGTATATAATTGTGTATATATATATATATACACAATTGTATATATATATATATACATACATGCACATTCCCATTATCGTTTAGCATATGTAGACATCCTACTAGCCATAATGGGAATATTGCGGAATAGTTCCAACTGTACATAATGTTGTATAGTTATCATGGTTGATATATTATCTATGTATATATATATGTATGTATCACTATATATATGTAAACTATACATGTGTCCCAACTATATACATGTTTGTTGCCATACATATAGTGATTTACAGAATGCAATATTCCTACTTGGTGGATCATCCCACTTAGTAAGTGGGTTATAACCCCAGTTATAAGTGGATTAACTTTACTTATCCCATTTATAACTGGGGTTATAACCCACTTACTAAGTGGGATGAACCACCAAGTACTATATCATATAATTGCATCATCATCATCATCATCATCATCATCATATATATATATACATATTCATCACTTTTTGGAGTATAACCATTAACCATGATAACATATACTCCCTTACGTGACGCCGTTCCCCAGGACCTAGGCCAGGCCCCCGTGACGGTGACCTACTGCGACGCCGACGCCGCTGTGGCCGTTGTGGCGTTCCAACACCTGCGAGGCCGTGAAAAATACGATGAAAACCATGGTCCAACGGCAAAACGATGCAATTTAATGCAATTTGTAGATTTTCAAGCACGACTTGGGATTGAACATGATTGACAAGTTGTAAGTTTAGTTTAGTGTGACATAATTTGATGGTGATTTAACTAGGATTTCACCGAGAAAGAATGGAGATGTTCAACGGAAAATGTGCAATGAGGACAAAATAGGGGGTATTCACTAAGAAATATGGGGATGCAAACCCAAAATCGAGTTGTGCTAGATTTCAGAGCCAAGATCAGGCAAGTATGGGGGTGACAGTGACGGTGGGAGGAATCAGGTGGTTCAAATTGGTTGTTTTCCATGGGGCGTTCGCATGTTGGATCCAAAGTCGATCTATTTAGTCTACCATTGATATACGTATATAATATATATATATATATACCAATCCAATGGTAAAAGTACTAAGATTAGGGGTAAAAACCCATTTGACAACATCCCGTTTTCTTCGTGAAACAATGTTGTCAAATGAATTTGGAATTTGGATCTAAGTCGCTGATGGTTTTGAAGCCAAAAGTCAATGGGATGACTATCCCAATGGTTCTCATGTGATACGTTTTGGGTGGCTCGAGCATACAGACAAAAAAATCACAAAGAAAAGAAAACACCATCAAACACATAAGAAGTAACTAAGTAATTCCTTGGATGATTTGAATTTTGTTTTTGTTAAATCATGGTGGGTAAGTGATTTCAATTTTAGTCACCTGACTGGCCCAGAACCGAATTCACCAAGGATATGTTTCTGGGTGCACTTACTATACCTTCCGACGGTCCGAAAATGGGCCACTTCTCTTCATGGGGATTAATCCTTGTGGACATCCTGGCATTGCCAAGATTTAGTGCTGGCCTTCAAGTGGATCATGTCATCACTGCTCCTATGTTTTTTTTTGTGATTGGTCTTTATATGATAGATCAATGGAAGGTAAAATTGTATAATATAGACCATAATTATGATAAGGTGTTTGTAATACTAAATTTTACCTTCCATTGACCTAATGTTGACCGTATACAGATATTATATTGATGTGTTCATCATATGATTCGAATCATGGATACGTTGATTGTGTCCTCGTTTCTTGGTTGCTTCTCCATCAGTGACATCCGATGACCTTCGGATCATCGATCCTGGTGCTGATTTACCATTGTCTACCCTCTGGTAAACGTTTACATAACAAACTGGAAAATCACCGCTTGTAGTAGGTAAATCAACGAACTAAATGGGCCATGTTCAATAGCCATATTAGTTTACCGGAGGGTAATATGGTTTACCGTTTACCGTAACATTTCCTCCAAGAATCACTCATTTGTACAGAATATGGCATCCATTTATCCACCTAAAAGCGGTAGTAACACTCCCCAAAGCCACCCAACATGTCAGGTTTGTTGATGGAATCATGTGACGCACCCAAACATTTGCATATACCCATTTCAAATTACCCATTAACGTAGGTCTAAGCAGGGATGGCAGTACCATCATACATGTTATGGGTATTCTCCCATTAAGTTGAAATCGAGATGTATGATGATCCAGTTGATATAAGCTGACCGTGATAATCATTATAGTATTTGATAGTTCTCAATTCTTAGCATATAGAATATTGAACTTAACTGATTCCAACAGTTCTGTTGGCATTTGACGAAACCGCTTTCTGCGTGGCCGGTTTTAGACACGCATGATGGTCACCTGCAGGTCGCAAGAAACTGGATTCGGACCTGGCGCTGGAGGCGGGGTCGGTGGATTTAGACATGGCACCAAACAGTCTACACGATTCTACACGTTTTATTGGTTCTAAACATGTTTTAACATACAAGTTATCAAGAAAGAATCACGCATCATTTTCAGTATGTGTTTTTGTTTTCAGCAGTAAATTGCCGGAAAGTATGGGTGCAGTTTGTGTGCCCGGGTTGCAAATGTCGACGCGTGCAACAGGCAGAATATCAACGTACATATTATATGTTTCACATTGTTTGACCATAGGAAGATATTGGTGACACGAATGCAGTTGTTGGCATTGGTTTGATTTAAGTGACATATTACAGGAAAGTCCAACCAAATTGATGGTAAAAGCCATCGTTTCCGTTTAAGATATTCCCTTCAACCAGGAATCAGCATGGCTTAACTGACCACATCCGATTTAACATCCATCTCTGCTGACAGGTCAAGATGGCGGAAAGTCCCAATGTGATCGAAGTGGGATGAAAAAAAGAGCGGCGCCCGGAGATGCCACTTCTGGACATGCACAGCCGTTTTCTCGTCTATTGAAGCACACTAATATAAGTGGATAGTAGCCACATAAATAGAGAACAACGCATCATCATCAAAATAGTATATAATATACAGAATCACTGCAGTTTCGTTTTTTTTTTGTGTTTTTTCTTTTAGATGTGTGTATATATATATATATACATACATAAAAAAATAACGCACGTAGCGACACATGGGTATGCGTCGGAATATGAGACTCCCTGACCCCCCAAAAATGCAGGTCATTGGTCATTTGTTTCCATATTTTTTGGGGCAAAAATTCTGGATTCTCTGGGGTGAACCACTCACCAAAATGCTGACACTGTCCATTCAAAAAACAATAATAAGAAAATATAATATGAATATATATAACATAATATAATATATATATTATATTATATTATATTATATTATATTATATTATATATATATATTTGAATATAGACATTGATGGGAATGGGTACTATCTGATGGTATGAAATATATATATTATATCTACATATGTTGATTATGTTGCATCTCAACAGATGGGATCAGTTTTCCTGCATTTCCGCTACTGCTGCGTTCGGTTCAGAGTTGAAACGAGCTCCGCCGGCCAAACAAAGGGCCCGAAGCGGCCGGCTGGCGGATGCTACAGTGACTAAGTTGCGAGTGCGGGAGCGGTCTTTTTGGAGCGGTTGGAAAATGATGGAAAATGTGCAGGAGATGCCAATTATTTTTAGATATGATTCAGATTTGTCCATTATTCTTTTGCGAGTTTCAGTCCGCCGTGGTTTCCTACATATGGATGCATACAAAGAAAAAACAGGTGTACAACTTTACAAACCTACCTTCTTAGGTGGCTCCTGTTTTTTTGCCAGAAGAAAAAACTTAGCGTTGGGAATCCAGTGTCAAGTTCGACAAATTGTGTGGACTGTGTGGGTGGAGAAACTTGAAAATGTCCCAGCAATGAATGTGGCAATTTTTATGTGCAACAGTTACATCCATTCAAATGTCCCATCATGTTACTGTACATCTACTGCGAATGTGGGTCAAAACTCATCTCACATGGATTTGATGCGGAGGATGGTTGTGGAGTTGTGGAGTGTCCTGCAATGGGCTCATACCGGTTCCACATCCTGGTGACCTGGTGGCTCCGTGATGTGATTTTCAAAAATCCGGCTCACCAGAATCACCAGAATGGCTTGTACCAAAAAAAACTGAGTTTTTTTCAGGATCATTGACTGGGGTCTCCACCAATTTTAAGGGACCCATCTTGATCCCTTCTGGTCGGGATCATCCTATCGTCGTTTCAAACGTTGCATTGAAACCTCCCCACTATCCACGTTCCACGTGTCTCGATCATGTTCCTATAAGCACTTGGAAATGTCCATTCGGAACAGAGCTGTTTCTTCTTGGCATTTTGATGAGATCGCTGAAGGTAGACCTGAAAAGAAGATCAAAGAAGAGCCGACCTTGTTTATCAGCTACCCTCTGGTAAACAAACAGTTTGCTATTAGAAATGGCCATAGAAATAGTGGATTTTCCCATTCATAGCTTGGTGGATCTTTCCAGTTCGTTATGTTAAATTACCAGAGGGTAAGAGGTAAACTAACATAGCTATGGAAAGATCCACCATGCCATTAATGGGAAAACTCACGAACTTTCGACTGGGCCATTTTCAAGTGCAAACTGTTGACATATGTTGACATAACCAGAGGCTTTAAGACATAGTGGGCTTTCATCCCAACTGAGGCGAGATGGAGGAACTGGATTCCCATGGGATGCGCGTCCAGGTAGGGATCCCCTTACTCGTTCTGGATGCGTCTCGTTCTGGGGCCTTTTTTAACCAACTGTGACCAAGAATCGTAGCATTTGTTGGGGCAAATGCATCATTGTAGAATATGATATACTTGTCTGATGTTGGTATATATAATATATATATATATATACACATATATATATATACATGTATATATATATTATTTATGTAGCCCATTAAATGTGATGTATTTAGTGTGGCTATCCCCCATGTTTGGACAAACTCAACCAGAATAGATGCGATGCCATTTTTCATACACTCAGCAGGTTTTTATGGGTTTGTCCATATAAGTGGGCGATTTACCCAGAAATTACTCCATTTTGGTGTGAAAAAAACAACAAGATAAACCTGGCTGGCAAAGATGCAACATCTCCAAGCATAGGGACTCAAAGTGATGTTTCTAGGTATGGGTTCAAATCCATGATGCTATCTGTACAGGATGGGCCCCCCAGTGATGTGAACGTTGGTTTATAAACCATGAATTAACCCCCATTAACTATAGGTATATCTAACATAAAGCATAGTTAGTTAAGCCACACTTATAAGGCAACTTAGCTATCTTGGGGCCCCCATCCTGTAGGGGTGTGAACATCCATCTATCTATGCCAGTTAGTTTGGATGTGAACACCAGGTTGCCAGGGAAAGTACTAGCTGGAAACGACCAGCCGCACACCAATCATTTTTTAATTTTGCAGCAGTCAGTCAAAGCGTCACTACTTTGAACTTCTTTTGATCAGAGTACATGGTCAGGATATTGATACAATAGCTGTTGGATTTAAGGTGAGTATATCTTTGGATATGGTTTAATATGACTAAATATAAGATATATTTGCGGAGATTTCATGGAATCAATGCAATAAACTGCATACATTTTTTCATGGCTCGCTGTAAACCAACTTACGACTTGGGCGTTCCACATCACAGCATCTACCCTATGGAAAGTGGCCCAGTCGAAGATTGTTTACCAACAATGGTGATGTTTTTTGTTGCGTTCCATATAGCTATGTAAGATTCGTAGAGGGTAAGCAAGTCGGCACAGAAAAATGATGGAGATCTGACCCAAACCTTGAGACGTTCACATACTGGTTTTGCAGCTTGCTGGTCAGACCATCGCAGGTCAAAGTCATCCCAAAGGCTTGCCGTACGCTCAGATTTGTTTTCCACAGGTCCAGACTGCGGAGATCGTTCCTCACCAACATTTTGAGTTGGGCTTACTTTCCTTGCTTGGATCTGGGGAGTGCATCGGTTCTGCCCACATACCTTCTTGGATTAATGTGGCTTATCCTTACGCATTCATCCGGCTTGCTGGGAACTCTGTTTGGGCTCCGTGCGCTTCAGTTGACTCCATCCAGATTAACCAACCGGCTGGTCCGACAAACACAGGTCACAGTTATTCCGCGGACTTTCTGAGTGCTCAGTTGGGCTGCAAACCGGCCCAGACTGTGGAGATCGTTCCATCCCGGGATGTCGATGTGGGATCGCTTTCCTTTATTCGCCCTCGGGAGTGCCTTGGTCGATTTGCCATACATGTTGTGATCATCGTGGTGTCTCCCTTTGCCTCTATGGCAGTTTGCTCGGACTCAGTGTGTTTCAACGGCATCCATGCAGAGACAAGAAGGTGCACATCTTCATCAGGCAACAGAACGAAATAGTTGGTCGGAAAGCACCACAAGTGCATGGACTGATGCGCATAGCTTCGCAACGGCCATGGTTGCTCCACAAGAGAGCTTTTTGCCTTGGTCTCAATTCTTGCACAGCCTTTTGCCTAGCTTGACACTGATTAGACAACTACTGCTGCTGAGTACTTCTGTGAAGGCCTGCCCTTGGCCCTCTAGGTTCTTTGCTCCCCAGTGGTACGTTGACGCTATGGAAGTGACTGGTGATTGGGGTCCCTGTCACTTTGTGCAGCATGTGCGGAGGACTGGACAGTTCTGCAGGTGTTTACGTACTTTGGGCGTGCCTTTGGTCTCGACGCTTGACCTGGCGCCGATGATGCTGGCTTCATCCATACTTGCGCGAACTGTTGGGCAGAAGCTGCTGGTGCAACCTCTGCATGCGTGGCTTGCTGAGGTGGAGGCTGTTAATTCGATTCACGCCGAACGGCGCTTACATGGCATGTTGCTGCTGACACCGGGTCAGCTTACAGCGGTCGTCAGGCAACCCAACAAGGGTTGCTTGCCCCTGTTTTGATCACGGTTACATAGTGCTTCATTCCTTACCCCGAGCAAGCACGATCCGCAGAAATGGTCAGAAATGGTGGTTTGGAACATTTTTTATTTTTCCATATATTGGGAATCATAATCCCAACTGACTAATATTTTTCAGAGGGGTAATGTCCACCTCTGATTTATAAATAGGCCCCCCCCCCTCCTCTTTTCCCCTAAATAAACTTAAAGCCACCATCAAATTTGTTTGTATGTAAAGGTTTTCAATTACCACACTTTAAAACGCATACATAAAATGCAATTTCAAAAAAAAAGGAATCCAACATTTGTTTTAGTATTGATCTAGTACTCATGTCATGGATTTAGTATTGATTTAGTATTGATTTAGTATTCATGTCATGGATTTAGTATTGATTTAGTATTGATTTAGTATTCATGTCATGGATTTAGTATTGATTTAGTATTGATTTAGTATTGATTTAGTATTCATGTCATGGATTTAGTATTGATTTAGTATTCATTTCATGGATTTAGTATTGATTTAGTATTGATTTAGTATTCATTTCATGTATTTAGTATTGATTTAGTATCTGGGTTTAGGGCCAAAAACATTTAGCTTTATTCAGGGTCAAACTCTAATAAGTGCCAAGGCACCTCATGGGGGGTACCCTTGACGAGTTGATTTGGGATTGATTTTGGATAATTTTTGAATAAAGGTTTTGAATAGAAAAGAACAACCATTATTTTTGAAAATTTGAAGTTATCAAGGTAAGATCTAATGAGCTGGCAATATGAATTAGTACATGAAAGCCACTTCAAATAAAGCATGGACAATTTTGTTCAGCTCCATCTGGGCAAATCTGGGTTTAGGGACAAACAAAAATTAGCTTTATTTAGGGATCATTTATTATTAATTTTGGAAAAAGATAGTTTTATTCAGGGGGCATTGATAAATCGTAGGTCAACATTAGGTCAACCACCAAACAGCATATCATTCATACTGCACGATGTTTTTTTCCTGAATCCCAACCTCAGTTCCGCCCAATTTGTTGACAACAAACGTGTTGGGCCGGACATTGGTGTGCCTAAAACAGGGGTATAGCCGGTATGGAGCAAACCGTATACCCCAAACCCACTGTTGAGCATCATGGTCTCGATCAACTGATATTAGATTATAGCCAAGTTGGGGTATTTGCACCATTTTCAGTCCCACCCACATCTGGTTTTGGGAATTTCAAACATGTTCATTCTTCCTGGGTGAAATTCACATCCTTATGTTTGATGCGGCAAATCTCCATGTTTGTTGGATATTGTTGGATATTGTTGGATAATCACCAGATGTTCCACCATATGGGTGTGTGTCTGAAATTGGGCTATTAGCAGCTATACCCTCAAATGGTCATTTCAATAGGGAAAATGATGACAATTTTCAGACAATTTAGTTATGTTACCCTCTGGTTATTTAACATAGCCATGGTATAGATAGCCCATTTATAGATGGTTTACCTATTAAAAATGACGATTTTTCATGGCTATGTTAAATAACCACATGGTAGGTGCTAAACTGTATACAATTATAACTAAAAAAACAGATACAAAATCGTTTATAACTATATGACTAACAATTTTCAATAGGGAAATACGGTGCTGGTGAGCGCCCCATTTTGCCCGGATTTTTCTGGCCGGTCTTGCGGCAGGCTATGTGCACCTGATGCAGGACTCACAACCTCCAAGCCCAAGGGAGACACACCAGGCGAGTTGGATGGATAGTTTTGTATAGTTTAGTGCTAAATACCCTCTGGATCCCTCTGGTTATTTAACATAACTATGGAAAACGGCCCATTTACAGATGATTTTCCCATTAAAACATCCATTTATAATGGATTTTCCATAGCTATGTTAAATAACCAGATGGTAAGTTGTTTTGGCATATCACTTGGATTGTCTGAAGATTATTTTTCCAACCGGAAATCCACTAGTTGGGGAATCGATTAAGGGAATATGTTTTTTGGGGGGGACCAAGGTCATGATGGGGATATACGAGCCTATAACCAAGTGTTTGTCAGACTTGTCAATCGGATAAACCATGATAAACCAAACATACCGTAAGCGGTGTCATCAAACATGGGGCAGGCCTCAGGTCGCTGAGAAATCCCAGAAGTTTTTCATGGAGGTTTATAGCTTTGAAAATCATTTTTTTATGCATGGGGAATTCCCCAGCTAGCCATGTTTGATTATCCGAGGCTAAGGCTAAGGTTGAGACATGTACAGATGAATAGGTGTAGACCTAACATGACCTGGCCATGTTTTCTGATTTTCTTTCTCAGGGCAGCAAAGATTGGCCATGTCCCGAAAATAAACATAGACTATAATTGCAATATAGATCTGGAACAATCACCAATTGCTGCAGATCATTTTTGGAACCGAAAACCATGTGTTTCCCATATGTTGATTTGTTAGTTGACTGCAGAGTAGCAAGACAGCAGTTCTTTTTGTTGCAAACCGAATGCCGTAAAACATCCCGAACTCCAACATGTTCACCTGAAGAGGGGGTATCATTTTTACCATATCTCACATATGGTAATATGGTGTTTACCATGGTGTTTATTTAATATGTTTTGGCCCCGGCCGCGGCTTGCAGCGGCTGAAAGATGAGCATAAAATTCACCATGACTTAAGAGGGGATTGAATCGCCAAGAGCAGGAAATTCCGCCACGGCTTGACGATTTCATAGATTTCATCATCACACATAGAGGATTTTTCACATGATTCAACCTGAAATTTCACCCATTTTGTTTGGGGGATATTGAGATATTGATGGTTAAATAACCCATCAGTTATACTGAGGGTTCAACCCATCAAACCAACCAACCCTTGGTACTGCTTCCATCAGCGGTTTGATCATTGCTTCATAGTCTGAAACGTATCCCATTTCGACTTGGAAGGTTTCCCAAGCAAAAATCGCAGAAACCAATTAGAATCTCTTTCAACCAGGATATGTTTGGGGATCGAACCCACTTGTCATCTATACTATGTCTGTGGGTTTCTCCCTACATTTATGTTTGCTGTCGAAAATTATGGACATCACAATAACCAGGGGTACATCTCCTGTCCAACAATTCACACCTTCAATGAACACGTGGCTTTCCACACTCATCTTGCTATATGTCATTTTATCTTCAGTTCTAACTTACAGTACATCTTACATATAACTTATAATTCTTCAAGATCTCACCGAAATTGTTTTTGCCACTTTTTTGTTCACCTCCCAGGTGACCCGGTTCCCAACGTTCGAATCATCACTTCGATACGCGCAGGTGCCACGGCCCTCCTGTTGGAGGTATCAAGGCTTCGTGACGATCCTGGTGGCCCTGCTGCTGCTGGGCATCGGCAGGACGGCGCTGCATGGCGCTGCGGCGTTTTCCGACGGGCTCAACGGTGGAGATGGTTTTATGGGGTAACTCTTGGAGGACTTATACAATACAACAACAGAATATATATATATATATTATATATACTATCCATTATAGTTGGATAAGTTAAGGATTAAGTTTGTTCCATGTCTGATCTTTTTTGACAGATGATATTTTTCGTAATTATCATCATGTACAAACGGATGTTGGATGAATTCTGGTGGCTCAAACGTATCATTTCTCAACCGACTTGTCATCTCCAGCCGCGCAGGATACCTTGGCCCAAAGGTTGGGCTTTCCATCTTCGAGGCTTGGGGATTTGATATTATTTGATCAACCAAAACGGGGTATGTTTAATGGCAGTTGTTTATAGGGGATACCCTCTGGTAATTTGTTACATAGCGAACTGGAAAATGGCCTTTAGTTACTTTAGTTCATTGATTTACCTATCAAACATGGTGATTGTCTATTTCGTTATGTAAACGTTTACCAGAGGATAACCAACCACACATGGTGATTTGCTGGGAATTCATAGGGGATGGTCCAAAATCATGTGGTGACGAATCGTCACTGGAATGATGCGAATCTTAGGATTCGGGGAATCATTGGCATCTTTGTCACTTTGCAGGTGGCATTTATAACAGCTATTTGCTACTTGGTGGTTCACCCCCACTTAGTAAGTACGTCATACCCCTGGTTATAACTGGGCTAAGTAGGGTTAGTTCATTGAAATAACTGGGGTTATAATCCACTTACTAACTTTGATGAGCCACCAAGTATGGTTTGCATTTATTTATCCCCATCATTCTGGCATTATAACAGCCAGAGGTCTGTGAATTGGTTGAATTCCGTCAGATATCGGATAGCCCCAATAAAAACGGTTTGAAGGCACTGAAATAGCTTCACATTTTGGGGCACGCTCCATTGCCAGCATCTTTCAACAGACTTAACAACAAAGGAGGTACTAGATCTTTCAAAATGCAAACGGATACCCACCCTTAGCTATGCTTGGATGTTAAGCAAAACAATGTTTGGATGTCCGGAATTGCAAAAAAAACTATCAAAATCAGGAATGATATTTGTCAAATATTATGTTAAATATTGTAAGTCAAGGTATACGTATAACATGATGTGGTAAACCAAATGATGATGCGATAAGCCTCCAATATGTGGATGGTTTGTTCCACACATTCCGGGTAAAACTGGTACTCGTTTATTATTGAATATTATACCACAGTATTTAAAAATACGTGTTCATGTACAGCACACAGCAATGATGATTCTCAAAAATTCCTGAAGACTTCATGGCTGAATAAAGGACAACAAGAGATTGATATATGATGAAACCATAGACATTTCAAAACTAGTTCAGGATTATCATTGTGGAACCTGGATTCATATAAGATTCATATAGATTCATATACTAATCGTAACCCAGCCATAAATGATAATTTAATGATATGTGGTCATTGTTGAATCATGTTGAATCTATATTCCCATAGTTTGAAGCTACAATAGCCCCCTGTACCAATCAACAGAGGTATGTTCAATGGCTGAAGTGCTCTACTACAATCATGTTGATTTTGCACACTGTTTGATGCAAACCATTAAATCCGAGAGAGGAACGGGATTGATCTCACGCGAACTGTTGGTGCCATTTGAGTTTCTGACCTCCTGTCAAAGTCTACCATGATCTTCCAAGAAGAACAACCCGCTTTGTCGAGCTTTGATCATGGTAGATCTAAGTACCTTCTGGGGAGTATGTGCTTTGATTTTGGGGGTGAAGGACCTTTTTGGAAGCTTCTTGGATCCATGGGGCTTAGAAATTACCAGTGACGTAGACCATGGTTCGGTGAAGTCGTCTTCCAAACCCAACTCATCAAGGTCTGTTGGTGAAAACATGTTTTAAATGCACCTAGACCCTCCAAATACCCCCAAAAAGATGGTAAAAGTCCTAGATTATGGCGACTCTCCGTTTCCTCGTGTTTCCTCAAAAAACTGACCTACCTAGACCATTAGACTCTCAAATACCAACAAATGTTAAGAGTAGCCGTTGATTCTCTGGTGAAGTTTCACCTTTTTTTGACGGAGACAGCCCGTCCCGTTTCGCCCCTCCCGGAGCCCCGCGGCACGGTAGCGCCTTTCTCCAGGTAGCGCCACGAAGTGGAGGCAGCGATGGCCGGACTGGGTATTCCACAGAGACATCTTCTTGGTATCAGCAAATAGGTGGTATACAAAAAATGTATTAACCTGGTTGGTGGTTTCAAACATGGCTGGATTATTTTCCATAATAGTCATAATATATGGGATGTCATCCTTCCCATTGATGAACTCCATCATTTTTCAATATGGTTATTGCACCACGAAGCAGTATAATATATACTTACTTCCAGAAACCACCATATGTATACATCCCCAAGCTTGGTTTAATCCTTCAGCTTTTTTGTTGCCAGAAATGGAAAATAACCATAACCAGCAAAAGATGACATTTTTTGTTGACTAGCAAAGAAGCGACCATGACTATATTATGGACCATCATGTGGAGTATTTAGGAACCTTAGAATTACTGGAATGATATGTACTTATGATGATATGACTGTGATATAGTGATTATACGGTGACGTATGATTATTGTGATTTATTGGATTTATTGTCCCAAGATATAAACGATGCGGGGATTTAAAACAACTATAAAAGGGGCGATTTGCCGAAAAGCCGACAATCTATTGGAAGCGATAGGCAATAGGGAAATAGGGTGCAACTCCATCGTTTAGGTGATTTGAGAACCATACTATTTGCGTAAACCGTTGTGAATGGTACTTCAGTACTTTCATGCTTTGAGATTTTGGTGGAGAAGCTACTATCCAGCGAGGATTAGCCATGCAAGATCTAAATTGCCAGAATTGGATGGTGGGGAAGCTTACAGGAGCCCCCTGCTTTTGAGGAGAAAAAAACATGGTTTCCTCGAGATTTTCCTTAGAATCCATTGAAGAATTGTCAAACATGGAGGAAATGTACCACTCAAGTACCCGGCAATATTTGGTGTATATTCTGTCACTAATGGGTGCTAATAGAAATGTGGTAGGTACCTCAAAATGTTCCGTGCCTGACATTTTTCCTCATTTCTACCGTCCTCCGCACCACACATCTGGTGCGTTTTAGTCAGCACAGACGAGATACGCATTAGATTTAATGATTGCCCCTGAATCCCGCGAAGGCCTTCTGTGCAGTCCGCTTACCTGCAAGGACACAACTGTGGACCAATGCAAGTTCTCATGGCTTTGTCCAAATGTTGGGTATACCCACAATCCCTCTTTGGATTCCGGAAAATGATGGTAAACATGCGGAGGTTGGGGTATCCTATTTTCAGACAAACCCACATGTTATATCTTCCATCCTAGCTGTTTAGTGATGATCAAACCTTGACCAGGTCAGCAAGTTGGGATGTCTTTTTCCACTACCTGCCAGACCTAGCATTTTTTTAAGTGGCAATGGGTCAACATCCATTATTACCATGTTTGGGGGAATAAGCATCCACTAACCAGCTATTTTAGGTTTATCTTGGGTATCGAAGGTCCCAGGGTTTTGACCACCAAGTCTCCATGGCTTCGTGGGTAATGCGTTTCATGTGGTCCGACCTGTGTTCCAAACTTCTTGGAGAACCTTGGAGTACGTGGGGCAATTCTGTGTAAATGATGGGGCTGATAGGTCAACCATTCAGAAGTATGAGTCATACCACATATCCATGGGATTCCATGGGTCTATGTCCATAGATCAACCAAATAATACCAAACCATATTTCAGACTCCCTTTTCTTACCGTGTGACTGGCGATGTTAGGTTTATGTTTTTGGATCTGAGATGTATCGATGTGTGAGTCCCCAACAATCAGTCTGTCAGAGAAAACCAACAACACCATGCCAAAACATAGTAGGTAAATTGTTGCTATGTTTTATGATCATATGAGTAGCCGAGAAAATTAGCGGAAGACTAAGTAGTAGGGAGTGGATTTAGGATGTTCAAATTTGTGCGAGAACCTTGATAGGGGAGCACCACCCACTTGCCGGTACCCCATTTTCACACATAGCATGGAAATACAAACCTTTACAACCGATAGGGGACCACCCACTTTGGCCATGTCCATTGCGGATAGTAAGTAATTTTGTCCGCCACTTGTATGTTTCCTTATATATAAGGGGTCCATAGCAGATATTGATTTCCTGTAGCCTTTTTTCCAATCAACGAATCCATTTTCCATCAAGGGTTAGACAAGTTGATTTTGGGATAGTTTGAAGTCGCAGCCGGATTTGTCTGAAAAAGTGTTATCCCTAAAATCGTTTTTATCATGTTTCATCATTATTTCTCATGGTGAAACTATATGACCATATTTGTTTTGTGTTTCTTTATGTACCCCACGTGTGGAGAAACCGACATGAGATATGAACGAATAGATTCCGAATAGATGTGAATCATCAAACAGCGTGGCTTTACCTGGCAGCGTGAGCCAGAAGAAAGCTCGTTGCGCGTGTGCATTTTGCAGTGCATTCTTGTAGTGATGTATATGTATATATAATATGTCCATAGCTATATCAAACAACCAGAGAGTATCATAATATATTATATATATAATATATATATAATATATTATATATATAATATTATATATATATATATATATTTGCCCTCTGGTTATTTAACATAGCTATGGTATATATATATATATATATATAGCCCATAGAAATAGATGATAAGCATAAGAGTTCAATTCCCAGAGGCATGGCCATCGATCAGTGTCGCGGTTTGTGTCGCTTGGTGTCCCATCGGGGTGCATCGATCACCAACCCCTAACATGGTTGATTTTCCCATGTTTACCCTCTGGTAAACGTTTACATAACTATGGAAAATCACCATGTTTAATGGGTAGTCATCCACTATTTCTATCACCATTTTCAATAGTTATATTTGACATAACCAGATGGTATAGCTTTGAATCCAATTTCCGAACGGTGAATTTCTGGGTAAAAAAAATGGGTTTAGCGATGTAGGGCGCCTCTAATTCCACTAGTGAAAATCATCAAAAAGTTCATCATCATTTTCTGTACACAAAAAGCAAAACCACCGCTTCTTTTTGGTACCCTCTGGTAAACTAACATAGCTATTGAAAATTGCTATTTATAGTGGATTTTCCCATTAAACATGGTGATTTTCCATAGTTATGTAAACGTTTACCGGAGGGTATAAACCTCCAGGAAAGGTCACCCATCCCTTCAGGACAGGTCGGCGCACAACTGCCGCCCCATTGGATGACGCGCTCTATGGTCCCGGGGGGAATTAATTGCCTGGTTGAATGGTTACCCTCTGGTAATTTAACATAGCTATTGAAAATGGCCATTTATAGTGGATTTTCCCATTAAACATGATGATTTATCGTTATTCAATGTGGGAAAATAGCTATTCAATGGGAATCAATCTCAACAAATATTGGGATTTCAATGGGATTTCAAAAACATCAACAGAAATTCACCATAGATGTTTTGTGGGATTTCAATGGGGATTTCAAGGCAACTAACCATTGTAATAATCAATAGCTATTATTGCCATGATAGTCCATTAAGGTGGACTTAATGCACATTTCCATGGGGATATTGCAATGGTTATGCCAATATCCAATAATCCATTAGGCTCTATGATCAATCCCACCTATTTCAACGGGGATTATGGTTGTTGGATGCAATGGAAAATAGCTATAGTTTGGCAATAACTGGATTATACTAGCTGATTTAATGGGAGTTGAATGGGGATTATGAACGGACCCATAGTAGGGGAAAATGTTTTCAACCAACTGGTACTTCAATTTCGATGGGATAGGGGTATTTGTCATGGGCTCAGTTGTGATTGTTGGTTTGATAGACACCAAAACTGATGTAGCGACCCCAATTTCTATCTTTTGGGGGTTGCTATAGTTATACTTGGCATACACAAGTTGTTGGAGTTATGTTTACCACCTTAGCTATCGTTTGGGGATCCTCCATATGTTTTTAGTCCTCAACATTTGAAAATACGGTGAATACAACTGGCCAAGGAATTTCATGAAAAGAGGACAATATAGATACAAATAGATAGCTACCCTCTTTTAAACATACAAAAAACTATTTAACATGGCCATTTAGTTCGTTGATTTACCCGTTAAAATGGTGATTTGTCATAGTTGTGTTAGTTTACCATGAGGGTAACACATGGGATATTATTATATATTGTAGGCAACACGATGGAAATCATCGACTGGAAGATGCTGTTTGGCAAATGAACATGATAAATGATAAAGGGAGAGGTAGATCATCAATCAACAAGTCAAGAATCTTCCATTGTCACCACGAGGAACTGTATAGCTAAAACCAATTCTTCCGATATTTTGAATTTGTTCTCAGCGGTTTGTCAGGCAAACAGCGATGGGAACCGCAGCTCGTAAGTTTCCGATGCTTTTGCAGTAACGATATGGGTGTGCGACTATAATTGTTAATGTTAGCAAGTTCAAGTGGTCGATTACTGGTTGGTGGTTTGGAACATTTGGATTATTTTTTCCATATATTGGGAATGTCATAATCCCAACTGATAAACTCATATTTTTCAGAGGGGTAGGTCAACCAGCAACCAGGTTATATAAATGTTCATGCTAAACAAACATATTATCCACACTGGAAACACGCTTCTTGGGGCTGGCTTAACCACCATCCGGATGACTGTAGGTAGCCAACCAGCTTTCAACCATTTCTTGAAGCCAGCATGGCAGGTAGCCAACCCATAGCTATATGGTGATGAACCAGCCCAACTTTTCTTCGGGAAAATGCCCACAGATGCCCTCAGTTTGGACATGTGCATATATTTACTTCGATATGTATATATATATATAATATTATATTTATACATACATAATGAACATATTCAAAGAAACAACGTATTTGCCATGGCCATATTGCTGCAACGACAATGGATCAATATTCCGTAAAATCGCTTGATATTGCCCATTAAATTGTCAGGTTACTGCAGGGCAATCACACAATTCCACAAATCTGTGCTAAATATACATATACACATATATATATATACATAAATATCCCAATTTCAGGATGATTACAGTATAATCTAGTGATTAAACCATGAATTTTTTGCTGGTTGAATGGTTGCATCACCACGCCAGGAGAGCGTCCCAATCTTCCAACAGAATTCGACCCAGGTGGCAGACGTCCCATGGGGATTTCATGGAATTTATGGGTGATTTGTTGGGGATTTAATGGGATTACCCTCTGGTGAACTAACATTTTGCTATGGAAAATCACCATTTTTCATGGGAAAATCCACTATTTCTATGGCCATTTTCCATTGCTATGTTAGTTCACCAGAGGGTATGGCTTGAGAAATATGGAGATACTCATCAATGGCCATGACTCAGGAACCTATTTTAAATTGGAGGTAATTGGAGGTACCTACCATATTTTTTAGGCCTATGTAAGGGGATATACCCCCAAAATATGGCCAACAATATGGTACTAACGTACCTCCATCTGTTGGATCCTGGAGATCTCCCATTGAACTCACGGGAATTCCTGGGATTTAATGTGTTGAGACATGAAACAATGGTTGACCCTCGTTGTTAGCGCGTTCTTATCAAAAGTATGTGTCCTTCAACCAATCCAACTGGCTGGAAACCAGGCACCAATTGAACATTTTCTAGAACTTGTTTGAACTTCAAAACCATTTCATAGTGACCCAACAATAATTAGCCATGGAGAATGCCAACCCTTTATCAATAGATATCAATAGCTCTGGTGATTGATTAGTGATTACTGTACCAACTCAATAGTTATGAATTATCAAAGTTAGTTTTCCGCCTCCAGTGGTAAACTAGGGGTTACAATAACCATGAGTTAACACCGTATATTATCATCATCCCATCATCCCATTATGCTACGACCAACAATTGTGCCAATGTTTGGTGGTTCATACTAAAATGGCCACATGGTATACATGTTTTGGTATGAATATTAGTGGATAGTAGTGGTATGTTCTTTTCCATTCTATGTCTAAGACATATAGTTACTATTTATCCATCAACCATTATCCATATGGTAAATACCAAAGTCATTGAAAAAGACAAAATGGTGGTCAATGACCCATATAAATCAATCAAATCACCCATTTCCATATATTTCCATACGGTTTGATTCAATTTCCCATTTCACATTTATCAAGTCATATCATGTTCCATAAATTATGGTATAATTTCCCATTTCCATATCAATTTTATGGTATAACTTCCCATTTCCATATCAATTTTACCATCAATTCTGGTGGTTGTTTACCACCACCAATTAGCCAGGCCGGTCAGCGCCGGGTTTGGCTCGTGAAGGTCTGGTGCAATGAGGTGCGCCAAAAAATCTGGAAGAACTCTCCCGGAGACCTAAAAAGTTGAGGAGAAATGATTTGACGATTTGAGGGATTTGAACTATTTGAGGAGAAATTCTAATCTGGGTGAATTTGATCATGACCGAAGCCTATTCTCCCGAAGCCTGGAATCATGATTAATAATTAGGGAAATCATCCCCATGAGAATGGCCGAACTATTCAGCTGAGTGAAATATTCTAATTGACCCAGATTCTATTTTTTTAAAGGCCTATTTGAACCTTTGTATTTAAAGATTTGAGGTATGATTGAAAGGATTTGAAGATCTATTTAAAGATACCTGCAGCATGAAAGTGGAAGTTGGACCGCAACGGAAGATTTTACCGGAAAAAAACAACATAGATGATTGCAGTTAAAGCATTTGAACGCTGTGCGACAGACTCCGGCTCAACATATAAGACCCTTGAAAAGCACGTGTTGGTAAGGTTTGTTTTGTTAAAGAAAATAGACATCCACTTGTTTGGGGAATCCAATTTGGACCATATACTACTCCTTATCTGGTGATAAACGCAATGATTATACGTACACATACACATAATTACCGGCAAAATCCATGATAAACCTAACATAATTTATGGGAATAACAGAACCAAAACAAGTGACACCAACAATGTAAAACTAGATCACCGGCAATCATGTTTGTTGTGGCTTTAAATTGAGGTCATTAGGTTCTTGTGGGTTTATGGGTGTTGATTCATACCCAGTCAATGTCAGAAAGTACTAAGAGTGCGGCTCTCGTGATGTCTATTTGCGTAATCCTGGGCCAATATCTAGCAAATCTCGCAGAAATAGTCGGATGATTTTCTCTTAGAACTTCCATTTTAGTACGGAAAATCCCATAGAGTTCCTTTCTTGAGATGTTTTTCTCATTAAAAGAACATGCCCATTGAGTTCGGGGTTCTCCCCAGCCCCCATAGCCCCCGTGGATGACAGGAGCTTCCGTTGCAGCTGACAGTGCATCCCAAGGCCAGGTTGCGATGTTTTTACCCCAGCGTCATACAGCATTTCTGGGGGTTTCCAGAAATGAGGGTATCCCTAAAATGGTTGGTTTATAAGGGAAAGTCATGGAAAATCCATCTATAAATGGATGATTTGGAGGTACCCCTATTTCCGGAACCCCCCAAATGATGGTATGTTTCGGTGGCTTCCTAGTTTTGAGGTGATTTTCTGTGTGATTTTTTTACGGGCTCATGACAGTTCAGGGGTTGAGGAGTTTGAAAGCACAGCCTCCCGGTTTTCAGTTGTTCAAAGGTCTGAAGTGTTTGGTTTGTCTCTCAAACTTATTTTGCAAAGTGGAAAATAGGTTTGTTGGTTTTATTATCGTTAAATCATGTTAAATCCCAAGTGTTTCCAAGTTTTTTGGTTGGTGAAATTGACTACCAGTGAACCCTCCAGTTTCGCAGGTTTTCATGCTGAAATTCCCATTGTTTTGGTGGCTAAACCCCAATGTTTGCCTGTTAAACCACCAATTTGGATCATTTTTGCCGCTTCTTTGTCGCCAACCACCATGTTTGCCGCTGAAATCCTTGGTTTTGCCGGTTGAACTTTGGGCTTCCGAGCTTGTCAGGATGACTTCGGTCGGTTGCAGCTGGTCATGAAGGCTGTGCGCAAGACGGGCGCAGAGGCGCAGCAGGAGATCATATGGATATCATTATGCAATGGCTATAGATGGTTAACCACCACAAATATGGTCATATACTATGAGATATATGTATAGTTATATGTGGTTAACCACCATATGTATGGTTATAGCCATATGCTATATAATTACATATATACATGAGCTAGAAACCTCCATTTATAGGAGATGTCCCATTGCCATGTTTGATTGCCGAAGGTTAGATAACCAACAAACCGGTTTCTTTGATATTTCATGGAATTTGCGATGGAAATGAAGACTGGCAGTAAACAACATACTCGTAGCATGGAGAACTCATGAGTGAAACGACTCTGACAAAGCCGCCTGGAAAAAAAGTTATTACTCAGCCCTGTTGTGAAATCCGTGAACAAGTCGTATTGAGGCAGTTGAGGCTGAAAAAAAATCATTGACAGATGATTTACCTATTAAGAATGGTCTGTTTTGGGAGCTTAATTTTCTGAAGGGTGGTAACGCAGAACCTCTTCTCTCCTATCCCATCTATCCCATCAATAAACCGGTTGGACTGGTCTTCATGTGTCAAGGTGATCCAATTCTTTACATACCCAAGTAGTTGGTTAACAACTGCATAACCAACAATCCTTACGTCGCAAGAGTTCAATTCGGATCAATTCCTATTCCAAACTCGGATGACTTCAGCAGGCCGATATCATTCAGTGCTTCTCCAAAGTGATGGCACTGCTGTGGCTTGCGGGCTCGATGCTGATGAACAATGCAGCATTCCACTGCTTGGTGAAGGAATGTCATACACTCAAGTGTCTGCAGGTGGGGAATGTACAATGCTTCTCCGAAGTGATGGCAAGGTAGTTGCTTGCGGAAGAAACTCCAAGGGACAATGCACATTTTCACCCTTAGATACAGGAATATCTTACACCCAGGTTTCCGCAGGCTTGTTACATACAGTGCTTCTCCGAAGTGATGGCACTGCTGTGGCTTTCGGATTGAATCGCAATGGGCAATGCAACATTCCGCCTTTGGACGAGGGAATGTCATATACTCAAGTGTCTGCAGGTTGGAATCATACAGTGCTTCTCCGAAGTGATGGCTGGGCTGTCGCTTGCGGGGAGAGGGGTGACGGCCAATGTGCTTTTCCCCCTTTGGAGGATGGAATCTCTTACACCCAGGTTTCTGCAGGATGGAAACACACAGTGCTTCTCCGAAGTGATGGCAATGTTGTGGCTTGTGGAGACAATGATTATGGTCAAATTGAGGTTCCATCATCCTCTGCAGGAATATCATTCTCACAGGTTTCTGCAGGATATAATCATACAGTTCTTCTGCAAAGTGATGGCTGCGCTGTTGCTTTTGGAGCAAATGGGGATGGAGAATGCTGCCTTCCATGGCTGGAAGAAGGAATCGTGTATACCCAGATTTCAGCAGGGTATGCTCACACAGTGCTACTGCGAAGCGATGGCAAGGCTGTTGCTTGTGGTCAAAATAGCTTTGGACAATGTGACATTCCTTCGCCAGAGCCTGGAATTTGCTACACTGGTAATTTCCCTCTGTCCGGAGATCTAGTTTTGCAGCTGGATTTTGTTCATGAAGATGATGATATCACGCTGATTTGCTCGAGTATGGCCGGGAAAGAAGAGATGCGCCTGACTGCACAGTCGTCAGATCTGGCCCGGGATACTCTGAAGATCATTGCGCGTGACTTGAATGTTCCGTCGCAGAGCTTTCGACTGGTCTTACCTGACGGACAGCTTTTGGCATCCATTTGCCGTTCCAATCCAAAGCTTACACTTGCGGATGCCGCTGAACATGGCCGATCGGGACACGTATAAATTCTGGCGGATAATTGTGTGCTGGAAAGGTGTCAGCAGATTGTTGCACGCAATCCGAAGCTGTTGAAAAGGAAGGGCGATTCAATTGATTATGATATAATTAAATGTGTGAGATTGTGTGAGTATAATCGGCATTATCTGGCAAAAATTGCATTGTTGGCTGTCAGATGAAATTACCATATGATGATGATCTCGGTTCCGTTCACCGTACAACAACAGTGGGCTTCATCCGATGCAGTTGATGGAATCACTTGAGCGACCCCATCTCCCTAAGATTCAACAGCTCCTATAACAAAACCATGGTGGATTGTTTGTACATGTCCCCATATTTCCACATTTTTTTGGACCATACAATGGGTGTTTAATATTAGGGGAATGGGATCCATTGGAAGCGGAGAAGGATCATGGCTCCAAGTCTTGGGCACCCCAAAAAAAACTGGACCTATTCCTTACTTTTCCCGTGTGGAAATCTTGGATGAAATGTCATTCCCAAGAAATTGATTTTGGGTGTGTCCAATCCAACTGTTATGATTTTACCGACTTTAATTGTCATGAAGATTGGGGCATACGCATGGATTGTTGGCCCAAGAGCTCGACATGTTGGCTCAACGTCGGTCATTCTATTGAACTCATTTTCTGGATGGAGGTGAGAACAATAGTTTTTTGTTTTGTGTTTTTTTTTTTGAGGGGAGCAACCACACATTTGCCACATTCAGATACATTTAGCCATTTAACGTTTATCAGTGTTTATTGGAACACCTGTGACTAATCTCCAAACGATTCCGTTGGTCAATGGTTGCTGCAAGCACGTACCACACCGTGCTTCTCCGAAGCGATGGCCATGCTGTGGCTTTCGGATTGAATTCCAAAGGACAATGTAGCATTCCACCTTTAGCTCAAGGAATGACATACACCCAGGTTTCTGCAGGTGTGGGTCACACTGTTCTTCTCCTAAGTGACGGCTCTGCTGTGGCTTGCGGAACGGATTCTTTTTTGCAATGCAAACTTCCACCTTTGGATGCAGGACATTCATACACGCAGGTTTCTGCAGGCCATCATCATACAGTACTCCTCCGAAGTGACGGTAGTGCTGTCGCCTGTGGAAAAAATGATCGGGGCCAGTGCGACATGTTTCTGCGGGTGAGGATCACATAGTGCTTCTCCAAAGTGATGGTTACGTTGTTGCTTGCGGAGCGAATATGTTTGAACAAAGTCTTATCCCACTCTTGACTGAAGGAATGTCATACACCCAGGTTTCTGCAGGCGCGACTCATTCAGTGCTTCTCCGAAGTGATGGTAGTGCTGTTGCGTGCGGCCTTAATATCAGTGGACAATGCAACATTCCACCGTTGGATGGACTCTCATACATTCAGGTTTCTGCAGGTTGGAATCATACAGTTCTTCTGCGAAGTGATGGCACGTTGCTTGTGGAAGGGATAACGAGGAGCAATGCAGCATCCCGAGTCTGGCAGAAGGAATGTCGTACATGGCGATTTCAGCAGGTTGGAATCATACAGTGCTTCTGCGAAGCGATGGCAAAGCTGTTGCTTGTGGCAAAAATCATTCTGGACAATGCAACATTCCTTCGCCAGAGCCTGGAATTTGCTACACGGGTAATTTTTCTCTCGCTGGAGATCTCGTCTTGCAGCTGGATTTTGCTCATGAAATGATGATGATGATGGTATCACGCTGATTTGCTCGAGTATGGCCGGGAAAGAAGAGATGCGCCTGACTGCACAACAGTCAGATCTGGCCCGGGATACTCTGAAGAGCATTGCGCGTGACTTGAATGTTCAGTTGCAGAGGTTTCGGCTGGTCTTACCTGACGGACAGCTTTTGGCATCCATTTGCCGTTCCAATCCAAAGGTCACAGTTGCAGATGTGGCACAACAATGCACACATGATGGCCGTGCAGTCTCCAGCCAATAGTTTTTGTTTGCGAAGGGTTTCACCCCAGCAACACAGACCCACAGGGCCATGCCAGAGGGATAGAAGGCAGGTGGCGTGCTGGCAGTTTGCGTGCGCAGTGCGCAGTGCAAACTAATGATGGCAAATGATCATAAATGATGAGACCCTCGAATTCTTGGAGGTTTGCGGGCTGATGCGTTGCTAAAGCTCAACTATGTTTACCAAACCTATTGTTTAGATCCAATTGCCTGTTGGGCTTTCTCGCGGTCCAAGATATCCAAGTGATTCGCTCTCCTTGAAATATCAGCGGCTGATCCACTCGCAATTTCTCTTGACAAGCCTGGATTTGGGTTTTGTAATTACCCTCTGGTAAACAAACATAGCTATTGAACATGGCCATAGAAATACTTGATTTACCCATAAAACAATGGTGATCTTCCATATAGTTATGTAAACCTTTACCAGGCCGGGTATGTGTGTTGTTTTTAATATGTTTTTATATGTTTTTTTCAACATTTTTCAACATGTTTCAACAATTAGGTCCATCTGACTCATGGGAGATTCGCCAGGATCGTTGGTTGGGGTCGACCTACAACGGGTACTCGAAAAAGTAGGTATTGTATACTGATTTGGTACATATATTGTAGATGGTAGGTTAATATGGGTTGTTTTTTTAGAGCAACTGGTACTGTATATTTGAATGATTTTTAATAGATACACTCCATTTCAGATGCCATTTACTTACCATTGACCATCACTTTATGGTCCAAATTTACCATCCATTATCATCCATTCTCCATTTCTTCGTTGACTTGCCCATGTACAAAGACTTTGCCATACATTGACCTGCCGTATTTCTTGGTGACCTGCCGCGGACTGCGGTTTCACCGGCAGGTCTTGTTCGAAGGCCATCGCGAGGGCTTGCCAATGACGGCCATCCGTGCCAATGCCACTCAACTCCAGGTGCTCTGCACGCCCTGCATGCCCTGCATGGGCAATTTGATACTGAATCTTCTGCCAACGGGGAGAAATTGATGATATTTATGAACTGGTTTTGTTATGTTTTGTTCGTGATCTCAGATTGGCAATGGGCATATCAACCATGCAAAACGCGGATTGATCCATAATGGGAAACTTCGACACATGGTACAACTACTATTGTTTAATTTGATATGGTTATAGACAACGTGGATATGAATCTGCAAAGACGAGCAGATTCACCAACAAAAATGGGACACCTAAACATCGGATAGGCCGTGATAGGCGAGACTGATCGTGGCTTTTTGTTGTGATGCTTTCTGGATAGCAAACCTCGTCACCATTAGAAGGTGATGACCAACGTAGATTCCAAGGGTCGTTTCGTTTATTAGCAGGTTTATCGTTTTTTTTTTATTTTTATCTCTATAATTCTCTATATAGATAGGTCCGACATAAACAATCATTGTTACTGCACTTACAAACCAACTTACCTATCCCGGGCGCCCCACATTTTAGACACGGTGATCAAACAAGATCAATCTTATCGCTTCCTGCATGGTATGATCCTCCAATGATACATCAGTGGCAATCAATGGAATGTGAAAAACATTATAGCTGTGAAGTTGTTCACAGAGAGCTTGTCTCACGCATATGGTCTTGGAATCTGTTGGAGATGTACTTGGGGCCCGATCACCAAGTCATGATGAGTGTTTGATAGGAGCTACACGATTTCTATCGATTTCTTGATGTCAGCAAGATCCACAATTCCTTTTCCTTTAGTTCATTTAGTTCAATGATTTTCCCACTATATAAAACACCATTTAAAGTGGATTTGGAATTGAGGCTTTACCATTTGGTATTGGAACATGGCAACGACGGCCAACGAAGAATTTCTCAAAGAAACAACGGTGGAATCGGAAGGACTCACCGCAGGATTTTCGCTTTTCGGAATGGCCGCCAGGCGCTTCTCAATGAAACGCACGACTTGGTGGAATTTGTGGAAGAAGATTCGGCTGCTGGGCTGGAAAAGTTCTGACTTGAAACGGCCAATGTATGTAATCCAGGGGGGGTTCCATAAATTTGGGGAATCCCCAATAGCTGGTTGGCTTATAATCGAAAATCCCAATCTAAAATGGATGATTTAATATTTGGGGGTACCGTTTCAGGAAACCTCCATATATGGATACCCTATGGATCCATTTGGGTAATTTAAGATACAGAAAATCACCATCATTAATTGGTAGATCATCGAACTAAATGGCCCTTTAGCAACATAGCAAACTGTTGAAGTACTAGAGGATAGTTTTTATGAGGTTTATAGACACTTAAGGCGATAGTGAGCAGATAAATGGATAGCAAATAGTCTGTGTGATATGGTTACTAGCGAACATGATGATCAACCATAAGATTTTTGGGGTAGCCTATGTTCAATGGATTGGACAAATAATATATCCACTAGCCATGTTTTTGGTACATTTATATCTTGTAGGTAAATATACCATACCCTATGGATCCATTTTTTCCATAGAAGGTGCTAGCCCTATGTATCCAACATTTTAGTGATAATACCGCGGAAAGAAACTTGGATCTATAGAGAGGAGAAAAGACACATCCCATGGTTTATCATCAAATGATTCATTAAAAACATGCAATACACTGGTATCCACCATGTTTGGACAAACCCATTTAACCACTGAGATGTCAATGGAGTGCTTTTGGTCCCAATTCCATCCCTGAATTCCTGTCAGGACGATATAGCCTAACAAGAGAATTCATGGAGACTCAACTACTCAGATTTTTGATGCTAATCTTAATCTGGTTGGTGGTTTGGAACATGTTTTATGTTTCCATATACTGGGAATAGTAACCACAACTGACTTTCGCATCTTTTTCAGAGGGGTAGGTTGAAACCACCAACCAGAAATAATTAAGTTTAGATATTAGCCTGTTATTGATGATTACATCTGGTTACATATCATCCCCATGGCTGGTATTCTGTAATAAACACAATAATCCAATCCCCGGGTTTGTGAAATCGGGTTACTCACGGGATGATGGTAAACATCATGACCGCCCACCTGGACCCCGAAACGAAGCGCCTGCTACCACGAAGCTTGTCCCAGGCAATGACGGCCACGGAAGATGGGACCGTCAAGGCGAGAGTCGAAGGGATTGGGCCATGGCTTCCAGGTTGCTATGTTAAAGTACCAGAGGGTAAGTTGCTTTAGATCACTCCAAGAACTAGACTAAGATACTACGGTTGATGCTACTTTTATGACTTTTTTTTGGTTGGAAGTTTATAAAGTAGCTAAGTTGCCTTATAAGTGGCTGAATTCTATGGTTTATGGTAGATATAACTATAGTTCATGGGGCTTATAATGGTGTACTGTATATAAAGCAACTTGGAACTGGGGGGCCCCACGTTTTTTTGTTATGCGTGGCTGAACTTTTCAGATTTTCCGTGGATATTGGAGCGTGCGGAGCCATGGTTATCCTTGAATTTAGAGCCTATGAACCCCCAAAACCATTGGGAAGATACCAGTAGTACACTCCAGTAAATTAACATAGACCCTGCCAGATAGGGGTTGGACGACTAGTTTCCACAAAAAATTGGCGATTTTCAGGGTCTATGTTAATTCACCAGTAGTAGTACATAAAACCATTGTACTGAGTCTTACATGTACTTACACTGCGTTGTTCATGGGAGATAATGGGTTCACCCAAATCATTTGATCCATCGTTAATCATAGTCGTTTAGGAATCGATGATATATATATAATAACAATAATAACAATAATAATAATAATATATACACACACATAGTGGGATAAACATTAAATTAATATTCCATGGTGAATATTTGATAGTGGGATCATCGACCCATTTACACATATTATATATATATACACCATATAGGAAACATTTTTTTGGGGGTGAATCATTTAATCGTTAATCATTTGACATCACCGAAGTCTTGGTGCACAGGGATGGGTCTGGATTCAATGGAATAATGAACGGTTCACCTTCTGGTTTCACGCAGCAAATTGGAACATGTGACCATTTTTAATTACGGTAAATCATCTTCCAAGTCATCTATTTCTATGGATCATGGATTCCATGGGGATGTGAAATCGCCAGAGGGTAATTGGATGTAAATGTGCTGACTTTAAGTGCATACTTCATGAAGAATTGACGCTGTACCCAAGGCGATCAGATGATTTGGTCACAGAGAGAGTCGATGTTTCATTCATTTCTTGAGATGGCAACAGAAGGATACCAGCGTTTTAGAGCCAAACTCAGAACGAGCCCTTGCTAGTGTTCTCTTGTGTCCTGAAGATGCATTTGATTGATGATGAGAGTGTTTTTTTTCCTGAATGGCGGGGGCATTAAGGGCTGGGCAACCGTTGATAAAGAGATAGGAACCACAGGGGCCACTATGAAAGTGCCAATACGCCTATGTGATTTCTGACCTTGTATGAAATATGTTTATCTATGCAGGATTATCGATGTAAATAGATGTATATAGTTCTGGTTCGCTGCCTACATTTGCCAAACCGTTTACCTGCATTTACCCCTATTCGTCGTAGAGTATCCATCTCCAATATATATGGGCATGGGATGGTATGAGGGTCAAATGTTAAGACATAGGGGACCACAGCTTTTGGTCAATTTTAAATATTAACCATCAATTGTTGGGGTACACAATTTCGACCCATACCGGGGTTATATTTGGGAATGTAGGCCACTAATGCGCCGACAGGAACCCGAGCAACTGACATCTTTTTGGTCACTCACTGATAAGAGATCGACATTTGCCAGGCATTGCAGTAATGATAATGGATGACCATGGCTTTGTTCAATCTTTAGTGGGACCAAAGGAAAATTGAGTCATTTTGGGTGTCCCCAAAAGGGGTGTACCAGGAATACCGAAAAACAATCCAGTGGTTTATCATCATTTTTCCATAGTTTTCCTATCACAAATGGCAATTTTGGTATACCAACTTATATCCGATTCCTTGACACACACACACATATGTGGGTCGTTACCCCAATCCTGAGCTATACTCAAAATTGATTGCGGCTTCAATCACCCAAATATGATGCTTTGGTATTTTCTCATCGTTTCTCATTTTGTTGGCAATTCCATTTAACTCCAGTTTTGTTGGTAAATTCCATTGAATTCCCACTTTGTTGGTAATTCCATTGAAATCCCCTTTCTTGCGTGTATGACTGGTTGGTGGTTTGGAACATGAATGGATTATTTTTCCATATTAATTGGGAATGTCATCATCCCAACTGACGAACTCCATCATTTTTCAGAGGGGTAGGTTGAAACCATCAACCAGTAAACAATTACCAATATGATTCTCCATCATTAACCACTATTAACCATTATTAACCACTATCAAGATGGGTAGTTCAACCACCAATCCCCGGCTTTGTGAAATCGGGTTCCTCATGGGATGATGGTAGGTTGAAACCACCAACCAGATCATGTCTGGGGGACCGAATCCCTGACATCGAGGAGAAGGATGTGAACGACGATATGGGCACCGCTCATCCGTCGACTGCGCGTTTTGTTTCTGTTGGTTGGAAAGACTGACCTAAGTGTGGGGCTTTTGAATTTGGAAACAGCTATTTAAATCTATTTAATATGAAAATACATATGGATATAAAATGTTTTAATGGGGATGTAGATGGATATGGTGGGAATATTTTGTCAACAAGACATGTGACACCATGGAAATCAATGGGATCCGGCCACGGATGATGATTAGGATTGGCGTAAGTATCCTCAAATGACTCAAATGACTTTACTTTTCAGGTTGGTGAATTACCATAAACTATCCAGACACATTTACATAGATATTTAAAAACATGGGGAAGTATAGTATTATAGATTGCCAGATTAATTATATAGACTACTAGAGGGTAATCCAATCAAAATGATTGGATCCATGGTGAGTGACTGCCCTGCAAACAAAGGAGGCAGTGGTAAGCAGGATGTAGCTATTCTCAATTTCCACTTTCCATGGTCAGGGCAGCCCACAATTCTGTGAACTGAGAACCACACTTGATGTCAGATGGGCTAAACTAAATAATGTCAACCCTGGATTAATAAACCCCGTTTACGGCTGTGGAATTGGAAGGGAACCATTTCAGATCATTTAAGTATTAGATGAAATGACTATTGGAGGACTACCCCCATGACTTAGATATGGAAAAGCCCATGAAAACCCATCCCAGGTCCAAACGACGGTCCTCGCTGCAAGATTTTCCGCCCTCCTGGGGTTCGGAAGCTCAACAGCTTAAGCACACAGTGACCTCATGATGTCATGGAAAATAGTGGATATATAAATGGTGGAAAATAGTGGGAAATCATAGTTTATAACTTTTAAGCAACATTTTTTTTAGAATATTTCATGTGGACAACTGGAATACCTCTTGGATTTGTGATGTATGAACTGCATGATGGATATTCAATGATATTCTATTCATTTACTGTTGTCATCTTTGACCTGTAATGTGGAGCCCCTTAGATAGGCTTTTTCTCGATGGAAATTGCGATTTCATCAAGCAAAAACCAGATCTATCCATGGGAGACGAGGATGGATATTGGATTTAATATGATTTAATGATAGGTTTTCTGTTGGTCTTGAACTCCAGTGATCAGTGATTAGGACAATGATAATCGGACGGTGGGTACAATATCTACATGGACGGCTTTATAAACTTTACGAACAAAAAAAGTGGTGGGCCTCACTTGGTGATGGTTTGTTCCCGGGGAGAGTTAGATCAATTGGGATGGCGGGATTTCTGCAAAATGATGACATCAGCACTGAAGGGCAGCCAACATCAACTTTATGTATGTATAAATGTATACCTAATTTCATTATATATATATACACATACATACATGTGTACAGATTATACAGTACATCAAGACTTTTGAGATTTACAGTATTTATCCCGCATCTTCAGATGGTTATCCCGCCATGGTCATTGTTTTGGTCCCTCTTTTGGTCTTGCTGCGCTTCTCTTCACCCGCTGTGTTCATTTTCATGGTGAAATCGTGGTGGATAGGTTGAATTCACTGATTTAACCGATGGATTTGTTGTGGTGAGTTGATCATGAATCAATGGTGGATAGGATGTATTATCCACCAATGGATTTCAATGGATTTCAAAGGTTCTTATTTAAAACAATCCTCTCTGAGTTGAAATTGACATAACTGACATCACTGACATAACTGACTACCGATACATTCTATTATTTCAGTTGAATATCAGGTTCTCTCCAAGACAATCGTTCATTCACCAATGTTTATCAAACTTTTGGGCTTGGCCAGGTTTCAAACTGGTTGCTTCAAACTGGTTGCTTCCCTATACTCACTCACTCCCAAAATCATCCAAGTTTTTTGGTAAGAAACAAACAAGTACACACTCGTAAAATTATACCGATATACCATACAGTAGTTGGCTATAATCACATATGACAGCAATGCCAGCTGAAAGATTCAGTTCTTTCCATACTGGTGAATCATGTTCTTCGCATGTTACTAAGATGTTGCCACAATACGCCACGTGTTGATTGGAACTTGGGTATATCCCGATGCATTGACCTTTTTTCAAAGAGTTTTTATCCCAAATGCTGATGATGAATCGCAAATAGCAACAATACTTGCACAGTTATGGCCATTTACCAGTTATAACTGGTTACCAGTAGTACCCGCACGAGGCGGGGCGGAAGTTGCCTTAAAGATATATATAAGACCTTTCTCATCTATAGAACTTGCATGCGCCGTGCGCCAGCCAAGCCCGTGCGTGCGTGCACTCTGCGAAAGTGGTGTCCTCGTTCACATGTCACATTTGAAGCTCCACTTCGCACTTCACACTCCACACTTCACACTTCCCACTGCACTCTTCGCACTTCACACTCCACACTTCACACTTCACACTTGAAACTTCACACTTCACACTTGAAACTTCACAGTCCACACTTCACACTGCACACTTCACACTTCACAGTGCACACTTCACACTTCACACTTCACACTGCACTCTTCACGCCCCACACTTCACACTGGACTCTTCACACTCCACACTTCATCTCATCTGAGCTCTTCTCACCTTATCCCAGCTCATCTCTTCTCATCTCATCTCTTCTCATATGTCATCTAAGCTTTCATGAATCACTTCCCAGTACTACTACGAAGGAACTTGCATGCGCCCTGCGCCAGCCAGGCCCGTGCGTGCGTGCTTTGTGCGGAAGTGGTGTCCTTTTTCACATGTCACATTTGAAGCTCCACTTCGCCCTTCACACTTCTCACTGCACTCTTCACACTCCACACTGCACACTGCACACTTCACGCTTCACACTCCACACTTCTCACTTCACACTGCACTCTTCCCAATCCACACTTCACACTTCACAGTCCACACTTCACACGTCTCACTTCTCATTGCTTTCTTCACACTTCACACTCCACACTTCACACTGCACTCTTCACGCCCCACACTTCACACTGCATTCTTCACACTCCACACATCATCTCATCTGAGCTCTTCTCACCTTATCCCAGCTCATCTCTTCTCATCTCATCTCTTCTCATATGTCACCTAAACTTTCATGAATCACTTCCCAGTACTACTACTAAGGAACTTGCATGCGCCGTGCGCCAGCCAGGCCGGTGCGTGCGTGCTTTGTGCGAAGCTGTTGCAGTGTTGCTGTCCAAGAACATGACCTGCGCGCGACCCCGGTACAATGCAAACACTTTCCTCACACTTCACATTGCACTCTTCACACCCCACACTCCACACTTCACACTTGCACTTCATCTCAACTCATCTCATCTGAGCTCTTCTCATCTCATTCCATGTCTTCCCATGTGTCAGCTAAGTTCTTCTTGGCTTTTTTTATGTCAAGTACTTCCCAGTACAGATGTCTACTACAAAAGCTTGCAAAAACCACTTCCCAGTACTACTTTGTACTACAAAGCTTGCACAAAACACTTCCCAGTACTACTTTGTACTACAAAGCTTGCACAAAGCACTTCCCAGTACTACTTTGTACTACAAAGCTTGCACAAACTACTTCCCAGTACTACCGTGTACTACAAAGCTTGCACAAAACACTTCCCAGTACTACTTTGTACTACAAAGCTTGCACAAAGCCCTTGCCAGTACTACTTTGTACTACAGAGCTTGCACAAACTACTTCCCAGTATACTACCGTGTACTACAAAGCTTGCACAAAACACGTTCCAGTACTACTTTGTACTACAAAGCTTGCACAAAACACTTCCCAGTACTACTTTGTACTACAAAGCTTGCACAAAGCCCTTCCGAGTACTACTTTGTACTACAAAGCTTGCACAAAGCACTTCCCAGTACTACTTTGTACTACAGAGCTTGCACAAAGCACTTCCCAGTACTACTTTGTACTACACAGCTTGCACAAAACACTTCCCAGTACTACTTTGTACGACAAAGCTTGCACAAAACACGTTCCAGTACTACTTTGTACTACAAAGCTTGCACAAAACACTGCCCAGTACTACTTTGTACTACAAAGCTTGCACAAAGCACTTGCCAGTACTACTACTGTGTACTACAAAGCTTGCACAAAACGCGTTCCAGTACTACTTTGTTCTACAAAGCTTGCACAAAGCACTTCCCAGTACTACTGTGTACTACAAAGCTTGCACAAAGCACTTCCCAGTACTACTTTGTACTACAGAGCTTGCACAAACTACTTCCCAGTACTACCGTGCACTACAAAGCTTGCACAAAACACGTTCCAAAAACTTTGTACTACAAAGCTTGCACAAAACACTTCCCAGTACTACTTTGTACTACAAAGCTTGCACAAAGCCCTTCCCAGTACTACTTTGTACTACAAAGCTTGCACAAAGCACTTCCCAGTACTACTTTGTACTACAGAGCTTGCACAAAGCACTTCCCAGTACTACTTTGTACTTTGTACTACAAAGCTTGCATTAACAAAGCACGTCCCAGTACTACTTTGTAGTATACAAAGCTTGCACAAAGGCGTCGGAAACTGCAACTCCAAAACCGGATCTCGACGCCACAGCGACAAAAAGACGATTTTGAAGCACTTTTTAAAAGGAATTTTAAAGGGAAAATAATTAGCGCCAAAATTGAGAAAATCTCTGGTGACAAATCACTTTCGCAGCCTTGATGCAGCCATTCCAATACGATTTACGATCTTCAGCTGCAAAAGACAATAGTATTACGCATGCAGCCGCTGCACCAAGCAACCTTGACGCAGCCACTACAACGCGATCTGCAGAGACTGAGTTGCAAAACACAATAGAACTACGTGCAATGGCGTCGGAAATTGCAGCTCCAAAACCGGATCTCGACGCCAAAGCGACAAAAAGACGATTTTGAAGCACTTTTTAAAAGGAAAAAGGACAATGACTAGCGCCAAAATTGCGAAAATCTGCTGACAAATCACTTTCGCAGCCTTGATGCAGCCACTCCAATACGATTTACAATCTTCAGCTGCAAAAGACAATAGTATTACGCATGCAGCCGCTGCACCAAGCAACCTTGACGCAGCCACTACAATGCGATCTGCAGAGACTGAGTTGCAAAACACAATAGAACTACGTACAATGGCGTCGGAAATTGCAGCTCCAAAACCGGATCTCGACGCCAAAGCGACAAAAAGACGATTTTGAAGCACTTTTTAAAAGGAATTTCAAAAGGAAAATTATTAGCGCCAAAATTGAGAAAATCTGCTGACAAATCACTTTCGCAGCCTTGATGCAGCCATTCCAATACGATTTACGATGTTCAGCTGCAAAAGACAATAGTATTACGCATGCAGCCGCTGCACCAAGCAACCTTGACGCAGCCACTACCATGCGATCTGCAGAGACTGAGTTGCAAAACACAATAGAACTACGTGCAATGGCGTCGGAAATTGCAGCTCCAAAACCGGATGGATCTCGACGCCAAAGCGAAAAAAAGACGATTTTGAAGCACTTTTTAAAAGGAATTTTAAAAGGAAAATTATTAGCGCCAAAATTGGGAAAATCTGCTGACAAATGACTATCGCAGCCTGGATGCAGCCACTCCAATACGATTTACAATTTTCAGCTGCAAAAGACAATAGTATTACGCATGCAGCCGCTGCACCAAGCAACCTTGACGCAGCCACTCCAATGCGATCTGCAGAGACTGAGTTGCAAAACCGGAGATTCCAAAACACCCTATAACTACGTTGAAGCACCGCGGCATGACCGCAGCCGCAACCGTCGCACACACGAGGTACCTTTCATCGTCACCTGCAGCCACTTTACACGGAAAAACACAAGGTTTCGTGCTCCGGCTGCCTCCCCAAAACAGAGCCCATGCAACATCATGCAGCCATTCCAATGGGATCTGCAACCACAGATTCCAAAACACCCTATAACTACGCACACACAACCACACCCAAAACAGCTTGAAGCCACCGTGACATGCGGCAAAAAAAAACGATAAACCGACCGCAGCCGCAACCGCGCACACACGAGGTACCTTTCATCGTCGCCTGCAGCCACTTTACACGGAAAAACACAAGGTTTCGTGCTCCGGCTTCCTCCCCAAAACAAGCCCATGCAACATCATGCAGCCATTCCAATGCGATCTGCCACCACAGCTTCAAGAACCGCATAGAACTACGCACACAGACACAACCACTCGTTGCAAAACACATAGGAGGAACAATTCGCACACAAAACGACCGCAGCCGCACCCGTCGCACAGACGAGGTACCTTTCATCGTCGGCTGCAGCCACTTTACAAAGGAAAAACACAAGGTTTCGTGCTCCGGCTTCCTCCCCAAAACATAGCCCATGCAACATTCATGCAGCCATTCCAATGCGATCTGCAACCACAGCTTCAAGAAACCGCATAGAACTACGCACACAGGAACAACCACTCGTTGCAAAACACATAGGAGGAACAATTCGCAGAAACGACCGCAGCCGCAACCGCCGCACAGACGAGGTACCTTTCATCGCCGGCTGCAGCCACTTTACACGGAAAAACACAAGGTTTCGTGCTCCGGCTTCCTCCCCAACTCACCACTTCCCTTCCTCACCGCTTCCCATCGTCACCACTTCCCATCGTCACCACCTCCCTTCCTCACCATTCCCCTTCATCATCACTTCCCTTCGTCACCACTTCCCATCGTCACCACTTCCCTTCGTCACCACTTCCCTTCGTCACCACTTCCCATCGTCACCACTTCCCTTCGTCACCACTTCCCTTCGTCACCACTTCCCTTCGTCACCACCCGTCATTCTCACCACCCTTCATCAAAGTCAATTCCACTGCTTCTTATTCTTTTGTTATGTATTGTTATTATGTTATGTATATCATCTTACGAGTTTCCCCCAGAAAACCAGGTAGGTTAACCCCCCTGTAAGGACGTCTGTTTCTAGAGAAAAAATATGCATGGGAACATAGAGGCTTTATGTAACAACCCCCGTTGTTTCTAGAGAGCATTTTTTTTATAAGTTGTAACCTATCATACTCGTATGGTCATACTTTTCTAGAGGCCCAAAAAACGGATTTTGCGGATAAAATTTCACATAACTTAGAGAGGTAAGAGTGAGCTTTTCTAGTGGCCCAGGTTTTCTAGAGCTGTTCAACATTGTTCAATACTGCAACACTAAGGAGTCAGATTGCGATTTTCTTGTGGATCCTGGTTTTTTAGAGATAGACAATAGTGTTCAGTACTGCAACACTAAGGAGTCAGATTGCGATTTTCTTGTGGATCCTGGTTTTTTAGAGGTAGACAATAGTGCAACAGGCAAGCTCCAGTATATGTCTGGAATTTTCTAAATATCATCTATGAGGAACCAAATATATGAAATTATCATTGGACATGATTTTCTAGAAGTGTCTTTCTAAGCCCAAAGCACATGTTCACAATCTTCTAGCAGGGTCCAAAATAGAGGGGGTGGTTTTGCTTGTTGGTTTTTGGTTTTTGTTGTTGCTCCAGCTGATGTATTCTAGAAAGATGCAGAAAGAATCAGAAAGATGTGGTATTTCTATGTAGTATTTATATGATTTTAATTGATTTTATATGTATTTATGATTATTTATGTGTATTTATTCAATTTTATTGAGATTTACCAGATCTATTCAGATTTTATCAGCGTTTTATTTGATTCCAATTGGTTTCAATTGATTTCATATGACTTCATCTGACAACTGTTGAATTTCGGCTGGCAACTATTGGGTAGGATGACTGGAAATATTGCTGAGAGATGTTGAGACTTTTGCCAGCGGAAAGGAAAAAATCGAAAAAATCGACAAAATCGAATTGGAAAAATCATGAAAAATCGAAGAAATCGATTTTTTCGAAGCTGCTGCTGTGGGAGAAACTGGGTGACATTCGAAACACCATGTCCTCTAGAAAACCTGGACTTGTAACTCGGTAGTTGGTTTCTATGTCCGCATTTTCCGCAGTTAGGATCCTACCTCAGATGTCCGCGCATGATATTCTAAGGAAAAATGAGCCTACCATAGTGGAAAAATGCATTTTGGTATGCGTATGATTTTCTAAATGTGGTACTGTTATTTTGTGGTCAGAGTGTGCTTTACTATTTCCGTTAACTCAGGACCCTTCATTTTCTAATAGAAAAGCAGGGGTGCCTACCTACCGTGGTAAACTCGTACCGGGATTTATGTATTGTTATGTGATCTACCACCCTGCATCGTTTCAAGTCGCAGAATTCTATTTGTCCGTAACACGGAAGTATTGCTTCCCAACTTCCTTTGATAAATGGGATTATACATTCTATAAATGGGGTTTTAAGTACTTATAGCTGATAAATGGCCACAACTGCAGTGGCTTGTACTACCCGAAATATATATCATTGTACTTTGAATATCCTTCACTTCCTTTACATTTCCCTGTACCAGAATTAATAGTTATGTCATGTTATGTCATACTAATCATCATAATTTTCATGTCATCATTATCTGGTTGGTGGTTTGGAACATTTTTTGTGTTTCCATTGGGAACAATCATCCCAACTGACTCATATTTTTCAGAGGGATAGGTCAACCACCAACCAGATTATTATTAATCATCGAATCATCATTAACCATATATTAACCATATATTAATCATATATTAACCATATATTAATCATATATTAACCATAATAGTTCTTCCCTGGCAGATGGCCGCAGACGTCCATTGCGCCCCGGCGCGTTGCGGTCGTTGCTGAGGTTTGGACCGCATCGATCAGCGGGGAGCGGCCGCTCGAGCCTGCCTGGAGGGATTCCAGTGGCAGCGAATCGGGACATGAGGATAGAACAAGATCATTTCACCGACTTTAATCGTCTTTAATCTGATTATATATATATAATATGAATATAGAACTACTTTACTATGATTTTATACGATTTAAATAATATATATATATATATATAATATGAATATAGAACTGGGATGAAGAGATAACGGGTGAATATTAAGCAGAGAAACTGAGTAGATTTCATGGGATACAATGGGATATATATATATATATTATATAACCTTATATAACCATAGATCCAATGATAAGATTATCAACAGATCCTTAGTTTTCTGCTGGACCCCCATTGATGGGATGGCTTACAATCTCCCTTCAATTGGGACATGTTTGCTGGAATAAACTAATATAAACTAGCCATGTACAGTCCATGTACGGCAGATAACATAAGGTATTGACCAAGCAAGAGGGGGAAATACGTTCAGTGATTTTGTCAAACCCAGTACGATACATGTACTTATATCTATATTATATATATATAGATGATAATCTAATTTATATCATGATATACATATGTTTATATATAATATGTATACATACAATAAATATAGATTACATTTACATTATATCTCATTCAGAAGATACATCAGATACACAACTGAAGTTACGAACCTCCGGTGGCATGACATCCTGGTCTTTTTCGGTTGGCCGAGGTGGCTGGCGGCCACAACGCGTCCGGACGCCGATCGTGGGGATTTCACCAGTAGACATCATGATTTAGCCACTATATTCACTAGAGATATGCAATTTATGCATGAATTTATCATTATCCATGAGACATGATGGTGTCACCTCTTTTTTCTTCGAATCGGGATTTGATTTCACCAAGCAGTAAACTAAGCAAAACACCACGATTTTACCAGCAGAAACGGTGATTTCATCAGGAGAATCATGATTTGCCGAGAACAGCCTGAGATGTTGTCGCTGGAAGCTGGGTGAATGAATCACCAACTAAAATATATGCAGTTGACCTGGAAAAAAGTTTTTCGTGAGTGACATGTTTTTGGGGAGTATCCATCTCCCCCAACTATTATTCACAGGTATCGGGCACCAGGGTGCTATGATGGCAATTTGAATTTCATTCATAGGTGTCTGGTGAGTTTCATCATAGGACAGGGATTTAACAATCAACTTGTGAAAACTGTGTGAATAAGAGATAGAGTCTTCCAGAGCATTCTGGTTGGGGGTCATTGCTTGCCCAAGGGTCATGCACATTTTGTTTTTGTTGTTTCCCATTTACCCTCTGGTTATTTAACATAGCCATGGAAAATGGCCCATTTATAGATTATTTTCCCAGCTAGAAACCTCCATTTATAAGGGATTTTCCATGGCTATGTTAAATAACCAGAGGGTAAACGATTTTCATTGAGAAAGACTTGTCTCGGAATTGGCCAACCGAGAGCTAAACTGCTAAATGGCAGTTGGTAGGATAGTCCCTGATGGCCAGTTGTAGTCCATGATTTCACTGTCTAAGCCATTTCAATCACGTTTCATTGTCCTTTCTTTCTCCATTCTTGCAGTATGTAAGATTATGACATTCAACCATCAATTGTGTTGGTTAAAACCACCAAGAAGGTATGTATAACTACTCTATGTTACATTGTAAAGACCTCCCAAAGATAGAAAAGTCATTGATCAAATTATCATATAATTATATCATATCCCAAAGACTATAACTCATTATCAATTCCAATATATCATCAGTTATCATGATAAAAACACTATATTCCATTATTATCCATTGAATAGAAACACTATATTCCATGATTATCGATTTAATAGAAACACTATATTCCATGTTGTTTACTCATTATTGTCTATATGTCCTTATCAAATCCAATATCTATTATAACAGGTTATAATAGTATAATATCCTATTCCATTATCAAGTTCATTATCCAATATTATAAACATGATATCATTATCAAATATCCATTATCCATTATCTATGATATTCCATTTATCACTAGTTTTCTGTTTCTATAATCTATCCATTTTTTAATTTGGGGATTGTTAACCACATTATCTATTATAGATCATCATTTATCATTATAGAAACACTATATTCCAATTATCAAATCCATTATCCAATATCCATTATCATTATCTATGATATTCCAATGATAACTAGGGATTTCTGTTTTGTTTCTATCAACTTTTGGTGTCACGGTCACCAGCCGTCAGAGGTCCTATAGATATCATCCCAAAGCGGGAGAGAGCGTGCACGTCTACGTGCTGGACACCGGCATCAGGAGCACATTTGGACGTCGGGAGTTCGAAAGTGTTAGGCCGTAAAGAGGAGGTGGAGTTTCGGTGGAGTCGCTTTGGCGATCTAAGATAACATGTTTTTGCAGATCTAGAAGTAAACTTCAGGTTTTCGATAGGTGATACATTGAAAACGGAAATTAACAGTAACTATATGTTGATCGATTTTGTGTTACTATGTGTTGGTGAAGAAGCCTGGGCACACCACACCGTTCACTTTCATTCATGGCCGGAAGTGCCATGCTCAAGATATGTTTGGGGAATACTTAAAATGAATAGAAAGTAAATAAGTAAATTAGTAAATATTCAAATCCTAGGTCCGGGTTCAGCTCTTAGAAGTTCATTGTCCAGTGGAAGCATGATGTGGAGTTGTACCAGATGACTATAAGAAACATGTCTATGTTCAAGGGGGAATCCTGTTCAGATGATTTAAACAACAATGAATATCCTTTTTTGCCAGGCCTCTATGTTTGGTGGTGAACAATCTACATTGCTTTGGTTGGTGTGTTCAATCCGATTACATCTACCGAACAGCAATGCCAACCACATCCAGTAAAGCAAGACGTTGATGTGTGGCGTTGTCCAGTAGGCCCCCAGTTTTGCAGGAATTCTCATCCCATTTTTGTCAGTATGAGGGTTCCCAGCACATCCGAAAACCCTGGTGTATTGGTTTTAGACCATAGATGCCCCCAGGGATTCGAAACCATGTCCCCGCCATGCCGTTGCGAGGACAAGCCACAAAGATTTTGTTGGGCCCTTGGCCGGAGAGGGCAGAGCGGCAAAAAGACTCCACTGAACCCTGACTGGGAAAATCACATGAAACCATCATGTTTTATTGGAAAGTGATCTACAGATGGGGTACCCTCTGGCAAACGTTTACATAGCGAACTGGAAAAAATCACCATCTTGAATAGGTCAATCAACTATATTCATGATTTTACATGGGTCATATTTTCAATATGTAACAAATTACCAGAGGGTATCCTAGACATGAACATGCGGATTCGGACTCTTCTAATGGTGGCCAGTGAGTTTCTCATCCTCTGCAGGGCGGCCGTGCTGTGAGGGTGCTGGAGGCTGGACAACGGGAGCCCAACTACTAGAGGGTGGGCCGCGGGCCGGGCCCCCCAGTTATAAATTGGTTACAAGGTTGTGCCCCAGTGAGCTAAATCGCTAAGTTGGTGCATAGCTAACTCCAATAACTATGGTTTATGGTCGATATATCTATACTTACTATGGTTTATAAACCAACTTATAACTGGGGGGGTACGACCTTGTAAGAACCCCATGAACTATATAGAGGTATGCTTCCCATAAAGCCACTATTGTACTAGGCTTTATGCCATACTATATTGGTGGTATGATTGCCTAGTATGGGGTACTTCCCATTAATAAGCCACTATGGTTATATAAATTGATTACAATCATATTGTATTTCTTTTGCGGTGTCATTCGGGGTTTTGCCACTTGGTGTTGCTTTCACAGTGTATGGCCTTCGGAGAAACTCCTTCCCATGCGGAGTTTTCAGACACAGAACATGGGGAAAAAAACCAGGTACCGCATCCAATAGTGGGGATTCCATTCATTTCCAGTAATTTCCACCATACAACATCCAAGAGATAGTTGTAGAGAGATTCCAACCAAGCAGTCTTTGGATGTGTTACCTCTGCCCAAGAAACGACCTAGTTGCTGAGTCAGTCCATAGTTACTCAATTTGTTGGGCCTGAAAACCGGATTTTCTACATCACAACTGGCATTTTATGGGTCAAATGTCAACTTATAGCCTGTAGTAAGATGTAATACGGATGGATGTAGTATCATGTACTTAATTGTTGGTATAGTATAGCCAGTTGCGACCTGTTATCACTCACTTTTGAATAAACCCAGATGACTTGGAATCCAGTTCTAGCCTCTTTTGGCGGCTAGAAACTCAGACCAATGCGGGCTGCTTTTGTCTGCAGGTGACAGACAAAGGTCTACATCTCTGTGATGACAGTGAAGACAAGGAGAGGCAGCAATTGATTCGTATAAGGCAAAGTCTTGGATGTTCACGCATCCCAGGTAATCCCAGGTGAAAGATGAGAAATGAGATGCCAAACCAGCCCAATTATATTTTAATCTGTTATATGTTTCCACATTTATCCCATTCAGGGAGATATCTTGGCTTAACTTGGTTTCCATTCGAGGCACTCCAATACCAAGTTCATTTCTGGTTGGATTCAGATCCGTAGTTCCGCAAACTATAACCTTAGTTTTGGTATCGATCTACTTCGATTGTCTGTTTCGGTGCGTGATTTACATATCAAAGTGATGGGATGCCAGTACTGAGAACCATCAAAACCGGATACAGTCACCAACAATGCTAGTGTGGGGATATGTATTCTTGGATCTTTGGGAGCATCGGCATCTAGTTGATCCTAACCAGCAACCTTGAGACTTATCATAGTTGTTTACTGTTTTCAGACTTTCCAGCCCATGTTTTCAAACTCTGACCGTTTTTTTCTGGATACTTTTCTTGGGTCATGATCTCATGAACCTCTATGGTTCTGGTGGGATGGACGTTGAGCTTCAGCTACATCCTTTGGATCCACTTTTTGCTGGATCCATGTTGGGGGAATATATGGTGTTTTTTGGGAATACTAGAAATCTTAGAAAGAAGAGGAACTGCAGATTTCTTACATTCTAGCTTTGAACATGGACCAGTCTTTGGCTATTCTCAGTGTTTGTAGCCCAACAACCAACCATGAGTCAAGTGTACGGACAATCCTTGAGCTGGTGTGCAGGGTGTGGAAATTTGATGTCCAACTTATTTCCACGACGGTAAAGCTTGGTCTTAAACTTAAGTTCTCGAGTCATATGGGAATGGGTCAACATTTATATAAGACCCAGGGGACAACAGATTTTTGTCGATTTTTTGTAGTCACCCAATCTGTGGCATTGGTGGCATTGGGGTACCCAATTTTGACTCATTCCTCGATTGATTTCTATTGATTTCTATTGATTTCTATCCACTTGCAACATATCAAGAGACTGCTTTTGGCCGTGTACAAGATCTATAGAGTTTCCAGGGCTTCAAAATCGGAGTCTCCTGGGACTTCCCAGGAGTGCGCCATGGATAAGAATGGCCATGGAACTCGCATTGCCGGAATTGTTGGAGGTCACAGGCGCCCCGTTTTTTTTTTCAGTGCGGAAGGAGCTGGTTGCTTGCGGTGAGGAGTTCACCGGGGGTAAAACCCAGGTGTTGGTCAGAAAAAACATTGGGAAAACCATACCC